CGACACAACTCTGACGACAGCTTGTGTCGCATGATTGACAGCCGCAAGATCTTCGACTCGACTTAAGGAGTTAGACCCAATGAAAATAAAACCGACCTTGGTTGGTTTTAGTGGAGAATAAGACTCAAGTTGTAAGACGTTCTCATAAAAGCAGGAATGCGCCAATACCTACCATGAAAATCCACCAAATAGAAAATTAAACCGGGTTTTTGAACTCAACTCTGTTGAAAATAAAATGCAGCTTGAACCCGAAAGCTCAAGCCGTAAATAAGGCCCAACGACAGCGTAGACCCGTAGCCGTATTTTCCCGAATTTTTTAAATCGAGGGCTCAGGACTCAATAGATCCCGTATCCTGTACATGATCTGAGCTGGGAACTTTTGAATGGTGGATATCGGGATTATGCTTGATCCACTCTTTTTCTTAATCTCGAGATTAAATAATGCTTGTTCTCCCCTTATTTTTAAACTCCAGATTAATTAACCAGTCGGGATTAAGGATATTCCATTCTAAAGTTTTCAGCTCTGAACTCTATAGATCCCTGTATCCTGTATATGACCTGGACTCTATAGATCCCTGTATCCTGTATAGGACCTGGACTCTATAGATCCCTGTATCCTGTATATGACCTGGAGACTATAGATCCTTGTTTCCTGTATAGAACCTGGAGACTATAGATCCCTGTATCCTGTAGAAGACCTGGAGACTATAGATCCCTGTATTCTGTGTAGAACCTGGAGACTAAAGATCCCTGTATCCTGTAAAGAACCTGGAGACTATATATCCCTGTATCCTGTGTAGAACCTGGAGACTATAGATCCCTGTATACTGTGTAGAACCTGGAGACTATCCCTGTATCCTGTATAAGACCTGGAGCCTACGGATCCCTGTATCCTGTATAGAACCTGGAGACTATATATCCCTGTATCCTGTATAGAACCTGGAGACTTTAGATCCCTGTTTCCTGTATAGAACCTGGAGACTATAGATCCCTGTATCCTGTATAGAAGCTGGAGAGTATAGATCCTTGTATCCTGTATAGAACCTGGAGACTATAGATCCCTGTATCCTATATAGGACCTGGAGACTATAGATCCCTGTATCCTGTATAGGACCTGGAGACTAAGGACATAGATAAGGAAAGTTTGCTTCTCTCTACTGCACCTTAGAGACTCCAACTTCATTTTATGCATCATAAAATTGTGAATTCTATGTATATTTAAACCGTTTCTGATAAAAGCACCGAGGCACAGATATATTTCATGTTTGAATTTATAGCATATAATAGAGAGAAATGAAAGGGGAAATATGAGGTAAATGGAGCTGCAAAAGCTTAGTGTATGATTGGTTTTATATTTAAAAAGCTGGAAAGGGTTAGAGAGAGGTATCAAATATTCATTCGGGATTTACTGGATGAGCAATTTTTATATATCTAAACATGGAAATTTGAAGACGACCGAATATACAGGGATAACCAGAAAACTCTGGACTAGTAGGGCGACTTTGAGAATCAAGTTTAACTTTAAAAAGTTCAATAACCATGAAACACAGAAGTTGTGCAGTGTAAACAGACCCATTTCACAAAAAAAAAGTATTTTTATAAGTGTCTTGTAAAACTATTTGCTTTCTAACACAATTAAATGCACTTAAGTATTGATATAATGTGGTCTTCCCATTACATTATTTTCTGGTTATCACTGTGCATAGTATCAAATATGCCTTTTTTGATCTCGAAAACAGTCTTTAAGTGGGAATCTCGAGGATTAAGGTTTAAGGAAATAAAATTAAATATCATTTATATGCACATTACATAAATGATAAAATCCTCAATAAATGTCTATTAAAATTATAAAAAATCCAGGAAATAAGATTTTGTGGTATGTCCCCCCCCCCCAGGAAGTAGAGTAGAGAAAACTTAATTCATCTGAATGCTTTTATTTCGTTATTCTGAAGGTGTACAATGTATATTGTAGAGGCAGTGTAAATAAAAGAATAGGTAAGAAGCTAGAAATCAAATGATGCATAGTTTTTTTCCGGAAACTATTCAGATCTTTTTGAACCAGACACATTATTGTGATAGGTATGATTTATGTCTTCTATACGTAATTTATCTTATAATATTATTATTATGTTAATTCATATTATATTATATTTAACGTGGCTGTCTGTTTTTTTTCAAGCCATGGCAAACGTTAGAGCGGCTGCACCGAGCAAGCCAAAAAGTTTTTTTGGACATTGAAAAAAAAAATTCTTCGTCTGAAAAATAAATTTCAATCTAAGAACATTTTTGAAAATCCCTTTTAAAAACAGAAAAATCTGAATCCCAAACCGTAAAATTCCCAAAGTTCTTACCAAATGTTTAGTTATCTTGGATTGGTAATTGTGTAGTGCAAGCGTACACAAAATATTCATGGATCCTACTCTAAACTTTATTGATCATAAAGATTTTAAACCTGAAAACCTCTCCAGGGAGAAGGAAGGATTATAGAGATAAATATCAACATGAAAATGTGAATTTTCTTAAATTTCAGGTTTCTAAAAAAACTAGAAGCTGTCTTCTTGTTCTAACTGGCACTGCAATTTGTTACTGGACCTTAATGCACTCTTTTTCTAATAACTGTGCGCTTACAATAGTTTTTTACATTATGAGCTGACTTGTGGAAGCATTTTGCTTGGGTGTTGTTTATTACGAAGTCACTGATCTAAGAAAAAGAGACATCCAATTAAAGACCTCCTATTAAAAAGGTTCACACAAGAAATGATGTCCTTAGAATTGATTTTTACATGTAATTTGACTATTGCCGTAATGATTGGATGCATTTTGCTTGTTCATTGTGAAATCACAGATCTCAGAAAAAGAATGCATTCAAGTAAAAAGTTGCAGTGCCAGTTAGCTGGCAGAGACGACCTCCAATCAAAAAGTGTTCTTAAAACTTGTTTTCTTTACATGAATTGACTTTCGCCGTCATGATTGGAAGCATTTTGTTTTATTTACTGCGAAATAGCTGCAACTTCAATGTCAACGTTCAGTTATGTACTGCTTACTGTACAGTTCACATTTCTAGGTTTGAATGAATAAACGCGGTGTTCTCCATTCATGTTCAGGTTCGGCACAGATTTAGATTTAAATGTTTGCTACGAAGAATTCTCACTTGATGTCCAGGTTTAGTTTCGTACTCTCTTGGTTTGAATGTATCTACGCTGTGTTCTCAAGGTTCAGTCCTGTACTGTACAGAGTACAGATCTTGGATCTAGGGTTAATCGTTTCTACTCAGTAATTTAACTTCATGTGAAGGTTCGTCTCTGTACTGCAGAGTGTACAGTTTACATATCCAAGTTTGAACGTATCTAAGTGGTATTCTCCATACATGTTCACTGGTTCAGGTACAGTGTTCTTTGTTGTACAGTGTACTAATCTATAGGTTTAAGCATAACATAAGCAATAATCTCAACTTTATGTCCAGGTTCTGTTCTTTACTGCATTAGATCAAGATATTTACGGGGTGTTCTCCCTACATGTTCACGTACAGTATACGGCTACTGTTCAGTTTACAGATTCAAACATATCTACGTCAGGCACTGTTTTGTTCTGTACTTTAAACTTTAAACTTATCTAGGTTTCAATTTTTCTGCGCGGTAATCTCCCTTCATGTTCTGGTGAAGCTCTATATTGTACATTGTACAGATCTAGGCTTAATATCAACCCGGTAATCTTCCCTTTTATCTAAGTACAGTTCTGCATTGTACAGTGTACAGATCTAGGTTTAAACGTATCTACCCGGTAATCTCCCTACATGGTCATTCTGTACTGTACACTGTAAAGTGTACAGATTTGAATGTGTCTACGCGGTAATCTCTTAACATGGTCAAGATTCTATTTGTTCTTCTAACCTTTATTTGACTTTGCTCACACAGATTTGTTCCTAAAAGTTCAAGGAGGGGGACACATAGGACGAGGTGGTTTAAGAGAGGTGGGGGTGGGCGGGGGAGGGTTTGAAGAGGGGAACATGGAGGGGTAAGGGGGGATTAAATGCTTATAATTTAAAAGAGTTTATCTTTAAATACAAAAGCAAATCATACAGCAGCCATATAATTAATGTCGTAAAGCATTGAAAGCAACAAATTTGTTGATGTAATTATATTAAACCTTTTATATTTTCATCATTAAGGTCGAATAAATATACATATTTGTTTTCTAAATTATTTAGATCGACTTAGGTGACTTTATTATGTAAACATGGAAAGAAATTGTCAGAATGAAACACCTTTTAAACAAGAAAAACAACGATGTTTTCCCCAGTATTGATTAGGAAAATGTTTAAAGGGAACCATTTTGAATCAGGCATGCCGCTCTATAATTATTGAGGGTCATTGTATATTACGGCTACAGTCCCTTTAGAGCTGAATAAATCCATATATCTATTCTATGGTGTATGTCCAATGTTCCTATTTTGTGATTTCCTTAAACGAATATTTTTATTACAAATGATATCAGGCTCTATTTGCTTTGTGACATATTAAAATGTTTTTAATAATTCATAATAAATGTCATAATAAAAAGTAGATAAGTTTTATTTGAAGAAATACCGGCGACCTCGTTTGTGTAATTTCTTATATTTCCGAGTCATTTAGGAAGGAAAACCAAGAGAAGGGAATAAGAATCAACAATGTACGTTGTTGGCAGATCAGTTCTAATAGTTTTCAAGTTATTTCTTTTTTTCTCTTTATGTGTCATATCAATGGTTATTTGATATTTAACAAGTTTTTTTAAAAACAACTAAATTATTTTCATTTCAAGTTTTTCATATTTTGGTTCGTAGGTTTTACTAAATAATTCTTATCAAAGCTTTGGTCCAAGTTTTTCTAAAGAAAAAAGGAAGCAATTGGTCTCCATCATAATGTTAACCCGCGGCTTCTTTTAAAGGAGACAAGTTTTGCCTCAAACTCTAAATGTTAGGTTATGGTGTAAAATAAAAATTTAAAAAAAACAAAATTTTTAACTTTTCTATGTTCTTTATATTTTATTATCTATATTTTTTTAGATTATTTTTTGTTGTCTAAAATTTCCGTCCAGAAGTCCATTCTCTCCTTAAACCTGGAATTATAAAAACTTTCAATTTCAAAACATTTAAAATAAAACACATTTGCTTCAGAAAATCATTTTTAACTAAATGTTTATTTGTATATCAAATTACTCTAATGTATTTATGTACGGTTGAGGTACCGAGACGACTTGAAGGCAACTAGTGTAAGTTGTGTACTTCATGCACACAGTACTCCGTAATCGTGCGACAAGTCTAAAACGTATGATAAACCTAGGATTTATTAATCGTAGGTTAATCCTACGATTAAGATACTCGTCTGACGAAGTGGCCTACTGTATATGGCTAAACGGGACGGTACACCAAGCCAATCATCTCTTTCAAGGGAGTTTAATGTACCCTCTCTCTCACAGACTTTACAATCGCACCTGTGTCAGACCTCAAGTTTTAATAAGATCTTGAATATTACGATTTACCTGTCAGAGTAGGCCATTTCAGGCGCTGGTTTAATATCCATATAGGCTGGGGCACTGAAAAAGCGAGTTTTTAGTGATAGATATTAAAAATGGAAAATTATATTTCAACTTTGAATTAAAGAATCTAGATAATTAAAGAAAAATATAATAATTGCACTTTATAAACCTTTGCCAAAAACATTACGAAATGAATCCAGTGAAGATTCAAAGATATATTAAAGAGTGTTCTCTTTCTTTTGGCTTACTTTACATTGAACTGCCTCCACGATCCATCTGTAGTGGGTGTGCCTGTTTTTGCAAAATCAGTCCACCAAGTCAAAAATTCTTCCCTCACTCTCAGATCATCAGATGTGAAAGTATAGTCAGCAAAGTTAACCTGGGTAAATTGGTTAGAATTCAGGAGAATAAAAATGAACTGATTACTCGCCTCAGATCTTCTACTCCTCATATATCTTCAACTAGTGTTGTTGATCGTTTTTTATCGTTTTAAGAAGCAAAAAAAAACTTAATAAAACTTCAAAGATTTTCAAACTTTATTACGCTAAAGTTCGCTTTTTTATAATTAAAATGTCTTTAATCTATAAAAATAAACTTAAAATATCTTTAATCTAAAAAAATGAACGTGCAAAAATGATCAGAAAACCATAGTTACTTTTTGCATCATTTTTTGGATCGTTTTTGGGTCGTTATTTACATATAACTTATACCAGAGTCAATATTGTAAGAATAACAAGGGTTTAAAATATACATAAATAGATTTGCTCTCCACACTATGCTAAATTTTGACCCTGAAGAAAATGTAAACAATAAACACCCAATAAACGAACCAACTACAACTGGTGCTGTAAACATCTGATATTAATTCTAGACCAAAAGTTGATAACGTCAGATTGCAAAGGTATAGAATAATCTGTTCTTTTGTTAAACATATATTTATACCTTGAAAAGATGATAAAGATCATCTGCATGACACGGACCCAAACCATACTTTTCAGAATCCACTCCTAGAGCATAATCAGCAAAACTGTTCTTAGATTTGTATGTGAGAAGGTATGTGAAGATATTTGAATTGTTGCTCGCTAAACTGGAAAACCTTAAAATGCATGATCATGAGAACAACATTAAATACTTTAAGATACTGTCGTCGTAATTTCAAGTCACCATTTACAACGGTAACCTTGCAACCAGATCTGATTAATAATGTGTAAGATTATGTCGTTCTTTAGTTTTGAAAAGAGTTTGATTCTGCTAATTCCTATATGGGTTTCTTTTAACAGAAATGCTCAAGTCAGTTTTGTAGAGAAACCACAATTGAAAATAATCAGTCTTCAAAATAATAAACATGTTCTTAATCAGAAAAAGCTTTTACAGGTACCATTGTGAATCATACATGCCACTTTATAAATGAAGGGTCACTTGAAATACATTTCTATTAACCCATTATTTGCTTCAAAATAATAATAAATGCTCGGAGGAGTAAAACTTTTGAATATTGATAGCTGTACAGATTTAAATGGAAAATTTCAAAGCCAAAAATCTTCAATGTTAAGAAAATACAAACCAAACTATGCCAAGCACATACTCAATTATATTACCTATGTGCTCCTGACCAGAAAAGATTGTCAGAAAACATGTCAATGACGTCATGAATATTGTCCATTGAAGCAGGATTGTCTTGCAAGTAAAAATATTTGATAACATTAGACAGATCAACTTCTTCAGGCGTAGGGTCTGAAGTATCAAATATATAAATTGGTCCATAGTAATCCCAATAGTTATTTATGATATCAAATGAGGTTTCGTTTGTAATATATCTTGCTGCACTATAAATTCCTTCTTCTCCGACAACGCCTACCAGCATTGGCACCTTTGAATACTGTCCTTTCTTGACTAGGTTTTCCGGTGAATCAGGCAAAAATGGATTATCTGCAAAATCATCAATGATGGCATCCCATGGATTAAATGTGCAAATATTTTCATCAACACAGAGATAGATAGCATTCAATATCTCTTCCACTGATTTAGTGTCCAGGCAAGCTAGAAGGATATCATCTGTCTGAGAACTACAACCAAGGGAGTGTCCAAGTGCCACTGCTGTCTGGTGTGGTTTGTTTGGTCTACTACCAGCAATATAGAAATTAAAGGGAGCTCCACTTTCAGCAATAGCCTTGTTAAACAAACCATTTGCTAGGGGAGACACTACTTGATACATCACACTGAAGCTTCCAGCAGACTCTCCAAATATTGTAATATCTTCAGAGTTTCCACCAAAACTTTTAATATTTTCTTTGACCCACTTTAAAGCTAGAATTTGATCTTTAAATCCAAAATTTCCAGGAACAGCATTTGTCTCCAAGCTTAAAAAACCAAAGGCTCCCAGTCTATAATTGATTGTGACCAAGATAACATCTTTATCCAGGATAAACTGTGGACCGTACAGTAAGTTATTTCCAGACCCACTCTGCAAGGCTCCCCCATGGATCCAAACCATAACTGAAAGTTTGTCCCCCTGCTCAGGAGTGTAAACATTCAGATATAGACAATCTTCCGACATATTCTCACCATATTGATTTATTTGGGGACAAATCGGACCCTCCTGGTTTGCGTAGATTAGAGAATCATGATATTCATACGGTTCAGCTTCGTAAAATCTTTTAACAACTTTTCCGTATTGTAATCCTCGAAAAGTTTTAAAAGGTAATCCAGACTCTGTTACATCCCATGCTCCAATCACTGTTCCAAAAGAGGTGTTGACAGATGGGTCAAGTAGCAAAGATTTATCTGATAATGATAATAATTATAAATGGTAAATCATCATTCAATTGAATTAAGGATGAGTCCCCATCAGAAATAACCATCATCATAGGATGGAAATTATTGTAAAAGTTAATAAATGACATCACAAGTCTAGTGTGAATCAACATATGAAGGGCTAGGCGAACGACCAACACAAGTACTGCAACATAAATAAAAAACAGAGATACAGTTTTAAGCAAAAAAGGAATTTTGTCTTTGCCTCAAACTCAAATTTTCTAATACTCTATCTATGTAAGTAACTATGATGGTGTAAACCATTTATATTTCAAACTTAAATTATTTGATCTATTATGGATAAACATCACATTTTCAAGACAAATTCTGGAGGTTGAAGCAGAGACAAATTTAGTTTTAAAGGATACCATTTTAAACTAAGTTGGAATTTATTTCAGGAAGAATAAAATTCCCATTGATGGGAAAAGCTTTAAAGGTATTTCCAGTATTGCAAAGCTGGATAGGGGCCAATCAATGCAGCAAGAGCTGAGTGAGCATCAGGTTATGAATTACTGAAACAATCTATCTGAATAATGCCCTGTGATATACATTATACAGTATTTATTTAAAAGGATTTCACTTCACAGTACAGTAAGTATTTTGCACTTACAATATTTATATTGTGCAATATTTATCAAATTTTTATCAAACCTAATTTTTAAATAAATTCACAAGCATTTTGTGCCTTTTTTAAATGTTTTAAATATTTTTTTTTTTTAATTAATCTCTGTTTTTTTGGTGATATAAGTTTTTATAGATTAGAAAATACCTAAACTTTCTTGTGAAGCACATGACCCAGCCAAAGAAAGCAAAATAAATGCAAACACTTTACACACCATAGTATATAGGAACTATGTGTAAAATTCAAAAATTTACTATTCTGAAGATAACAAATAAGAGATAACATCATGACTATATGATGTTTGTTTATTGAAAGGTAAAACAGTTCATACAATAAAATTGTATAACCTTTATGTTTAGAAAATAGTTAGGAGGCCATACAATTTGTAAAAATTGTTGTAAATCAAATAATAAAAAAATTCATTAAAAAAATACTAAATTCTAATTAAGCGCAATTGACATGTATGAAAAACATATCTGTTTTTACTGTTTATTAAATATTTTAAAAACTTTTGCTACACAACTTTACATTTGTTTTAAAAAACTAAGTCAAAAGCTGATGAAGAAAATAATCTGCATATCTTTATTTTTTTTTAAATTCTAAATTAATTCTGAAGTTGAGTTTTAATTAATACATGTTTTAGATATTAGTTGTGGAACATTTAAGGTTTAAAAGGAAACAGATGTGTGATTAAAACTTCTATCTCTTCTTTCCAATTCAATGAATACTTAAACTCCATCTATGTCTTGGTCTGCTCAATTATTTCCATCCAGAAATCCATTCTTTGTTTGTACCTTAAAGAATGTGTTAGTTAGTCTTTCATTATCATACTATTTAGTTTTTTACTCTCTATAATGAATAACATCAAGTTTAAATGACAAATTTTCTTTTTCCTATTATTGTAGCTGTAAATATGCGAACCTGTCAGAATATGCCATTCCAGACTGATCAGACTTGATTTCAAAATATCCAGGATTACTAAAATTATAAAAAGTATTTATTAGATAATTATTAATTTAGAAGAATTTGCTTTATTCCATATATATATTGATGTTGATCACTAGACAAACTGATTTGAATTTTTTTACCTGGCTGAAAAAGTTTTCCATTCCCCATTTAAGGATGGTTCGCCACTTTTAGCAAAATTAGTCCACCAGTCAAGCATATTGTTTCGGACAATTAAATCATCTTCTGTGAAGGTCAGTTGAAACACATGGTTCTAAGAATACAAATATTTGTAAATAATTGTTTATATGTTTACATAAAAAATGTATGTAGTCAAAGTTTCAGGTACCTTAAAAATGTGATATAGATCATCTGCATGGCAAACTTTAAGTCCGTAAGTTTCAGAATCAACCCCTAGGACTAGGTCAGCAAAGCTATTCTTTGACTTATATGTCAACAGGTAAGAGTAAATATCTGTAATGCTGCTTGCATAATGAGTAAACCTAGATAAAAACATACATAAGTTTTAAGTTTCTCTATTAATCAGATAATTTTACCTGTGTGCCCCTGCCCAGAAGAAAATATCAGAGAACATATCTATAATGTCATGTATATTTTCTATGGAGGAAAGATTTCCTTTCAGGTAGAAATTCTTGATAGCATGGGCAACTTCAATCTCAGTATCTGTGGCTTCAGAGGTGTCAAAGATGTAAAGGGGTCCAAAGTAGTCCCAATCATTATTGATGAGATCATATGATGACTCATTTCTGATAAAAGAAGCTGCACTGTATATTCCCTCTTCTGATGTTACCCCAAGAATCATTTGTACTTGGTTAAACAGACCTGGAACCAGATTTAATGAAGTTGAACTAGGTCTAGAGATGGTTCAACCATATATCTTCAATCAGTGATTCAAGATGTAAACTCCACAGTGGATGTAAACTCCACGGTGGACATAAACTCTACGGTGGTAGGTTGTTGAGTGACATAGTTCAAATTCATTAAATGTGGTCCCTGCTTTTAGAAGGTTCTCTGGAGTATCCGGAAGAAAGGGGTCTTTAGAGTCTCGGTCCACTACAGCATCCCATGGATTAACGGAACAAATACCATCCTCAACACAAATATATTTAGCTTCCAAAATTTCCTGTGTTGATTTATTTTCCAGACATGTCAACATTGCCCCCTCAGTGCCAGTATTACAATTAAGTGCTTTTGCGAGTGCAAAAGCTATTTTTTGTGGTTTACCAGGACGGCTACCTGAAATGAGGGAACCAAAAGGAGCCCCACTCTGGGCAATTGCTCTGTTGAACAACCCATTTGAAAATGGTGACAGGACTTGATACATGACACTGAAACTTCCTGCTGATTCTCCAAACAGTGTTATTGATTCTGGATTACCTCCAAAACTATTGATATTGTTTTTAACCCATTTCAAAGCCAAGTTTTGATCTCTTAATCCCATATTTCCTGGACTTGACTCTGATTCAAAGCTTAGAAATCCAAAAGCTCCCAGTCTGTAATTCAATGTCACCAAAATGATATTTTTATCAATGAAAAACTGAGGACCATAGAAATAATCTCCACCAGATCCCCTGGTATAAGCTCCTCCATGTATCCAAACCATCACAGAGAGGTTTTCTCCTTCACTAGGTGTAAAGACATTGAGAAAAAGACAGTCTTCATTCATTTCCCCTGGAACCTGGTAAGGGCCTTCCAATTGAGGGCATATGTTTCCTTCTTTATCTGCATGGAAGAAAATTTCAAAATCCTCAACAGGTTCAGCTTCCTGAAATCTTCTTGTTTGTCTTCCATATCTAATTCCTTTAAAAGCTTTATACAGATGATCATGTTCACTTCTTTCCCAAATTCCAATCATTGTTCCAAATTGAGTTTTTACTCTAGGTGCAAGAGGAAAGGTAGATTTCCAGAAATTCAGTCTCTCTTTCACACTATCGCTGAAGTCCATTTCTAGACAGAAAAATGAATAAAAGATCACACCAAAAAGAAAAAGGACAAGGTATACCTGGCTTGAGCATTATTTCAAGATATTGATGAGAATCTTGATATAGACTCCAATTAAAATCTAAATCTCCTTCAGGGGGTACTGGTACATCTTTTTTTGCAAAGTTGGTCCACATCTTAACCATGGTATCCCTGATAGCCTTGTCAGAGTCTGTTCTTAAAGTAGGGAATTCAACAAGGTCAAGATGAGGGTTGAAGAGGTAAAGAAGATCGTCCAAATGACAGACTCCTTGATCTTCTATGCCAACTAGTTCAGAATATGAATATGATCCTTCGTATGTTATGAAGTATTCATAAACAGGAGAATTCTTGGAGTACAGATCAATTGCTCTTTGCATACCAACCCAGATGATCAGATCAGAAAACATATTGATCAAAGATTGAGACGTTTCCTCCGATATAGATTGTTCACCAAAGTAATATTTTCTAAAAAGATAGAATTATTTCAGGTTGTTAAATTTTTCAAATACTACTAACCTCACCTCACGACTTCTATAAATTTCTTCATTTGTGAATTCACAACATTTTTTAAATATCAACTGTGTTCCATACACATCCCAGTCCTGGTTAAGGTTGTCAAGTAGTTCATCATTTTGCATTATATTTGCAAAGTTCATAATTCCTTCATCTTTTAAAAATCCAGCCATTAGTGGAACCTTTAAAGTCACTCCTGAATTAAAGGCATCCTCAACAGAAACATAGAAAAAGGGATTTTGAGAGTACAGATAGTCTTCTGAAGGAGTAAATTTGTAATGAGGGTCAGATAAAGAAGCTTCCATGATTTTTTCTGCATCAATTTCTTGAAGACATTGTAAAGTGGCTTTGTCTGTCTTTCTATTGCAATTAAGTTTAGCTGCAAGAGACAATACTGTTTGTCTCAACACTCCAGGCTCTGCATTCTTGTTTACAGGTCTTAAATCTCCTGATCATTCAATCCATTAGAAATTTATAATTGCAGGAAAGATCTTATATGCAGAGTATATTCATGAAAGTTACTAGTATAATTTTCAAAGTAATGTCAAATCTTGATGATAATGATAATAATAACAATGATAATGACAATAATAAGGATAATAATAATCATAATATAGACTTGAAAAGAACTCAGAATTAAAAAGCTAAGAATGAGTTGGGAAAAAGAGCATGGTTGCATACACACAATATATTTACATTATGATTATACAAACAATTAGTGTTGGACCAACTAAAGTTGATCTAATTACACATTACATTCGCTTAGGGGAAAATATATTTCCATTTGACTCTTCTCTTCAGATACTTTGTGCTGACTGACTTCATATTGGGGCAAAAGATAGCCATACAATATTGCTTTCTCTGCCGGGAGATAATGCTGTTCCTCCTTTCTCCAGCATCATATTAATCCCTAACTCCCCTATTTCTCTAGATAAGAAATGGTTTCATTCTTTCTGGAGTTTGTTGTCAGGCTGCCCATACCTGGGTTTACTGCACCCCATGGCCAGCTCAGCCTTATCTGTTCTTCGCTGTTCTATATTTAAGGTTGCACACATACTCGGAGTTCAATACACTTGGACTGGCTCCAGACTTGTTTGACTTTATAGATTGCATTTACTATGCATCATTTCCCCGGCTGGGAGCAATGAATTAAAATCAGATAAATAGTAATAATAATAATAACAATAATGTTAATAATAGTGTTGTTGAAAAAATTTATAATCTAAATAAATAATAGTTAAATGATTTTGAAAAAAAAAGTATCTCTAAGATTTCCTGGTGCAGAGGATTGTGCAATGGCTTTTTTAAAAAGTCCCTCTGAATATATACTAGATAAATGACTAAGAACGCTACAGATACATGCTTGATAATTTTAAAGGCGCCATTCTCCTTTCTTGTTGATAATTATTGATCCAAAGTAGAAATTTATAAATGAAAAAAGAAATAGTCAAACCAGGTACTTCTGCTAAGATCAATTTTACTAACTCTCTCATTCAAATCAATTTTGGTATCACTGGAAATTTACTTGAACTGCTGTACCTAGTTCCACTACATCTTACTATTAGATTAGCCCAGTTCTAAAACAATAAAATAACTTTTCAAATTTATCAGTAGTTTGCATGCCTTAGTGAACCACCACTTTGTCCAAAGAGTGTGACTTGATTTTTGTCTCCACCAAAGCTTTCTATATGGTTTTGAATCCAGTTGAGGGCTACTCGTTGATCTTTAAATCCTTGATTGCCAGGCAAAGTTTGCCTTTCGAAACTCATAAATCCAAACACATTTAGGCGATAATTGATTGCTACCAATATAACATTTTCATCTACAAGGAATTCAGGACCATAAAAATGAGTTCCTCCACTTCCACTTGCCAGGCCTCCTCCATGAATGTAAACCATAACGGGAAATTTTTCTTGTGTTGTTCTACATGGAGAATATATGTTTAAAAATAAACAATCCTCACTCATTTCCTCTTGTGTATAAAATTTTAAGTTTGCTTGCATGCACTTCTTTCCCAACTTTGTTGCGTCTAAAATTTCAGTCCATGAGTTCTTTAAAACTGGGTCTAAAAACCGGAGATGTCCAACTGGTGGTTCTGCGTAAGGTATACCTTGATATGACTTGATACATTTACCCTTCACTGATGTTAAATATGATCCCTGAATGCTTCCTGCAGTTGTTGTTTCAACTTGTGGTTTGAAATATACAGTTCTCCAGAAGTTAGCTCTACTGACATCATCTTCAGTAAGTTCCATTTCAATTTCTCCGGCAACCTTAAGATATTTTTGAGTTTCTCTGGACACCGGAGTCCACAGTACACTCCCTGGACCATTGGGGTTTCCTGACTTGGCAAAGTTTGTCCAGTATGTAACTATTTCTCTGCTTATAGCCTTATCTGTGTCAGTCAGAAGGTTGTTCTCCTCTTGTGAAAAGATATAAAAAAGTTCATCACCATGACAGGCTCCTAACTCTGGTCTATCTATGTTAAACCAATTCATAGAATTTGTTTTTGATCCAACATATTGAAAACTGTACTGGTAAATATTTTCTGTCTGTCCAAATTGTAATAATTCCAGCATGGCTTTACCCCCAGATTGGTACATGTTATCTGTCATCAAGTCTACCATAGTTTTATCTAGTGAGTTGTTCAAGACAGATTCCCCTCCATAAAAGTATCTCAAGCGTTCAGCTAATACAATATCAGCCTTACTTGCATTTTCAACCTTAAAGAACAGCGCAGGACCTTCTTTGATGAAATTTCTTTGAAGCTTTTCATAAGAGTCAGAGTTTACAAGCAAGTTATCTCCAAGATAAGCAATTCCATCTCCGTTATTTGAACCAAAGATCACATCAACATTTTTACCCTTTCCTGAAAAAAGTGCTGAAAGAGGGTCCTGAGGAAATAAAGGATTTTTTAACTTGGAATCAATAATAGGCTCCCAGAGCATGTGCGCTGGTTTGAAGAATGTTTGGGATACAAGATCTTCGATTGATTTTGATTGTAGACATTCTAAGATAGAATCAGAACATCCCACATGAGCTGCATAGTCCAAATTTGTCTGAGTTCTATTAGTTTTTTCCAAATTGTCAAATATAGGTCTGACCAGTGTTCCTGATTGTAAAATAGCTCTCTGGAACTTAGCTTGTTCCATGGTAATGAGAGCACTTATTGCCATGCTCCCAGCACTTTGTCCAAAGATTGTAACTCTATTTTGATCTCCTCCATAGTCTCCAATGTTTTCCTGAATCCAATCCAATGCGACTATAATATCCCGGAGTCCTAAATTTCCTAGAGCTGTTTCATTCAGCAGTGTGAAAAATCCTAGGACTCCAATTCTAAGACAATAATGTTCTTTTTTTGAAAACTTAAAAAATAAATCTCTACTTTTTTATACGAAACCTCCCTATACCTGTAGTTTAATGTGACAAGAATAACATCCTTTTCAATCAAGAAGTCAGGTCCTAACTTCGATGGTGAAGATGAACCTTTTACAAATGCTCCTCCATGAACAAACACCATAACAGGCTTTGGATCATCTACTTTCTTCAGATTAAAGTCTATTCCATCTAGTTATGTAAAGAAAAGTTAATTTTGTTTAGCTTACATAATCGTAATGAGGTCAGAACTTTTTTGTAGATATTGGTAATCTTGAACAATTGATCTTGACATCCAATGAGGGAAATTTTAAATTTATGGATCTATGTTTGATCTCTCTATGAAAGTTATTTCTGCACGGTATGCCTGTTAGGCCTATACAATATACATGGGATATCGAAGAGAAATTTAATTAATCCATAGGCATGCATAAGATGTAGATTAATGCTAATTCCCTTGATTTACAACACTAACAGTTAATTTTGTTTCTTTTATAAAATCTATTTAAAGTAAGAACTTTGTGTTCTGAATCTTCAGTTAAAGCATTGATCTCCATCTTATTCAGTCCTATACAGTCTAGTTTTATTACTCTTGATATCCTTTGTTGGTCAAAATCTACATGGATAATTAGAATGATTAATCAAAGGATCAAAAATGGATCTGCAAATTCAAAAGTGCCCAAATTGGCATTCAATATCAAATGTTAAAGATTATCGATGCTCTTCTCAAAATATTTCCTTCTCTGGTTAAAGATTTACCTGGAACATCTTGATCAAGTTCCTTCAGTGATTCATAACTTAAAATTGTTTCTGCATGCTTATTGCTTAAACCAAGATACAAAAAAGTTAAGCTAGTAGTAATAATTATTCACACAATTATAATATATTATGAAATCCAAAAATATATTCCTATTTTTTATAAACTTCAAAATCTCAAAGGATGAAGATGTTTTACAAAAGACATGCAGACCTAAAAGCTTGAGCTGGAGTAAAGATATTTAACACCAAACAGTCTTCATCTCCAACAACCTGTTCATCTAGTAGCTGGGGACACATTGGAGGATCTACTAATCCATTGTGCTGGTTCTTTTCCCACTTTCTATTCAACATTAGGAGTTTTTGTTAATTAATTTGTCAGGAAAACTTGTGAATGGTAAACTATGGAAAAGTTAACATGATGGCAGAGTATCGACCCGGCAAAGAAAAAATAAGTGAACCCTCATATTTGTGAATTTCTCTTAAAGTGTATTGAAAGAGTAAAAAACAGATCTTATCTTGCATAAGTTTTTCTTTTCATGAGTTTGTCAAAGGTACCATCTTTATGTAAATTTAGCTTGTCGGGGTGTCTGTTTGTTTGTATCCAGTAAACGTCAAAAAGGCTGAACCGATCGGGTCCAAATTTTGTGTGGGACCTCACACCGCCCCAGGGAATGATCAAAATTTTAATAATTTGTGTTAAAAAGTTTTTTTTGTAAAATTTTAAAGATGCGCAAAAAACTATTATGAAATCCGCAAACTTTTTTTTTTTTATACAGTACAAAGAGATGATGCTCACAGATAAAGCCACTAAAAGCCAAAATTTAAAAAAATCTTAAAAACAAAATCTCATAACATTATTAACATGGTAGAAATTTAAGAATCAAATTAGCTTTTTACTATTTGACATTTGTTTTGTGTTATTGTGCATGGATTCCTTGTATTGAGTATTTTAGTTCACCTTGCTAATGTTGGAGGTTTAAACCGTCTCTTCCCCAACGGTGGCAAAGCATAAGGTATGCTTTGAAAGGCCAAATAGCTTGAAGAGTTTGAATCAGTACGACGACCAAGGATGCTGCCTAGCTGTGTACCTTAAACACAAAGGGTTGTTTTAAATTTTCATAGTAAACCTATAAAAGAAAAGAAAAAGTAAAAAATATGCTTTCAACTGGAATTTCTTGTAAGAAAAACATCAATGCTGAAATATCATCTATTTAAGACTTTGGTCATTTAGTGTATTTGTTTATCATTATTCATTACTTATCAAACTTTTTATAAAATCCATTTAAGTATTTATATAATTTGTAAATGAAAATTTCTGTTTAATTCGGTAAATATTTGCACACTCATGTTTGAAAACGACCCCACCCATTCACAACATCATCCTAACTTAGCTGTATCTGTCTGCATTTTACGGATAGGATACAGATATATATATAGTATCCCACCTAGTCTAAATGCATCTGTCTGTATAGTATGGATACAGATAGTATACAGTATCCTACCTAGTCTAACTGTATTTGTCTGTATTTTACGGATAGGATACAGATAGTATATAGTATCATACCTAGTCTAAATGCTTCTGTCTGTATTGTATGGATACAAATAGTATATAGTATCCTACCTAGTCTAACTGTATCTGTTTGTATTGTATATATACAGATAGTATACAGTATCCTACCTAGTCTAACTTTATCTGTTTGTATTTTACGGTTAGGATACAGATAGTTGTAACAAATTCAAGAAAACACGAAGACGATTACTACTGTGTAGCGAAGTTGACCACGCAAGATTCACAATACATAATACTATATCCGCTCCAAATGTGTCTCCTCATGTTCCCCCCCCCCTTTACCGCCTCTACTTGTGGAGAACAGAGTCAGTTAGCTTTAGAACGTCGAGATGTGAACACCTCCGATCAGGAACTACTAACTCCTTTATGATGATGGCGCAGATACTCAGCTAGCAGCAGTCGAGCTATCCTAAGGGTTCCCAGTTTATCATGTAATCAAGAGACAACATAATCGCTCAATCGCATCATGATAAAACCGCGATCTCCGCCTACTAGGTTGGATAAGCCAGGTGTTATCAATCCTCTCTTGCCAGTTCCTGTTGATCTGCTCCACCAACATGAAGCTCCAACTGTTCCATTCCTTTCAACACTAATAATCAATGTTATTTCATTTTCAACCGTTTAGATACTCCTAATTAAGGGTCAATATTTTTAAACTTTGCTTTTATTTCTCATTTCATGCTATTATTCAATAAAGTTACTGAATATCCCTTTTGTTCTTTTATTTGTGTCAACAATAGTATATAGTATCTAACCTAGTCTAAATGCATCTGTTTGTATTGTATGGATACAGATAGTATATAGTATCATACCTAGTCTAAATGCTTCTGTCTGTATTGTATGGATACAGATAGTATATAGTATCTTACCTAGTCTAACTGTATCTGTTTGTATTGTATGTATACAGATAGTATACAGTATCCTACCTAGTCTAACTTTATCTGTTTGTATTTTACGGTTAGGATACAGATAGTATATTTCATCCTACCTAGTCTAAATGCTTCTGTCTGTAATGTATGGATACAAATAGTATGTAGTATCCTACCTAGTCTAACTGTTTCTGTCTGAATTTTATGGATACAGATAGTATATAGTATCCTACCTAGTCTAAATGCATCTGTCTGTATTGTATGGATACAGATAGTATATAGTATCCTACCTAGTCTAAATGCACCTGTCTGTATTGTATGGATACAGATAGTATATAGTATCCTATTTCCTCTGAATTTTATGGATAGGATACAGATAGTATATAGTATCCTACCTAGTCTAACTGTATCTGTCTGTATTGCATGGATACAGAAAGTGAAGTATAATAGTTGCTGAAACCACATCTTCAGCTGAACTAACTAGTTCGACAACTTATCTTTCATGAATTAGCATTTTGTACACAAACTCATGAAAATCTAATCTGTTGTTTGTTTTCAAACAGTTTAATAACAACTAACTGATAATATTCTTATTAATAATGTTGCACCCATCATCTAGGAAAAAATATGCACATTAAAAAGTAACTTAAAGATATAAAAAACCTAAAAAGAAGATTATAGAAATACATAATCTGAGAAGAGGAAAAAAATATTGATGGTGTAAACGAATGAAGATTTTGTGAAAAAGGATAATAATGATGTTATTGGTAACAATGGTTGAAATGCCCGGCTAGCATTGACTGTGGAATTGAAAAAAAATTAAAATTTTTAAGAGATAAAATCAATTTTTTTGGCCTTTGTTACCGCAAGGTTTCATGGGTTCCCTCAAAAAATGTCAGCCAATTCGGTCCATATCCGTTAAGCCAGCTATAGCTAATTAACATGTATACAATAATACAAATATTATCAATTTTGCACCAGCAAAAATGTAAACATTGGTAAAGTACATAAGAATAAGATTTAATAATACAAAACTCATTCAGTAATTCACGATTTTAAAAGACTTCCTTTTACCTTGTGATTGTCATATTTTCAGAGCCTCCGGTCGTCTTTACAGTCTCATCCTTTGTGGGTGAACCTGTATGAAAACTGATCCAGAGGAGTCCTACCCAAATGGTTTCCGACCTAATTATCGACAATAGTTATTACATATTTATTACAATGGACTGATGACTCCCCAGGATAAGTACGTCTAACTCCTATCCAACTACACAGACTTCACTTACTTAGCTTGATCTAACCTAATCTTTGTAAATCTATTACACAATTTCAGGTCGACAAACACTTTGTTCAGGAAAACCTAAGGTCAGGAAACACTATAGATATTAGATAGTATGGGTATTGGGTAAGTTTCCTTTAGGTCGGATGAGTGGGTGCCGTTCACTCCCTCCCTCCTCCCTCCCCTCCGCATTAAATGACGCTTTTAAACTGAGTATACCTCAAAAATTACTTATTATTTATTAAAAATAAATTAAAAGAATTTTTTTATTAGTGTTTTCCAAGACGACCAAACCTTTGAGATATTTTATTTTATGATTTCCCTAACTTTCTCCGTGGAAAACACCGCGGCATTGATTCACCGGCTGCGCATCTTCAAATTTGTGAATGTCATTCTAGAAATGATTTTCAAATTAACAAAGATTTAGTCAGTAATACTGGTCCAGAATAATTTTTTAACTATCCAATAATGACCGAAGATATCCTTTAAAATTATGATCGCTCCGCGACCTCTTATTTGACTTCTTGGGACGCTTTTTTCCTCCGCACTCCAATAATTAACGGTCATTACGCAGAATTTGAACGATGACCTCGTTTTTTAATATGATCTCTGTGAACCTTAGTTAGTTGGATTCCAATTGATCCCAGTCAGCTCTTCTGGTCTGTGATTTTTCGACTCATTTTAAGAAATATACCTCTTGTTCATTCTCCAGGCCGTTTCCACGAAAATCTTATTTAGAATTTCCAAGTTTTGTTGTGCACTGTACACAGGCATTTTTCCAAAAATCGTATACTAGGAAATTACCGTTCCTTTTTTAATTTAATATAAAATTCAGTCAAATTCGAGCTGTTAAGTTCACCTTGAAATAATAATGAAGCATATTTCAGATGAAATCATTAGGAATTGAGAAGATCCCTAGCGCTGGGTGCGGGGACTACTCCAGTGGACCTACGGAGAGAAGATTCAGTCCCTACTCCGACAACGGAGGATCTGTTGTTGCCATCGCAGGAGAAGATTATGCAATCATTGCGTCGGATACAAGACTTTCAGGTATTTCTTGATTTCCGTTTAACAACAATTATAATTTAAGATTATATTATTACTCAATTGTTCAAAATTCCATTTGTATGAATTTACGGTACTAGATATTTAGAATTATATCACCTCTTCCTTTCTTTGCTCCTCCGGCATCCCCCCTCGCAGCCCCTCCCCCCATTCGCATTCTATATTTTATTTTCGAATTCTTTTAGAATTCCTCTCCTTGCATTGTATTTAAAGGGCGGAGGTGTCCCTAAGTTTCGTTAATGATTTACGGAAGAAAGTGTTGTAAATATATTAATTTATAAACATTTCATACTAATCTGGTTTTGAATTTGAAGAAAAATAATTTTATTTCACAGTAATTTTCTTAATCTTGAACTCTGAATTAGAATTTAATGATTAAATATTGAAGGCCAGGGTTACGCTATCCTGAGCCGTGAGCAGCCGAAGCTGTTCAAATTGTCCAACCAAACCGTCTTGGGATCCACTGGATGCTGGTGTGATATTCTCACATTCTGCAAGGTAATATTGTAATGCCAAGAATTATTTAAGAGCGGATCTCATAAGTCAGTCTGACACCTGTTTGTTGACTGTGAGCGAAAAGTAGTTTTAGGTTCATATCTTGTCACTAGAATCCGGATCCGTGGAGGTTTTCCTAATAGTTTTCTCTTCTAGTTTTAATGCATGTTTCTTTATTCCAAAACCATTTATTTGCTTGTTAAAACAATTCTTGAATATTTTATATGCAAGTCTAGAGTTTTTAAAATATAATTGTTTTCCAGGTTGCGAGTATGCGCATGAAGAGTTACCTCCATGACCACAGCAAGGTGATGAACACACCCGCTGTGGCACAGATGACCTCCGTCATGCTCTACCACAAGCGCTTCTTCCCCTACTACATCAGTAACATCCTGGCTGGATTGGATGAGACTGGTAAGGGTTGTGTGTACTCCTACGACCCTGTGGGACACTGTGAGCGGAACATGTACCGTGCCGGGGGTAGTGCCTGTACACTGCTCCAACCCCTCCTGGATAATCAGGTTGGGTTGAAGAATATGCCAGGAGAGGAGAAGGTTCCTATTTCTATGGAGAAGGTAACATATTTTTAATGAGTTTTTTTCTTTCGTTTTGATATCTTTTTTTAACTACGGGTATAAACTGAAAACTGAATCATACAAGATTTTAAATATTTTCGTTAAAATTTCAAATGGCAATATTTTCTATTTTTTCAAGTCTTTAACCTGTACAATTATTGTGATTTTTTCTTCGGAAGAGATTGAAATCGGATTAATATTTTCTAGGCCATGAATATAATCCATGACGTATTTATCTCCGCTGCTGAGAGAGAAATCCACACTGGGGACGGAATATTCTTCAATATTATCACCAAGGTATAATTTACTCGCGTTCAGTGAGTTTTACATGGGTTTATATTTTGTTGGAACTCCCCGTCCGCCCTCTTATTTAAAAAAAATGTTTTATTTCCACATGGTTTTTATGGTGATTTGGGGAACACAACTGAATTTAGGATATAAAATATCCTAAAGCATGTCAAAATTGCTTGTTTCATGTTCCAAAGAGATAAAGAGCCGCCATTCAGAGCAGGATTGCCCAAATCCAATTTTTTTTAACCATAATGTAGTCCTAACACATTCTAGAGACATTGAGATATCAATTTGATTATGATCTTGAATAACCAAGCCCTTGAGAGAAAAAGTGTGCGGTTTTTTTCGATATCCTTTGTGTTATCTCGCGAGGATGTTAAATATTTTGTTGTGCTGTTGGGGGNGACTAGGAGAGAACTGCGAACCTCTCGCAATTGATATAAATTAGTCACTGAACAAGATTGAAAATAATTGATGCGAAATAGACATATTTTGTCAAGTGAGGATACTGATCATTTCGCGCCCCCCCCCCTCAAAAAAAGATATTTATGTCATTTAAAATATCATAAATTGTTTAGGATGGAATCAAGACGGAGACTGTTCCGCTGAGACGAGACTAGAGGGTTCCCATATCAGTGATCAAGAACTAGAATTTATGGACAATTAGTCCTTTCCTAAACTAATTTCTTGACACATCGTCGGCTTTTCAGTAGGACCTCGTTCCTTATTTTTTAAATATATTTCCTTCGTTTTCCTTTTCGTCCTGTCGCTGTCCTTTAATCCTTGGTTACCCTGTCCTACATAATAAATTAATTTCTAAATTGTGATTAATTCTGCGGTTTTCACAGACAAAATGGGAAAAGATTATCTCGGAGCAGATCAGAGGAAAGCAAAGACGGAGAAGGAGGGAGAAGAAAAGGAGATTAAGGTACAGTGCAGTTGTGCAGTTATAGTGCTAATACGGTTATTGCAAAAAGTTAAATGTAATAAATCTTTTTCGTGTAATCATTGACGAAGTTACTCAGGTGGAAAAATTCAAATATTTAATAAACATAAATTTGTTTTTGTTGAAAAATAAAACCTTTATTTTCAGGCTCTTGATGATCGTGACATTGCACTCCTAAAATCCTACGGACAGACACAGTATACAAAAGCTCTCAGGGTAAACAAATGTTTTAATAGATGTAAGATCCAAACCATAACATTTATTTTGTGCACTATTGATCAAAAATTCAATATTAAAGATTGCTTTATCCGAAGGAAAGAAAACAAAAACTAAGATGTAACATTAACCCTATGAAAAAGATTCGTTGACGAAAATCGATGTGAAGAATTTATAAGATTTTTAGCTTGTTTTGGTGCAATGAGAGAAAAGGTTTTGTTAAAATTTCATTAGGACATTTAAGGGTAGCTCAAGAACTAAGTATTTTTGTGTAAACAAAAACAGAATTAAAGAAGTCTGTAGTATATTTCTAAGCAGGACAGAAAGGCCAGGCCATAGCGTGCAAATACAATTTGCTGAATATTGTTCAAAATAAAACTAGTTCTAAAACTATTCTAATAAGTCACAAGTCACATTAGATTGTTATTATGTATTGCAAACAATCTCTATTACACTCTCCATTGTTCTAAAACCTCTAATTAGGGGGACATTAGTTTAAAAACTAACACTTGGCCCAGTTCTAATACTGAGAATGCCAGCTCTGCAAAGTTATTTTTCTATGCGTAAATGAGTAAAACTATATACTGAAACAAGAAACATCCACTTTAAACTAATAATAGAGTGTGGGAATTCGTTTTTGATACTTGATTTTATTTTTGAACATAACCCTATTTTGAAACAATTAACGCATTTCAGCTCGTGTCGCGTTTTCGGAACATATCCTGGTTTTGAGACAGTTAACTTGAATTCATACTAATGTCACTTTTCAAGCATTTACGCACTTACATAACAAAACAAGATTATTTGATACGGTAAAATATAAACAAAATAGAACGTATAAACAAACTGTTCTTTTATAATTATAAAATTATTACGGCATTGAGAAATTAAGATAATTAGATAATTTTGTTCTTACAATATAGATTTAACAAGAAATGCGGGAAACTATTTGTTTTAAATGCGGCTAAATAAATCATCTGTTTTCTTATTTAACAAATAAAATAAGGATATTTAGATTCTAGTTCAGCAGTTAATTTTTTTCTAAAAAAGATAATTTTTGTTTTCAGTGATTCATTTTGTAAGTTATGATAGTGAGTTTTGTTTAAATTGCGGATTATACACAGAAGGGGTTTTTTTCTCGAAAATGCGACAATGATTCAAATTCAGAATATATTCGAAAATGGAAACCCCGACAGTGTCTTGAAAACGGCCAAGGGTTTTAATATAAAAAGATTCCTTTTAAAATTTTGATTTCCGAAAGGAGTTTAATAAATGTTGGTCATAGTTTTTACTATCGACTTTATATCTCCATATGGACCAGGATTCTAAAAACTCAGCCTTTCAATTTGTGCTTACTTCTAACACTCAGTGTCAGAAATGGACCAATTGTTGGTTTTGGAACTAATATCCCCTGTATTTACAGGCTGTAGAGAATGATATTGCTGAGATATCGAAGCGTGTGAATGAGTTGGCCGGGATCAAAGAATCCGATACAGGTGAATACAATTGCTAGAGGTCATACATATGGTGATCCCTGCACTTACTTTTAAAATAATTTTCTCATTTTACATGGGATAGCTTTATATTTTCTTGAAAGATTAGTACGTTGGATTTTAAAAAGGAGAGTTAAAAGCTTGCACGCTTAACTCGTATTGACATACATATTTTTAAGGACTTGCTCCTCCTGCACTATGGGATCTTGCAGCCGATAAACAGTCTATGCAGTCCGAGCAACCATTACAGGTTAGCTAATCAGTAACTAATGAACTGACGTATGTTTTTATTTCCTTAGAATTCCACCTATTCAAGATATTTTTTTGTTCTTAGTTCTTCAGAGGGGTATGAAGGGGGTGGGAGCTTGCTTAATATTAAAGAAACGGGGGCTGGAGAAAGGAAGAATTATCGATCAGACGGGGCCGGAGGGAAAGTTTAAAGGAACTGGAAATGAAATATTAAGCGATCCCCCATCGATAGTGGTTTGAACGATACCCGTTAAAGCTTTGTCTGATTAAGTATGAGTTAGATATCCATGTTTCTGTTTTTAAAAACTGTTCAATTTCATTTATGGGGTCTTGCGCATTTCTTGCTTCAGGAACATTGGAGAAATAAAACAAATTTAACAGTTGGAAAACTTCGTTATCTTCCACATTATTTACTAGATAAGAGGTATCAAACTACAACTACAACTAAATGTAACGAGTTTGATGAGAAATGAGTATGAGGTTGTCCTAATAAGAGGGGTTGTGTGCAACATAACAATTCAGTATTGATAGAACTGCACACTATCTAGATCAAGTTACAACATACTCCCATATAAATATATTCACTAAACAATCTATCCTTCAGGTGGCACGATGCACCAAGATTATCAACGCTGACTCCGAGGATCCTAAATATATTATCAACGTAAAACAGTTTGCCAAGTTTGTAGTTGATCTGGCGGATAGTGTTGCTCCAACTGATATTGAGGAGGGGATGAGGGTTGGTGTGGATAGAAATAAATATCAGATTCATATTCCTCTCCCTCCTAAGATAGATCCAACAGTTACTATGATGCAGGTTCGTATTAATTAAACCGGGGGGGGGGGGGGGGTCCCATTCCTACACACTCCCCTGTCTGCAGTTTTGAACTATTATCTTCCAAGTAAATCAGCTGATACAGTCTAATTCCATGATAATTTCTTCCTGGCATTAATTAATTCGCCAATTTTGTATTTAATATCTAGTAGACCATTAATTTGTAATCTAACTGTGTCCTGTTACCTTGTACATTGAAGTAAAAACTGTTCAATTTTTTTTTAAAAGATATTGAAAAATCGTTGCTATATTGTATTTCAAATCTTTTAAAAATCTAGGTTGAAGAGAAACCTGACGTAACCTACAGTGATGTTGGCGGTTGCAAGGAGCAGATCGAGAAGCTGAGAGAGGTTGTGGAGACTCCTCTCCTACACCCGGAGAGATTTGTTAACCTTGGCATAGGTTAGGATATATTCTTTAGATTAACACATTGAGAACTAGTTAAAATGAAAATAAAATGACGATAATCGATAAATTACGACATTTGTCCGTAAAACGTTTTCACATCATCTTTACGTTGGGTAAAAATAAATCTGGTAGAATTTCCTTTCGTTAAATCGGTGTTAATCGTTAAGTTTTAACAGTCGTGTGGATTTAATTCCTCTTTGATATCCCTTGTTGATCCTTACCCGGGATAAATAAAATGACAGGATCAAGGATTAATCCTCAAATTTAAAAGTTGTCACGTTGAATATCGAGATTGCCGCCATTTCGCACAAAAGATTTGACTTTAAAGAAAAATTGATTTAATATTTGTGTAGAGCCTCCCAAGGGAGTATTATTGTATGGTCCCCCTGGAACTGGAAAAACACTGTGTGCCCGAGCTGTTGCCAACAGGACGGATGCTTGCTTCATCAGGGTTATTGGATCCGAGCTCGTTCAGAAGTAAGATCTCTCTTCGAAATACTGGAGCATGTAGTCGAAATATTTTTCATAACGTTTAGTTTAGCTGGGTTTATAAACTTCGACTGAAGAATGCCCTAAATGGTTTACAATAGTACCTGTTACGCTGTTATTTAACAAACAATAGTAGTTAAATTCTTTCATGACCAAAATTGGCACATTTTATGTTTTTTTTTTTAACAGCAGTCCATTAATAGCTTAAGTACCCAATACCCATTTATATTATTCGCGGACTTAACTTAAAATAAAGTAAAATAGAGGCCGAATTTAAAGAATTTGAGTCGCGTCTCAAATTTGAGACGCGGTTCAAATATGATTGGTTCCACTTAAAATTGTATTCAATGTTTCAAAATTTAAGCCGGCTATCAATTGAAACCGGTTTTTGGCGGATTTAAGACGCGACTCAAATTCATTAAATTCGGATTCAGTTCAATTTAACTAAACGAAATTTTATTTCTTGGTTTAGAAAAATTAAATTGGCCGGCATTATTAAAAAAATCTCGAACATTTTTATTATTAAGGTATGTAGGAGAAGGAGCAAGGATGGTTCGTGAACTGTTTGAGATGGCTAGAACTAAGAAGGCGTGTCTCATCTTCTTTGACGAAATTGACGCCGTTGGAGGAGCCAGGTAAACACTAAACAGGGGTACATATATTTTAAAACTCTGGGAAACTCTAACGTTCATTGGCATTGAGATTACAATGTACACACGAATTATCGTCTGGCACCCACTATCCCGTTAGAAAGATAAAGATGTATCCGTCACCAGACAAATGGTTAAAGGGTGTCGTTGCGAATCAAACCTCCGATTCTACAAATAGAGGGTCTTTTAAAATTACGTATACAGTCTCTTAAAAATAAGAAATTAAGGAAAGGTTGTTTATCAATCATTTAAATATTTAATTAATTAATACTCCCATTCTCCGCTAAAACCCTAGATATTTCTTCGGTCAATGTACTGCAGAGTATGCACCGAAAGCTAATTTTAGGATGCGCATAAAGTAAGAAATAATTGAGAGATTGGGGGGGGATTCAAAATCCATGTTAAATAGTTTTCAAGGCTGTATAAAATTCTTTCCCCCCCCCCCCCCCCCAAGAGGAGGGAAAGGGAAAGGAAATGGGAAACGAAAAGGGATATGAAAAGGGAATAGAAAGGGGAAAGAAAAAGTGGGGAAATGAAAGGAAAAGGGGAAGAAAACAGTAAAGGAAAAGGAGAAGAGTAACTGCGGAAAAGGGGAAGGGTGGTGAAGGGGGAAAGGTAGCGAGGGGAAGAGGATTGGTAGGGAAGGAGATAGGTGTGGAAGAGGAAAAGTAGGGACGGGGAAAGGTTGAGAGGTAAAGATGAATATAGGGAACTACGGAAGATATAAGGTAAAGAAGTAGAAGAGGAAGGTTAGAGGAAGAGGAGGGTAGTTGGGGAAATGGAACGCAGGGAAGGGGAAGGTAGAGAATCGATGGAAGGTTGGAAGATGGTGAAGGGAAGGGGAATATAGTACAAAATCAGAGAGTTATTTATAAATAATTTTACCCAATAGTTATAATGCAACAAAAAATCGTGTTAAAAATTATACAACAAATATGATAAAAGAATGCTCATTACTCATAATTTTTCCGAATAGTCAATCCTACTAAAAAATTCACAAATTCTCCCCCAAAGAAAAATGATGGGAAATGAATTCCAAGAACAATAGCCTCCAGGACTGACAAATAATCAATCCCGACTTTTTTTGCTATTACCACCATACCATTACCAAAAGCAAAAAAAAAATTGCCTACGTCGCCATTTATGCTTTTTAAAATGCATCATTTTAGGGATTATAATGCACTGTTAAAAAATAACGTCTTTTTAGCTCCCGAATTTGGGGAACGAAATCAAAAATAAATTTGAGAGGGGAGAAAAGAATAAAAAAAAATGGAATTATATACACTCCTGATAGTTTTTGATCTCGGCGATGATTTTGATTATTTCTTTCAAGGTTTGATGACGGGGCCGGAGGAGATAATGAGGTTCAGAGAACTATGTTGGAGTTGATTAACCAACTTGATGGATTCGACCCAAGGGGTAATATCAAGGTAAATATACTTAATGGAGAGGTTTTTTGGTGACTTCCTGTGGTTGTGGTATGAAAGGAGAGAACTGGGAGGGGGCTGGATTTGATGGGGAGTTAAGAAGTAAGGATGGAAAATGTGAGAATTGGCAGACAATCGTGCTTTTTACTGAATTTTTCGAGTTTTATTCTAAAAATACCAAATGAATCCGGGCGCTCTTCATTTTTTTGCACTATTTTATATATTTTTAACTTAAAAGTTTGTAGTTATGAAATCCTTCATTTTCAAAAATTCTCTTCCTCATAAAAGTATATTTTTGTGTGTGTAAAGATACTTAAAAGATTTGAGATATCCTTTTTTTAAAACCTAAAATCCAGGTATTGATGGCAACTAACCGACCTGACACCCTGGATCCTGCACTAATGCGTCCTGGTAGATTGGATCGTAAGGTTGAATTCTCTCTCCCTGATCTAGACGGTAGAACCAATATATTCAAGATTCACGCCAGATCTATGTCTGTAGAGAAGGATATCAGGTATTTATTAGTATTTTATTACAAACATCTATCTATACTTGATTTTAAATTGGGGGCTTTCAAATCATAACCTGTGTACTGTAGCTTGTACCAGGGGACCGGCCCTTCGGAAAGCAAAAGTGGGGGAGAGAGTTGTTTAATACTTCTGCTGACGGTCGGGTTCCTAAAGCTTGGGAGGGGAGACTTTTGGAAGAATTAGAAAGGTATTCAAGGGCATAAAATTTAGGTGTCGCTCGTGGTGTTAGCTTTTCAAATTTACGTAAAACAAACAGTTTGAATGGTTTGCGTGGAACAAATCTTAACCAGGGTTAGTTGTGATTTTGACATGCATCGATTGTTACTATTAATTAACCTGTTTGTAATGAAGGTATGAGCTGTTGGCTCGCCTGTGTCCCAACTCTACTGGAGCTGAGATCAGGAGTGTGTGCACAGAGGCCGGCATGTTCGCCATCAGGTCCAGGAGGAAGGTAATAACAAAACTTTCGTATTATGATAGGTTTGAATAGGAGAAGGGGGAGAGAGATTTGGCCTACTTTATTTTTATGGATAATTTCATTACAAATAATTCGCGTCACAAACTAATTACTCTCCTCAAAGTCTTAAGTTTCCAATACCTTAATCTTTGAAACCTGATGTTATTAACTTATTACATTTTAGACTTTAAATTCCGTTCGTTCAAATATTAGCAAATTGAAAAAAATCGAAACTTTCTGAATTGAAAAATAAGAATTTGATCGATTCATGAAAAAAAATTGTGTTCCAAATTTCCAAAAATAAAATTAACTGTGTTTTTTTTGTTGAAAAATTCCACATTTAAACTTTTAACTCACGAAACCCCGAAAACCATAAAAGTTAAATTTTTTTTAACGGTAATTTTTAGTTTAAGGATAGCTTTATCTCATTTCTCGAAACTTAAACGTATTCTGAAATCTTGATATATCTTTAGGTTGCTACGGAGAAGGATTTCCTAGACGCTGTTCACAAGGTTATCAAGAGCTACGCCAAGTTCTCCGCTACTCCCAAGTACATGACCTACAACTAACCCCCCCCCCCCCCCCCCCTTCATGATGATAATGTAATTTCCAGTTTCTATACAACTAAATTATCCTGTGCTAAATGTTACAGATACAATGTTGACAAGTGCGGGGGGAATCCTCGCCTTACTCCAGGATAATCCACACGTCAAGGCGGACTCAAGGCCAGAGGATGTATCACTTAAGGTAAAAAATTCAACAATTTTATAATTTCTTTCTGCTGAAGATTTAAGGTAAGTCAAATATAAAAGTGAGTGTACGTTTTCAAAGGGATTAGAGACTTAATTTTAAGTTTTGCTGTTATTAAAGTATTATTATTGGCATAACCGTGTCACAGCAGGTGGATTAGTGAGTTATCCTGTTAAGTGTTAATGAAGGAAATTGTCAGAATAAAACATTTTTCAAGGTTGAAAAATGACCAGATCTTTGTTACCAGGGTACCATTGTAAATCGGGCAAACAACTCTTAAAATTGACGTCATTTGAATTCGATTGGGATTTAAGTCATTGGAAGTTTTGCCATTATTTTCAGTTAGTATATAAGAAATAGTCCCCCTTGAAAGTAAAATGTCTTTGTTCGTCTACTGACCTTGATTGATACAAGTGCAGAAGCATATTGCATATTGCACTGTTTGATAATTAAACATTGCATGATGTAATTATCGAACACTAGTGTCACTAGCGTTATCCTCTATTTTAAGGCTCAGTAGAAATACAAAGGGAACTCATGAAGGAATATATCTAATGTGATTTCAATTTAAAACCTTTAATTCAAGATTTAAAACCTTTTGTTGGGTCAATTTTTATTATTTTCTTTGCTGGCTTAATCTGCAAAATACATTTTTAGATTACTGCAATCTAAAATTATAAAGCTTTAGATATATAAGATAAGTCGAAACTTTTTGCTTAGACAAAGGTTTGAGAGTTCTCTTGTAAATCGAGTATACAAATCTTCAAATAAAAGCCCACTTGAATTTATGTCCGCAGTCCCTTTAACATAAATTAAAATTTTAGTTGTTGAATTTGTGTGTTTAGATCCAGCTGACCCAGTTTGCACTGAAGAAGCTAGATCTTGTGGTGGATGAGTTCTGGGCTGAAATATCTGACTCAATCCAGGCAATTGAGGAGATCTACGAGGACAAGCTCTACCCTATAGAGGTTAGACAAATGTATTTTATTTTGAAGACGAACATATTTTCTAACCCGCACTAATGTACTTTTAACTGTATTTAAAATTTCATCTGTGATCCTGATGGGATTGCCTGAAAAAAAAACACTTTCGATCACTTTGTGTTATCAGTGAACTTTTAAACTCAGTTAACTACATTTTGAGTGTAAGAATATGTGAAAAAGAAATTATTTATAGCATGAGACAGAAATGTATTGACCCAGTGAGTCATTTATATGATAACGATTTGTGTTCGAAATTTTGAAATTTTCTCTTTCTTCTCAGGGGCATATACAGGAATTTTTCTGGGAGTAGGGTGGGGGAGCTTATCAATTATTGACATTCCAGGCTAGGGGGGGGGGGGCTGAACCCCCCTTGAAAATCTTTATTTACCTTGTATACGCGCCTTTTCTTTTTTATCAATAACAATCTCTTTATCATGAAGGTCCGTGAGTTAGCTGCAGTGGTAGCCAGCAAGGTATTCTACCACCTGGGCAGCTACGAGGTTAGCCTGGACTACGCCCTGGGAGCTGGAAACCTGTTTGATGTGACCAGCAGCTCTCAGTATGTTGAGACAATCATTGCCAAGTGTATTGATATTTACACCAGCAAGCGCCTGGCTTTTCTAGAGGTTAGTCTTTCAATATTTTTAAGCGTATATATTTTCTTGAATAAGTTATCAATTATCCTCCTAAAAATTAGGATTTGCCAGTTGATGTTTTATTTTTTTACCATATATATTTGTAATAAAACTTAACAATTTTATTTGTCTAGTCTGGGGAGAAGGTTGTAGATAAACGTTTGGAGGCAATTGTTGATAGAATGTTTGACAGGTAAGACCAGTTTTATATTATAAAAGAGTGAAATTTTAAAAGAATCATCACTTAATTCTAAACGACCCTTCATTTAATTATTACTGATAAAAATTATTATTTATTTATTTATATTACCCTTTAAACTTTTACTTATCGGAGAAGAAGTTTATATAAATATATATTAGAGCTTACGAGTATATTTTCTTAAAGATATAATGAACAATAAAAGTTTGGAATATTCAAGTCAAAATCTCGTAATTTTTAATTTCACGTTAACAATTTTCTGAGACTGCTTCATATAGTAACAGTTTTCAATAATTATTAATCAAACGTAAAGTTCATGTTTGTTCTGTTTTTAAGATGCTTTGAGCACGGTCAATACCGCCAGGCTTTGGGAATTGCAATTGAAACAAAGAGAATGGATATTTTTGAAAGAGCTGTAACCGGTAAACTATCAGACGAACAGGTAATAAGATTTATCCAGAAAACTCTCCTGGGTCCGAATTAAATTAATTTGGAGGGTTCGATGAACGACCTACCCCCGGTTCAAACCCTTATCACTGACTCAACTTCGCATGAATCTTAAACATCGAATTGGTCATTCAAGATTTGCACGATGTTTCTTTTATTACGAAATGGAAGCTATTAATAAATTTTTCCAGCATACATACTACATTGTATGACTGTATGTACATACAATATACAGTATACTTTACATACAATGCATTAAATATTATACCACATTCTTATCGGATTTACTACATAGCCAAATCAGCAATAATATACTATTTATCATAATTATTTAGTTTATTTTTCGCTAATCTCGACTAATGGAAATCTAAATCTTAGATTTATTTAGATTGTTCTTCGGTAAATTGATTTCAATCGTACTTTTATTAGATTACCAATTTTGGATAACGTCGAGTGTCATGTTTGATTTATTATGTAAGCATTTAAAACCACGAAATTCTATTTAATGAATTTTTATCTTGGCCAAATATAAAGAATATTCGTATCTTTTCGGTTTATTAACTTTTTTACATTTTTAAGATGCAAATCAAATTATTAGAGACGGACAGACAAGAAATACATTTTATGTTGTGTTATATTATATAAATTATAAATATTTGTTAAGGTTTGTGACATGCTTGGCTACGCATTCCGTGTTGTGATGAACCTGATCCAGAACAGAACCTACAGAGGGGAGCTGCTCAGGACCCTTGTCAAGCTCTACAGGGGTCTCACAACACCGGACTATGTTCAGATGTGTCAGTGTCTCATCTTCTTAGATGAACCTATGGCAGTTGCAGATATATTAGGTAAAAACCGTGTATCATTAGTTTTCATTAGTAGTAAACTTATCATTAGTTTAGTTGAAGATGAAATATTTATAGCATCCAACCTTATAGAAGAGGACATTTTCCAACTACAGGACTAAAAATTCCTTAAATTTTGGCTTCCAGCTTTTTATAGCAAAAAGATAGGTTAGGATAGAGAGGAAGTCACTGTTGTTGGTGTTTTTAAGGGATCACCATGAAATATATTTTATTTTAGAGAGACTGTCCAAGGGAACCGAGGAGGATTCCCTGATGGCTTACCAGATCGCCTTCGACATGTATGAGTCCGCCACCCAGCAGTTCCTGAGCAGGGTGCTTGCTGCCATCAAAAAGACCGCCCCTGTCCCCCAGGGTGGTCAGCTGGTACCCCAGGAGGGGGAGGAGAGTATGGAGACAGATGAGACGAAAGAGGAGAAAAAAGAAGAACAAAAGGTAAAAATTTTAGAAAATACCATATTTAAAACTTTTGAATTTTATTGTCAGTATTTACGATCCTAAATATCGGAAGAAAGTTTATCTAAAAAACTTAACTTTTTTGATTAGCTCGAGCCAATATCTGCACTGTTATGAGTTGCATCATAACTTTACGAGAAGAAAAAACATTTTCCTCAACTTATTTACGGGGTTAATTATTAGATGATTTTTTTTATGAATTTCTATCTAGGAACCGGAACTGAGTACTGAAGAACAGGAACTAAAAACTAGGGTTGGGAAACTCTCCAGTATCCTCTCTGGAGAGAAACCCATCTATCTTCATCTCCAGTTCCTGATAAGGAATGATAAAACTGATCCTCTCATCCTGAAGAACACAAAGGTTTAAATTGGTTTCTTTAAGGGTGATAACTGAAAATAAACCCAAAATGTATTTCTCTCCTAAACAGGAATATTTCTAACGTCTTTATTGAATTATTAAATGTATGATTGGTGACACGAATTACAAAGATGTTTTAAAAGGACTGTAAGCGTTATTTCAAGTGACCCTCCATTTATAGGTGGTAATGCAAAATTTACAACGGTACCCTTAAAACCTTAATCTGATCAAAAATTTAGATTGAATATGGAGATTTCTATATAATACTTGATAAGACGAAGCTCTTAAGGGTACCGCCGTAAATCAGATCTTGACATCTTTGCTTGGATGATAACTTGAGATTTCGCCAACGGTCCCTTTAAGGAAACTAAAAAAATTATATTTCCAACAATATTTTGTCTGTTAAGGATGCTGTTCGAGTAAGTATCTGTCATACAGCGACTGTTATTGCAAACGGATTTATGCACAGTGGAACAACACACGATCAGTTTCTTAGGTTATATTTTTATTCTTTAGTTTAAGTTTGTTCATACAATATTGATGTTGATGTTTGATGTTGCTTTAAGTAAGCTGATTTGAACTTCGTCAAATTCAATGATTTGATTTGTTATGGATGTTTTCATTTATTCTAATGTTTGATTTGATCTGTGCTGACGGAACCTGTAGCAGTCCCCAATTTCAAGATTTAATATGATTTGATTTGATACTGTTGATGTGGTGGATTTGGGTTGATGACTGATCAGATATGAAGCCCGGGCGGAAAAACCAGGACATGGAAAGGACTTAAAACTCTAATCCACTATTGGAGTCTTAGGCCATCCCTACAACTGTTGATTTAGGTTGATTTTGGTTGATTTTGGTTGAAATTGGTTGAATTTGGTCGATTTTGGTCGATTTTGGTTGATATTGGTTGATTTTGGTTGAATTTTATGGATTATGGTTGATTTTGGTTGACATATTCCCATGCCCTAACTTTGACATTATATTGCAGGGATAACTTGGATTGGTTGAGCAGAGCAACTAACTGGGCAAAACTATCTGCTACTGCTACTCTCGGAGTTATTCATAGGTCAGCATTAACATACTTTAATTAGTGTTAACATTGTCAAGAATAGTGATGCAATATATCAGTAATCTCACTTCAATATTTGTTAAGGAAAATTAAAGAAGTTTCTTTAAAAATCTTTGTTCATAAAGTCCAGATATATTTTTTAAAAATCAAAATGAAAAAATCCATTCAGACTTCGGTTATTTATCATCTCTAGGGGACATGAGAAGGAGTCTTTATCCTTGATGCAGAGTTATCTACCGAAGGACTCTGCAGGAACAAGCTCTGGATACGCCGAGGGCGGAGGATTGTACGCCCTGGGTCTTATTCATGCCAACCATGGCGGAGAAATCACCGAATATCTGTTAGGTATGATTATTTTAATATCTGACATTATAAGAAATCTCGAAAAAGCGAAAGGAGAGGGGAGAGGAAGAATTGTAAAAGGTGTCTAAGAGGGTTGTTAATGAAAAACGAGTTGTTTGAACGCTTGACTGAAGACAAGTTTATTCTGTACTAGCTAGGGAACCGCAGTTTTGTCTAAAGTTTTCCCTTTAAAAGTCAACCAACTGAACTTGTTAAAACCAGTTTAAGAACATTTCCTTGGTTCTACCGAGTTCTCCATTCAAAATTAGTGGCAAATTAGTTTAGGTGTTCATGAGTTATGATCGGACATTTAAACAAATAAACATAGATTAGTACTTTATTATATATATAGAAAATGGAGCCTTAAGTAACCCCTGTATTTTATTTCATTTTATCTGGAAGTAGTTGTGATGTCTAATAATAAACTGCTCCCTAGGTCAAGTAAAGGAAGCTACCAGTGAGCAGATCAAGCATGGTGGCTGCCTAGGGCTGGGTCTAGCTGCTATGGGAACCCATAGAGCAGATGTTTATGAGCAGCTGAAGTTCTGCCTTTATCAGGTATAATCAATATTCATACATGTTCTATTTCCTCATTTCCTCACTTTCTTAAGAGGTCGGAATTTATTAACGTGACTTACAGGGGTGTATATTAGTTGTGAGACTCATATTTTTGCTCCCCCCCCCCCCCTTCAGAATCATAATTTAAAAATAGGTATATTTTACAGGTTTACGAAGCCCGCGTAAACTTGGAAGAAGTTTGCTGCGGCGGGGGGGGGCAGATCCCTCCTTGCAAAGATATTTTTTGGGATTTTAGTTGTATAATGGTGTGTTTTAGTCAACTTCAAGATCCTCCTGAGTTTTTTTTAAGCATTTCTGAATCAAACAAAAAAAATTTGGTGGTTTTTCCCTTCCCTCTTCCTCTTTTCCCTTCACCCTTTTCCCCTTTTCCCTTCACCCTTTTCCCTTCTCTCTTGTCCCTTTTACCTCCCCTCTTACCCCTTTTCCCTTCCCTTTCGCCCCTTTTCCTTTCCCTATTGCCTCTTTTCCCTTTTTTCCTTCCCTCTTCTCCCTTTTCTCTTCCCCCTCTTATCTTCCCTTTCTCCTTCCCTTTTTCCTTTTCCCCTTCCCATTTTTCCTTTTCCCCTTCCCCCCTTTTTTCTTTATTTTTTTCCCCAATCCCAATGAAAGCTGATATTTTTTACCCCCCCCCCCCTCCCCTTGGGGGGTAGCAAACAGAAAAGTATACACACTTATGACTAAGGATTAAGATTAAGGAATTCAAGTGTACCATATATTCAACGATGAAGGAAATTGAGAATATCAAATATCCTCGGATTTCTATTTATTTAAAACATGCAATTTAGCTCCTTTTTTAACTCTGTGAGTACTTAAAAGTAAGTCCCGAATCCTAATGCTTGGTTGCCTAGGATGATGCTGTTACTGGAGAAGCTGCTGGACTAGCTATGGGTCTATGTGAGCTAGGAAGTAAATCTGCTGCAGCTATTGAGGATATGGTTGCATACGCTCAGGAGACACAACACGAGAAGATTCTAAGAGGTAATTACATTTATTCAAGAGATTCTAGAGTATTCTGTTTACATTTATTACTTTTTCTCAAAAACTACAAGAAATTAGAGAAGAGGCAGGGAATGACAAGTAAAAAAAGAAAAGAAAAGGTTTGTATTTAGGTTTGGCTGTCGGAATATCTCTGGTTATGTACGGAAGACTAGAGGAAGCGGATCCTTTAATTACTTCCCTGTCACAGGACAAGGATGCTATTCTAAGAAGGTAAAACATGAATATTGAGTTTTTACACATATGTAGATTTTAATTCAAGAAATATTTAAAAGAAAAAAGAAAATACAAAGAACGATATGAAAAAATAAGTCCATACTTAATTATTGTCTTAGGCTTTTCTGTATTCATGAAACCTAGTTTATAACGATATTCTGTTGTGAACTGAATGTACTGTCTAGGTCTGGAATGTACACCATCGCTATGGCGTACTGTGGAACCGGCAACAATAAGGCCATCAGACAACTCCTTCATGTTGCTGTCTCCGATGTAAACGATGATGTAAGACGAGCTGCAGTTACAGGACTAGGATTCCTGCTCTTCAAACAACCCGACCACTGTCCAGGTATTCTTAATGTTAACTTTTTGTTTACATAGTAACATAATCTTTAAAGAGAAAAATTTAAATCTGACAACTGGCCCCACCCCCCACCCCCTCTCTCTTTGTTACTTTTTACCCAAGGTCCAAACCTCATTTATTTTGCGGTTTCCCCAATTAGAAGGGGAGGGGGCTGACTTCTTAAGAAAATCCCTGTTGCATATACTACTAGTCATTATTTTCTGTATTTATTTTGAATTCCAATATAAGTTGATATTAACTAACTGAAAATATTATGAAGGTGTTGTACAGCTACTCTCTGAATCCTACAACCCTCATGTACGGTACGGCGCTGCAATGGCGCTCGGTATAGCGTGCTCAGGAACCGGAAACAAGGAGGCGCTCGCGCTTATTGAACCAATGAGGAACGATCCTGTTAACTATGTGCGTCAAGGAGCTCTGATTGCGTCAGCTATGATATTGGTTCAGCAGACAGAGGTCACTTGCCCTAAGGTCAAGGAGTTCAGGTCAGCCACGATTTGATCTTAAAACTTCTTTTGTTCGATTTTCAATTTTTTTTTCTTTACTTCGATATTTCGTTTCTCCCTCTGTTATGTGTATTCAGTATTCTACCCTCAATTTTTCTCTCAATATTTTATAGAAATCCATCTATTCTTAATTTTATTTTTGCATCTTTTCATTATTCTACCCATTTCAACTTGTAAACCTTATTTAACTTTGTTTCTAACTCTTGGAAATATGTAAAGATTCACTCTCTTTTTCACCTTTTCTTCTTTCTTTCTTACTTTCTTGCTCTTGTTTTTCTCCTCTTACCATTTCAGTGTTTCACTTTTTTTAATCTTTGTCTTGAAGCTCACTTTCTTATATTCAGGGCTCTGTACACCAAGGTGATCAACGACAAACACGAGGACGTGATGGCTAAGTTTGGTGCAATCTTGGCCCAGGGTATTATTGATGCTGGAGGACGGAACGTGACAGTGAGCCTGCAGAGTAGAACAGGACACACCAATATGTTGGGTGTAGTTGGTATGCTGGTGTTTACACAGTACTGGTACTGGTTCCCTCTCTCACACTTCCTTAGCCTAGCATTCCAGCCTACTGCTGTCATTGGACTTAACAAGGTTACAATCTTTACATTCCTGTAGTATATTTATATATAATAATTGTTAATTTCTGCTTTCGCCTTAGCAGACTTGAAATTGAAAAAAAAAGAGAATGTTTTAACGTGCATAAATACTCAATATTTATTGTTTAATGAACTAGGTAAGGGTAGTTGAACCACTTTTCTAGTGCGGCGGAGAGTGTACTAGCAAATTAGTTAATCAACCATTTTTAGTTCAACTATCTCTTCCTACTAAATTAATCCAACCCCTGGTTTCAAACTCCTAGGGGCTTTGAGATCTAACACCTGAAATAAACACCTCTCCTCTTTAGTTGTATCAATAATTATATTGTAGGATCTGGATATGCCTGTAGTCCAGTTCAAATCAGCAGCGAAACCCAGCACATACGGTTACCCTGCTCCTCTAGAGGAGAAGAAGAAGGAGGACAAGGAGAAGGTCGCCACAGCCATCCTCTCAATCACCAACAAGCAGAAGAAGAAGGAGGCAGAGAGGAAGAAAAAAGAAGATGATAAAATGGAGGTTGATGAGAAGGAAGAGAAGAAGAAGGAGGAGAAGATGGAAGAAGATAAAAAGAAGGATGAAGAGGATAAGAAGAAGGATGAGGAGATTGAGGAGAAGAAAGAGGAACCTTTGTTTGAAATGCTGTCCAACCCTGCCAGAGTTATGAAGGCACAGCTTAAAGTTATTCACATGGAGGATGGTGAGTACATACAATAGAAATATTACAACTTGGTATAATATCTGAGATCACAACTTTTAGGTGAGATAGCGATAATTTTGCTTTAATGCACGTGTACGCTTGCTGCCAATGTTAAGTGCTGACGTGAAATTGGATCAGTTTAATATTTAGTAACATTCAAACTTGAAGACATGCACTGAAATTCTGCAAGCAAAATACATCTTTTTATACTAAAGGATTTGATAAAAATCAGATTTATCTATGTTATTGAGCTCTTATTTAATACAAAATTTCTCTTATTTTCCAAAGCATTGATTGTACACAGTGATGATGCTTATTTCTTAACCCGGTCATGGCATGATGTTTGTGCTTACAGATGAAATCAATTATTTGTGAAGAGGAGGTAGACTTGAGTTTAAAAACAGAAAAATCTAAATCTTTAGCGGTTTGAATCCAGAGAAAATACATTTTAATGAATCAGCAATTTCATGGCTTAAAGTTGATGAATAATTCAAAGCAGAAATATGATATCTTGAACGGGTTAAGTCTCAATGTGTTTATGTATGTGCACCAAACTGACTGACTGTATTTATATTTTATAGGAAAGTATGAGAACGTGAAAGAGTTGAGTATCGGCGGTATCATCATGCTCAAGAACCTCTCCGGGGAGAAGGAGGAGATAGTGGAACCTATGGTCGTTAACAAGGTTAGTAACATTTTCATTAAAGGGACTGTAGACGCAGTTTCAAGTGATCCTTCATTTATAAAATGGCATCCGCACTTTTACAGAGAACACAGTTGTTAATGTTAAGTTTTCCGAAGGATACAAATTTAAGAAGAATGTCTTTTTCAAGGTGTACCTTTGTGAATTGGTTATGCCACTTAGGAAGATCACTTGAATTTAGGTCTCCAGTCCCTGGAAGGAACTTATTCTTCAATAAACTAATTTTCTAATCTTTACAAATGTCCATCCTGATGGTTTAATTTCAATTTTGGCCCCGAGATCTAGTATAATTCATTTTTTAAAATATATAGGACATCAAAATGCAAAGATAAAGGAATAAGAAAACTAGGTTGTTTTTTTTTCATTTAATAAACAAACTAATTTTTCAGGGTGAGAAGGATGAAGATGAAGGAACAGAACCTGAACCTCCTCAACCCTTCCAGTGGACCGAGGACTAGACTTTAATCCCCTTCCATTTCCAGACTTTGTTCTACAATAATGTTTAACTAAATACGACTCATAAATATTTGTCAACAATAGCACAGCGTGAAACCACATAAATTATCAGTTTTCTGTTTAATATGAGTAAACTGTTGGCTGAAATATTAAAAATTCAAAATTGATGTAATAATGTATTTCAGATGAAAGGATGGTTGGTTAGTATGGAACCGTCTAGTTCTCCGTGTACGCAGGTCAGCTAGGATTGATGAATTCGGATCCGGAGATGTTTGTCCGGAACCGTAGTTCCTCTGAGGAGAGAGGACAAGAAGAACCCATTCTACAAACAGAAAAGTAAGTTATAATTAGTATGGGAACTACGTTATATACTTAAATATGAAGTGCTTTAATTAGAAATTTTTAACTTACAAAAAATTTACATGAGCTATTTATATTCTTTGTATTTAATTTTTAGCATTCAACGGATAACAAGGTAAGGGCAGAGATTTGTTTAAGGGACTGTCAGAGTTATTTTAAATGGCCTTCCATTTACGAAAGGGATTTGCCTGATATACAACAGTACCATTTAAACCCTTACCTGATTAATTATCTTCAAGGTAACCTTTGAGTTTCTAGCATAATAAACTTTAATTCTGACAATTGTCCTACATTGTATCTGCAGTATAATTCCGCAAGTCTATTTTATATTAAAGCCACAATCGAAAATAATCAAATTTTAAAGAGAAAATATCAAATATCTCATCATTTTCATGGGAACCGTTGTAAATCAACTTAGTCACTTTTTAAATAGAGGTTCACGGAAAATAACGTCTACACTCATCTACAGAATAAGAACTTTTGTTCTGTTAATCTCGGAATCTAGCATTTATTTCCATCTTATACAGACCTACAGATTATTTTATTTCCTTGATATCCTATGGGGGTCATACCCAGCAGAGATAACTTAAAATAAGGGATCAAGGTTTTACCTTCAAACTTTAAAATACCGACAGTTATCCGAGATCAAGCTTTGCAGATTAACTTTACCCTACGCAAAAGTTTCGTCTTCAGGCACTTTAGGAATAGACTTGTGTTTTTTTATTTATTTTTACAATATTATTTTTATTATGATATAGGAAGAGATGTTATCAAACCCGTCATCTGTTTGCATTTATGGGATTCCTAGGGTTTGCCAATGTTTACGCTATGCGGGTCAACCTCTCAGGTAGATTTTGAAAACTTTCTTTATTATTTTTCACTAATTCAGGGGTCGGATTAAAATATATGAAGAAATGGTTACTCTATTTACTGATGGTTGAGCTACTTCTCTAGAACTAAGACTGAGAAGTTGTCCAAATAGCCTTACCTATGTCAACAACTACTTTCTGTGTATTTAATCCGACCCTAAAGTACTATACATAAGTTTTCTACAGAGTAAAGATGCAACCAACAAATTTTAGTATATATGTTATAGTTTATAATTATGTGTGAGAAGCTCGGTTGGAGGGTGTAACAAAGCAATGGATTTTATAAAATGATTTCAATTTCAGTGGCAATAGTAGCAATGGTGAACAGTACCGCTCTAGGAAACGGTTCTTCAATCAGTAATAATACTTGTCCTGCACCATCTACCCCCTCCTCTCATACTACTGACGGTCCATTTAATTGGAACGAAAGGGACCAGGTAGAGAGATTCATTTAGTACATCCATAAACCAGTTCAAATAAATCGATAAATCAGAAATCGTAACAAAGGAATTAATTATTTTATTTGCTTGTGATGAACATTTTTCTCGGCGGTTCGGATCCATCCCATTTGCTAGATTGGGATGTTTGTTTTGGAATTAGAAAGTTTCATTTTATGGTTGGTTCTTCCGGACTTTAATAAATAAAATTATTTAAGGGTTTAATCCTTGGTGCGTTTTTCTACGGTTACGTAGTGACCCAGTTGCCTGGAGGCCGGTTAGCTGAGATCTGGGGTGGCAAGTGGCTCTACGGGATAGGTAAAAGAAAAAAATTATTTCTGAAACGTAATTTTTCTGGAATTTATTTTACAATTGAATCATTATAATCTTTATAAGCCTTTAATAAATTCCATCGCAACCCGACTTATGTTTTTTAACATAGTGTCTAGTGTCGACTCTTATTTCACTGAACGCTTTCTATCAATGATAATGTGTTCAGGTATCCTGGTGACCGCTATATTTACAATGCTGACCCCTCTAGCTGCTAAAACTAGTGTCTCTCTACTTACTGCTGTTAGGGTTCTAGAGGGTCTAGGGGAGGGAGTCACATATCCAGCTATGCACGCTATGTTATGTAAGCTTTAAAGCGAATTCATAATCTCCTCAATTCCCTTGAATTAGAGGCACCCCCCCCCCCCCCAACCTCCTACCACAATGTAAGAATCTTTTATTTGGTCATGTCCAAAGTTTCATGTCATTTATTTACCCCTATAGTACGTTATAGTACCTAAATATTATCTTTTGATTTGATTTCTTTCAAGAAGAATTTGTTTACTATATAGAAAAGCAACTGCACTAAACGTGTGGACACGATGCTTTATTTTTTCTTACTTTTCATTTATTGACAGTACAGTCCTTTGTTATAACACCTAGAGAGTATCTATTTATAGTTTGGCTAAATGGACTCCTCCGAATGATGCATTTATTTAGCCAAATGGATTTCTCTGATTGATATATTAATATAGCTAAATGGAATCCTCCAATTATTGCAATTATTTTGCTAAATGGACTCTTCTGAATAATGAAGTTATTTAGCAAAATTTACTATTCCGAATAATGCATTTTTGTAGCTAACTGGACTCCTCCGAATGATGCATTTGTTAAGCTAAATGGAATCTTAAGAATCATGAAATTAATTGGGCTAAATTCACTCCTCCGAATATTACATTTATTTAGCTAAATAGAATCAACCGAATTGTGCATTTATTTAGCTAAATGTACTCCTCCGAATAATGCAGCTATTTAGTTAAATGGACTACTCTAAATATTGCATTTATTTAGCTAAATGGACTCCTCCGAATGAGCGAAGTAAGATGGGTAGCCGGGTCTACTCAGGTTCTCAGTTCGGGACAGTTATTGCTCTCCCACTTTCAGGTATCGTAAATATAAGGAAAAAGACAGTGTAAATTCCGTACAGTCGTCTCTGAAGTTTCTTATGTTGTAAGTAACTCTGTAGTTCAACCTTTCTCATGCAACTTCCTTAGAATATTTTACTTTTAAGCTCATGATTTTAGCGCACATTTTTTTCCAATCCAACTGACGTATTAGTTTCGGCGGCTAGGAGCGTCGACCCCTATTTCATTGAATGATTGGTTGTCCTTTAATAGTAATAATAATAAGAAGAAAAAACTTTAAAATGTTTAGTTTCAGTAAATGTAAAGATTTATTTAATGTTTAGGATATCTTGCTGATGAGTTTGGTTGGGAGTCAGTATTCTACGTGTTCGGTGTATTGAGTTTAATCTGGTTTCTAGCCTGGGCTTTCCTAATATCCGACTCTCCAGATACACATCCAACTATATCCAGAGAGGAGAGAGATTATATTAAAAGATCTATTGGTAAGCTATCTTCTATAAAACCGTCCCTATTGTCCGATTTCTTTGATTTAACTTTATTTTTAAGTAAAGTAAAATGGCCTTTTAATTTTTGGATTTTCTCAAAGGCAAAGAAATTTAGTTTTTATTTCCGTTTTAACTTAAAAATCTATGCTAATTTCTTACGCGACTTTTCTTTGTTATCCTAGGTTTAGTGTTATCTCCATAAAATTCTCTCAGATTAAGGTGAAAGTGAACAGAATAAAATCGTCAGTTTTAAGTTGAATTTACAATCGGCTCAAGCCAATATCATGGTGTATTATAATCCCGAGTTGATTTTATTATTATTTTGAAATCAATAACACCCTATCCAGGTTCTGCCCGCAGTTCCGTCACATTATCTGTCCCCTGGAAATCTATTCTGACCTCTGTACCTGTCTGGGCCCTTGTGGTGACCCATATGGCGCAGAATTGGGGATTCTACACTCTACTCACAGAACTACCAACATACATGAAGAACATTCTGCATTTTGATATCAAGGTGGGCGTTATAGTTCATGTGCTTGAAAAAATGGTTATAGATTATTTGCTTAATGTTAGATATTATGATACCCGAGAATTTGTCGAGGAGGGGCGTTACATTTTTTTCGGTAAATGTGGATGGGGGGGGGGGGCTTAACACCCCCCAGAGAATGCCTCTGATAGTGTTATAAAGTTTAATACAATGTCATTATTAGGCGAACGCGTTTATATCTGCCCTACCATACTTACTGATGTGGCTGTTTGCCTTGTTCATTAGTTTTCTTACAGATTTTACAATAGGTAAGCTTATCCGAGTAAATATTTAGACTTGCTTTTCTAAAAGATTCTGGGAATTAAACAAGTTAAAGTCTTCAAGAACAGAGACGTATTTTTAGTACTTGATACAATCTGAAAAACCATTACTCATTCGGTACTTGAAACTCCAGTCTAAGAAACACGTTTGCAGCAGGGTTGTTACAATATAAAAGGTACAGACTGAAAACCTAAGTAGGGAGTCCGAGCTGAAAGCAATTCGCCACTGTTTTGATTTGATTTGATGTAGACCACAACCTGTTGAGCCGTAACTCTGCCCGGAAAGTGTTCAACTCTGTTGCGTTTATGCTGCCCGGCCTGTTCCTGATCCTAGCAGGGTACTCAGGCTGTAATGTAAACACCACCATCGTCTTCCTTACCTTGGCAGGAGGGATCAACGGAGCTCATTATTCAGGTGGGTTTTATCATGCAAAGTTGGAATTTTTTTAGCGAACACGTTTTATCAATATTGTTTTTCTTATCATATTCAGATCCGTCTAGTAGATTTTGTATTTTATACTAAATATGTCCAGGGTTTATGAGCACACATCTTGACATGTCTCCCAACTTTGCTGGAACCCTGCTCGGGATAACCAACGGCTTCGCCAACATCATGGGGTTCTTAGCCCCCGCCTTCACGGGATACATCATCAACGGTCACCAGGACTTGAGTCACTGGCAGTTGGTCTTCTTCGTAGGTAATCATTTTTAATATGATGGGAAGGGTCTTAAGAACTAAAGGTAAAATCAGTAAAACAAATAAATATATCAACTGGTTGTTTCCTGTAAAATGTTCAACTTCATCTTTGCTGATGTTCGTTCACTTAATAGAAAAAAATTGATTATTTAGGAATAGTACAGTGGATAATTCCTATGGCCCATTTTAAATCTCATCGATTTGTTTCTACACATTTAATATAATAGATCTCTCCTGTTATTCCTGAACTAATTACCCATTAAGTCTCCAAGTGGGGGGGAGGGGGGGGAAGTTATATTATTTCTAGCAATTTACGTCTGGACATTTTTAGCGGCTCTGGTGTATTTTGCTGGGAACGTTGTGTTTGTTGTTCTGGGGAGTACGAAGGAACAGCCCTGGAACCATAATCCAAGTAATCCTGGAGATAGGAACCAGGCAGATTATGAACCTATCTCTACATCAGATATGGAGTCGGACTAAGCTGAGGCACCGGGCTCAAATTTATAATTTGGAGCATTATCAAAAAATTGAACGTAAATTTAGCATAATCTTGATTTTATAAATCCGTCCGTTCAAGTTTTCAAATTCCAATATGTTGTTGGATATGATGGCTAGCTTTACATGAAATTTATTAATTGGTTTGTTATTGTTATTCCTGATTTTCTTATAGTGGTAATTGTATCTACATATTGAGAAATTTATAATATTCATTAGTTTTAAGCTTGAAAATTTAATTCTTTTTATATAGATAATTCATTTTGAGCTTAAAACCACACAAATGTTGATGATAAAAGATAAACTTTATTATTTTTATAAGATTTTATAATTGGTATATTTTTATATACATATTGTAAGTTTAATTGTAATTTTGAGAGCTATTAATCTAGATTAAGAACAGTTTGTTCCCAGTGGCATTTTTACTTTTGCATTTTATAGATCTGAATTTTCAATAGAGTATTTATTTATTGACAATAACTTGTTATTTACACATAATAAGATTAAATTTACAGTTCTCTTGAGTTTAGATTTAATGCCATTGCTTTCAAATTTAAGTTCAGTTAATTTTGGAATTGAGTTTAAGCTTAGAGGTGCTAATTCTGGCCAGACTGGTACGTTTTTAGTCTAAATATCGTATATTGTTTGATTCATAATGTTTATTTTCAGATCTTCAAAATGTTTCTTAACAGATCAGAATATGACCGTGGACCAAATACATTCTCTCCGGAGGGACGTCTCTTCCAGGTTAGTTTGCGGTTTTCTTTTATGATGCATCATGCTACCGGTCTAGACCATGGCACGGCATCAGGAATGTACTGATGGGCACTTACTATTTGTGGAATTAGTTTTAATAAAAAATCATGAATCCCCTTACTCTCCTATCTTTCAGTTAATTTACTACTGTTTTTTTCTGCCATCCCTGCAAAGTATGATTTGATTTGATTTTGATTCTTTTGCTTTCGCTTGAATTCCCAAAGTGTCTCTGGAACTGTGTTTTATTTTAAGCATGTTCATTGTAACTGTTCTTACTTAAGTTAAAGGATTTAGACTTTTAGATAAACCTGATGTAGAAACCTTCCATATTTGAATGACCTCAAAAACATATTGCATAGCCTCGGTACTTAAACCGTGTCTATTTCAATTTAGTTAATTCAGTAGATAAGCACTCCGAATCGGATACAAGAGAAAATATCCACGTTAATGATTTTCTTTGATAAATTACTAAGATTTTTTTAACTAAAATTTAAACTGTTTAAGGTCGAATACGCTATTGAAGCGATTAAGCTTGGATCCACAGCTATTGGAATCCAGACCTCAGAGGGTGTTATCCTCGCAGTTGAGAAGAGGATAACCTCACCTCTCATGGAACCAACCTCTATAGAGAAGGTTAGTGACTGTCCTTCTTCAATGTAACTAATATCTTGCCTCAAAATTGTAATTTTCTAAGTAGATCGTATTCATATTGGGGGATTGATCAATTGATGGATCGATTTTGTTCCTTGATTGATTATTTAACAATGTAGTCAGATTGCAGAGATGGATCAATTGATGGATTGATCATGTTATTTGATTGATTATTGAATTGTATTCAGATTGTAGAGATGGATCAATGGATGGATTGATCATGTTACTTGATTGATTATTGAATTGTATTCAGATTGTAGAGATGGATCAATGGATGGATTGATCATGTTATTTGATTCATTATTGAATTGTATTCAGATTGTAGAGATGGATCAATGGATGGATCATGTTATTTGATTGATTATTGAATTGTATTCAGATTGTAGAGATGGATCAATGGATGGATTGATCATGTTATTTGATTGATTATTGAATTGTATTCAGATTGTAGAGATGGATCAATGGATGGATTGATCATGTTATTTGATTGATTATTGAATTGTATTCAGATTTTAGAGATGGATCAATGAATGGATTGATCATGTTATTTGATTGATTGTTGAATTGTATTCAGATTGTTGAGATGGATCAATTGATAATCGATTATGTTACATGATTTATTGCTTTAGAATGTATTTAGATTGTAGAGATGGATCAATTGATGGATCTGTTTTGTTCCTTGATTCATTGTTAAACAATGTATTTAGATTGTAGAGATAGATCAATTGATGGATCTGTTTTGTTCCTTGATTCATTGTTAAACAATGTATTTAGATTGTAGAGATAGATTAATTGATGGATCTTGTTCCTTGATTCATTGTTAAACAATGTATTTAGATTGTAGAGATAGATCAATTGATGGATCGATTTTGTTCCTTCATTCATTGTTAAACAATGTATTTAGATTGTAGAGATAGATCGACATATTGCCTGTGCGTTCTCTGGACTAACTGCAGACTCTAAAACCCTTATCGATAAAGCCAGGTGAGTGAACAGAATTTCAGATCGAAAACTTGAACCAATTTTACAAAATTAGAAATTTTCGTTCATGAAAAAACTTCCAACATCAGATCATGAAAATTTTCACCTAAACAAAGAAAGTCATGACTTCAAGTTCAGACACTGTTCTGATTGAATAAGCTTATAAAACAACAGTAAACTATCTTAGCAATATGGGTCTAATTTCGTCGTCTGCTGGATCCTGGTTGAAAAAAAGGTTAAAGCAATAGAAAAGTACTAGGCTGAAAAACCAATGTTCAATAAGGACTAGAAAATCCATTCTGAATCTTGGCTGTTGTTGGGAAGGTAGTTGCCTAAAGGAGGTATGTGCGCTTGCAGCGTTGAATTACAAGAAAGAGAGAGATTAGCATATATTTAGGGTTCGGTTAGGTTACGAGTTGCGAAACTTCCTGGGCCGCGCGATGCGGCTTGCGCAAACTAGAAGGGTGGAGCGCCGCGGCTAGAACTGGCTTTCTTTATGTCTTGTAATTCAACGCGGCATGCGCGTAACTCCTGGGCTTCTGTTTGTTGGAAAATTTTCAGATTTTTTATTTGATAAGATTTAGTATGATTTGTACAGCATGAAACTTTTTTGTTGACAATTAAATTGTATTTTATCGACACAGGTTTTCGTGTTTTATTAAATGAAATTTTAGAGTTGAGAGTCAGAACCATTGGTTCACATACAACGAGCAGATGAAGGTTGAGAGTGTAGCTGCTGCTGTGTCGAACCTCGCAATCCAGTTTGGTGACAGCGACGACGATGCTGGTGTTATGTCACGGCCTTTTGGTGTCGCCATGCTCTTCGCAGGGTAAGATTTTTACTCTTGTTATTAAGTACAAACTCGTGTTTTAGTTCTAGTTGTCGTGAATGGTACGGATTGGTAGAATATTTTCTTATTGTTATCCGGATCTGTTAAAGTTAAAGTCTCCAAAGACCGAGTTTAATTAATTGGAGAGAGGTTTCTGAACTACCTACCACCGGTTCATCTATATCTCAAGTGCTCAAGTGCTCACTGGCTTAAATCTTGAATCCCTAATTTCTAGTTCAATAAAAAGATACGCAGTTGAACCGTCTTTACGTAGTTGAACCACTTATCCCAATTTATTAAATCAGGTCCGAAATCTCTCATTAACCAATCAAATTGACAAAAAAGGTTAAAATTTTGGTCATTTTATTAAAAGTTAAAATGAATATGTTGACTTAAAAAGAAAGATTTTTATGACGTGAGGACATGAATCTCAGAACTCAAAAATGGAATTTGAATCCCCGCATTTTTTATTTTGTTGATTGTTTGAGGAATTTCTGATTGAATGTTTGAATGCGTTATTGACTTATTGACTCACTATATGACGAAGGATTGATTGATTTTTTTATCAGACATGATGAGATGGGAGCACATCTCTACCACATGGATCCTAGCGGAACTTATCTGAAATTCGACGCCAAAGCAATCGGATCCGGTAGTGAGGGTGCTCAACAATCCCTCCAGGTATAGTACCTGCTTCTCCTTCTATGTATTCAATAATCCAGTATAAATGTCACATTTGTGTGCGTCCTCAATGCAGTCATCAAAACTGTGTTCTCAAGAGTGCCTCAACGACCTCTACCTCTCTAACCGTGCGCCCCCCACTTTACGCCGTAACCGCGCCGATGTGCGTCATAATTATGAGTGCATTCTTTGTGTTGATCGTGCGTACTTTTTGTAACAGAGAATGTTAATTAATGTTGCCAGAACTGGGAACTCTTGTATTGTGGATATCGAAATCAAGGCTAGTTCTCCTAGTTTTGTTAATCTGCTGATTATTTTAGGAAAGCTATGATAAATCAATGACCATGAAGGAAGCAACTAAAACTGCTTTCACGATTCTAAAACAGGTATAAAACATATTCTCTAAAATACCCTTATATATATATATATATATTAGATACAATGTTCCTGATTACAATGTTCCTGATTACAATGTTTCTTATTACTATGTATTACCATGTTCCTGATGTAGGTGATGGAGGAGAAGTTGAATGAGACTAATGTAGAGGCTGCTCGTGTATCCCCTGATGGTGGTTTCCAGCTCATTAAGGTATGATTTATTCCTAATAGGAAGGTGTAGTTTCAAATGACCTACCAATTTAAAAGTTGTATGCTTGACTTACATCGGTACACTTTAAGCTTTTGCCTGCTTATTTTTATAATTATTGGTATTGTTATGATGATTATTATTATTATTGGTATTGGTATTGTTATGATTATTATTATTATCATCATTTAACCTACAGTCAATGTATCATGTCCTGAATGTATCATGTTACGTTGAGCACCTCGCCACTCCCCCAAGTCAGATTGGATTATTGAATCATATCCGACTTTAAATATTTTTAGGATTTAATGAGTGCGTCAAATATGTTAGGAGACATTAAAATGCCGGTTGATTGGCAAAATAATTTTAATGGATTGAAGTAAAAAGGAAAAAAGTCCAAGTGTCTCCGGAGAAAAAATGAATTTTAATTTTTAAAATTTGTAATATTGCCGAGTTAAAGGCTATTACAACTCTCTAATTGTGGGGGGAGGTAATATAAAGTTACTTCGGTAGTCCCATAATAAAATTAACATGTATTTAGCTGATCATATTTGAATTGGATATCCATGTTTTTCTTTCTGATTACTGTTTATTTTCATTTGCGGTTTCTCTACAAAACTGACTAGCTTCAGAAATAATTGAGAAATTATCAGAGCTTAACACTTGAAAAAGATATCAACTTAAAGTCCCTTAAACTTATTTTTATTACAGATACTAGATAATTAATAGATGAATTAATTTAGGGAGCCGAACTTGAGGATATTATCAAGGAGCTGGCTTGATCGGTCAAACTTCAGAAGTCATGAAGCGCGGTGTGATCAATAATCATCTTAAAAATTCATTGTAACTCTTTCTTTTTTATAATAAAAACACCAGTTCTAAACTCGTCGAGAATAACTTGATGTAGCTCTAAAACTATTTATTAGAGACTAATGGAGGTTAAACAGTACTTGTTTATTTTTTGTCGCCCCTTATTTAACCTCTATAGTCGAGTTTTGAACACACCAATTTCAGAGAGTAAAATGTGGCCGATTATTTTTAACGCCATGCGTACCTATGCGCCTTGGATCGTTTTACCGATTGCAGGAACGATCGGATTTATAGGTAGGTAGAACATCACAGATCAGATGTAATAATTCTTTTACGGTAACATATTTGAGATAACTTAACTGTCTGAAGATTTGAATTTTGATGCTAAACGAAGAAGTTTAGTGTAAATAAAAACATGTTGCAAATTCGAAAAGTCTCTTATTAATTAGTCGTCAAATACTTACGGGACCGTGGTCGTTAATAAGCCGATTGAAAGTGTTGGCATATTTATTTTCTGTCTTTTTATGAAGGGCTCGGCCAAGATTTCTTAGGAATAATGGACTATTGATTATTATTACTATAATTAAGTACCGCAGAGGGTGGAGAAGTTGCATAGCTATATAGGATTGAGGAGTAAGAATAGGGATGTATCAGGGATTTTAAGTAAGGTTACTTAATCTTGATGCGCTCCAATGTAGGGGAATGCTGACTTTTAAGCAATGGACACTGGACAGTGAAATCTGTAAATTATGTCACTGACTATAGAGGAGATATATGGTCTCTGTTACGTCATTTATTGATTTCACTTTTCATTGTGAGGGAGACGACATTTTCCGTACATTGGAGCGAATTAAGGGTAAGTAACCTTACTAAACAATCTTGGGCTGTAGAATAGAGCGACAGGGTTTACATTAAGTGGTTTAATAAATCTTATTTTTCAGGTTATAATTTTGAATCACTTGTTAGTGATAGGTATACACCATTTAAAGAATCAGTCACACAAAGGAAAATCAAATTCAGTTCGAACTGTCAAATGGTCAAATTGTATTTAAAAATTGAGAATAATCACCGATTCTGATAGTGTTTTTTTAAAACTTTAATGATATACATCTTAAATTTTGTGTGAATTACTAAAAATTATTTAAGATAATACAGACCGCTTATGTCTTGTATGTCCAACGTTGAGAGTTTTGATCAAATCTAATATTATGTTAACCTCTAGAACAAGATTCTGAACTTGACATGTGTTGAAAGACGAGAGGAAAGGCGACTGGACGAACTTGAGAAGGATTCTGAAAAAGTAGAATCAATTCGAGAACATTCATTCGTCCCACAGACTATTTTTGAAAAGAATGTTTCTCCGTCGTTGAAAAAAGACTGAAATCGTATAGGACTCTAGTTATCAAGAGAAGCGGGAGGAAAACCTCATGGCTCTCTTGTTTTTAAAAGTGTTGAAAAAAATAAATTTAAATCAATTATCATCCTTGACCTTCCAATCAAATTCAAGAACTATTTTTACATTGCATTCATTTGAAAAACCTTTTAGTGAACTTAAGTCAATTTATTGTCTGACTAAACTAGTTAAATAGTTAAATATTTATTTATTGCAAAATTATGTTTTTTAAATGAATATTTTTCTTTTGCAAAGTTTATAGTGTTATGTTATACAAGAGAATAATTCATTACGTAATCTTTGTTTCAGAATCGCAAGCTTGGTTTTCCTATTTTGTTAGGTAAAAGTTGAATCCGTAATTCTGTGAAATTTAAAGAAAAAGAAGACAACATTTTTGTTCAAATTTCAATATTGTTCTCTATTGTATTACCTCAAACGTTTCATGTATTTTTTCTTCAATATTCTCATAGCTTTAAAGTCCTAAAACCTAGGCGTCGCATTATTTTTGCCTTTCTAATAAATAGACGCGTTTAAATGTAACTTGTTGCATTCTTTTACACTTTTCCTGCCAAATAACTCGGTAGTTAATCCCCTTAATATTGTATCCATGCAGTATTCTGTATAATATTCCTGTAAAAATGCGGGAAATCTTTTACGCCTATCTTTATAAGGACTACGTTTTAAATCCTCATATTACGGATTCCACATGTATCAGGAGTATGTTGTGCTATGCTGTTATTCTGTCCAACTTGTGCTAATATTCTAGAGGTAATTGCAAAAAAATATAAGGTTATTTAGCAACTTTTAAATTTGTTAAATCGAAAGAATGGCCAGAATTAGTATAATTCATTTCAAAACAAAATTAGATGAATATAAAAATGATCATTTAATATGGTTGAATATGATTGAATATGGTTGAATATGATTGAATTGAATAAATATTAGACTCAAGTTTCCAATAAAAAAGATTTTTGCGGTGTAAACTTTGAGATTAAAGCTTATCAAATTTTTAAAGCAATTTTTTTAAATAGAAGATTGATTGATGATTGAATTGAATGGGCAAGGTTAAACCTTTTATACCAGGTTGAGGAAGGTTTAAGTGCTAGCTACCGATTCTCCTGTTCTACCTGCCCATACATCTACAATATCACTAAACGGATATCTAGCAGGTGAGATTTGAAACAAATATCCAGCAGGAGGGGTTAGATTTGAAAGTAACATGTTTCCAGTAGAAAGGTTAAGTGCTAGCTACCGATTCTCCTTCTCTACCTGCCCATACATCTACAATATCACTAAACGGATATCTAGCAGGTGAGATTAGAAACAAATATTCAGCAGGTGGGGAGACTTGAAAGTAACAGGTTTCCAGTAGAAAGGTTAAGTGCCAGCTACCGATTCTCCTGCTCTACCTGCCCATACATATACAATATCACTAAACGGATGTCTAGCAGGTTGGATTAGAAACAAATATCCAGCAGGTGAGGTTAGACTTGAAAGTAACAGGTTTCCAGTAGGAAGGTTTAAAATATCACTAAACGGATATCTAGCAGGTGAGATTAGAAACATATATCCACTATCTAGTAGATGAGATTAAAAATAGATGTCCAGCTAGAGGGATTAAGTATAGGTATCCAGTAGGTGGGGTTATGTGTAGATATCCAATATGTGGGGTTATGTTTAGATAGATGTTGGTTACTTTCCCAAAGGATTTTTCCCAATTGACAACTTCCCAAATAAGCAATTTCACAAGCAACACCTATAGATATCCAGTAGGTGGGGTGATGTATAGTTATCCAGTAGGAGGAATTACATATACATATTCAGTAGGTGGGATTATGTAAAGATATTTAGTATTTTGGATTATGTATAGATATCCAGTAGGTGGGGTTATGTATAGATATCTAGTAGGTGGGACTATGTTTAGATATCCAGTAGGTGGAGTTAGACTTGAAGTAACATGTTTCTAGTAGAAGGGTTTAGAGCTAGCTTCGAATTCTCCTGATATACATGCGGATATATAGCGCCGGAGGGATTATGATTAGAAACAGATATCCAGCTAGTGGTATTAGTAACAGATATCCAGCTAGTGGTATTAGAAACAGATATCCAGCTAGTGGGATTAGAAATAGATATCCAGCTAGTGGGATTAGAAACAGATATCCAGCTAGTGGTATTAGAAACTGATATCCAGCTAGTGGGATTAAAAACAGAAACCAAGCTTTTGGAATTAGAAACATGAATCCATTAGATGGATTTAGAAACGGATATCCTGGGATTTAGGTTTAGAAACAGATATCCAACTTGTGGTAATAGAAACAGATATCCAACAAGTGGGATAAGAAACAGATATTCAGTAGATTGGTTTAGAAACAGACCGGACCCTTTGATATTTAAAACTGACGAATTGATCTAGCAGAGTCCGAATTTAATTAATTTAAACCGCGTCTTAAATCCCCCAAAAAACCGGTTAAGGGTATCACGTTCAAGTTGCAAGATATAAGGATTTTAAGGCAAGTTATTAATTTCTGTAATCTAGGACGTATACAAGCTTGAAGGAGGTAGATGATGTACTAGGAGGAGCTGCTGCCTGGGAAAACGTAGACTCTACAGAGGAGAAGTGTCCTAAGTGTTCTCACCCAAGAGCATACTTTATGCAAATACAGGTATTTAAATCTGGGTAATCGTAGTCTCTACGGAGGCGAAGTACCCTAAGTGTTCTCATTCTAGAGTATACTTTATGTAAATACAGGTAATTTACATGGGAAAACTTAGACTCTACGGAGGCAAAGTGCCCGAAGTGTTCTCACCCAGAGCATTCAAAATGCAAATACAGGTATTTAAACCTGGTTACGCGTAGACTACGGAGGCTAATTGTGTTCTAATCCCAGAGCATACTCAATGCAAATACAGTGAGATGATGAGATCCATTAAACTGTGAAACAGGAAGGCGACGTTTAGACTCAAATTATGATAATGAATAGTCCAATGATCATGAAACGCAGCAACAAACTAATTTCTCTTAAGAAGTAAATTTCTTAAGTTACTTTTAAAACTATTTTCTTTGTAAAACCATTAAATCCACTTTAAATTGCTTAAATGTCGTCGTTCTATTTCATCGTTATAAGGGTTTCACTGTATTTTCTTAACTCAGGGTTTCCTCCTAATCTTATGATACTCAATATTATGTGGATTATCTATAAAAATCCTGATATTTAGACCCGGTCAGCGGACGAGCCTATGACCACATTCTACAAGTGCTGCAATATCGAGTGCGGAAACCGTTGGCGAGAGTAATCGTCGTCGTTACTCGAATTAGATAACTTCATTCGATTATCATGCCGGAATTTTCATCGGATAAGGTAATAAACAACAAAATTTATTTGTTATTATTAAATTCTGCTTTATTAAAGGAATTTTTATCCTTCTAGAGTCTACATTTAATTAAAAAACTTCAGGATTTTATTTTTTTAATCTGAATCCTATATTCTCATTTTTCTTCAGAAAAAAAATCATCTGTTTGGGGAAATGTTATAATTTTCAAGTATTTGTTGAATAAAACTATCCTTGAATTATAACAAAAATGTGAAAGAAGCATTTTTGGTAGATATCAGCTGTTGGTGAACTTCTGAATGATCCCTCCAGGCCCCTGAAGGAGAGATTCAGGGCCCTCTTCACGCTCAAGAATATCGGAGGGAAAGAGGCAATTGATTGGATTTCCAAGGTCATTTTAGTTTTTATTCAAGGAAAATATATGTTTGACTGGTTAATTTTTTTAAGATTTATTAATTGATCGAATTAAAAATTGAAAGATTTACTAATTGATTATTTACTGATTACGTGATTTATTACCGAAGGGTTTTACAAACTTACTGGTTTATTTATTCATTAATTGATAAATTAACTTCGTGATTAATTTACTAGTTGATTAATTTGCCAATTTTAGAATTAATTGATTGATTAATTTACCAATTGATTGCACTACTAATTGATTGTTCGATTGATAAGGGATTCTCTGACTCGTCTGCACTGTTAAAACATGAGATTGCATACTGCCTTGGACAGCTGCAGGACCCCGCAGCTGTTCCTGTTCTTATTCAGGTTCTCAAGGTAACCAGGTTCTTGTAGACTAATGCGTCTGAGACTTTGAGCTTTCTTATTTGGATCCAAGTTTCTTAAATATTATATATGGATCCAACGTGAACATAAGAATAAAATAACAAAAATTTTTTTTAAAGTAAAGAAATATTTGTTTATGGAAAAAATATTGGAACTAGTTTAAATCGAAGAGAACTTAAAGACGGTAAAGAGATTAAATAAGACTACATAATTTTCTAGATGACATTCATGGCATCGTTATTATTCGACTTTATATAGTATTTTTACATTACACAACCCTTACTCTCTAAATAATATCCATTATAGGATACGAGTAGAGAACCTATAGTTCGTCACGAATGTGCGGAGGCTCTGGGTGCTATCGGAGGACCGGAGGTTCTGGATATTCTTAAGGAGTACTCCTCCGATCCAGTTCCGGAGGTAAAATGGCTTAAAGTAAATGTAAATCGTCAAGTTTTAATAATTCTTTTCAAAATCAGNAAATTCTAAGAAAACGACAATATCCTTCACATTATATTGATCGGATAAAGGTTTTAAGGGTATCATTGTGAATCAGGCTTAACAATCTTACATAAGGTCACTTGAAATTAAACACTTTAAAATTCTAAGAAAACGACAATATCCTTCACATTATATTGATCGGATAAAGGTTTTAAGGGTATCATTGTGAATCAGGCTTAACAATCTTACATAAGGTCACTTGAAATTAAACACTTTAAAATTCTAAGAAAACGACAATATCCTTCACATTATATTGATCGGATAAAGGTTTTAAGGGTATCATTGTGAATCAGGCTTAACAATCTTACATAAGGTCACTTGAAATTAAACACTTTAAAATTCTAAGAAAACGACAATATCCTTCACATTATATTGATCGGATAAAGGTTTTAAGGGTATCATTGTGAATCAGGCTTAACAATCTTACATAAGGTCACTTGAAATTAAACACTTTAAAATTCTAAGAAAACGACAATATCCTTCACATTATATTGATCGGATAAAGGTTTTAAGGGTATCATTGTGAATCAGGCTTAACAATCTTACATAAGGTCACTTGAAATTAAACACTTTAAAATTCTAAGAAAACGACAATATCCTTCACATTATATTGATCGGATAAAGGTTTTAAGGGTATCATTGTGAATCAGGCTTAACAATCTTACATAAGGTCACTTGAAATTAAACACTTTAAAATTCTAAGAAAACGACAATATCCTTCACATTATATTGATCGGATAAAGGTTTTAAGGGTATCATTGTGAATCAGGCTTAACAATCTTACACAAGGTCACATTGAAATTACTCTTTCAGAGTCTTTAATGTCCAATTTATGAATATTTGTTCAGTCCTTTGTTCCGTCATGAGGTAGCTTTTGTTCTTGGGCAGGCTGCTTCTCCAGCAGCTGTTAAGGTATGTATCGACAGTGTCGCACTTTTAACTCTTATGTACACTGTGATAACTCATAAGGAAAAAAGGAACCATTTGTCAACCATTTACCCTAATGATAAAATGATAATTAGGAGTTGACCCAGCGTCTCCAGGATGTATCTGAGAACCCCATGGTACGTCATGAGTGTGCTGAAGCTCTTGGAGGGATAGGAGCACAAGGTGTTGAAGAAGAACTTGCCAAGTACGTCAATGATTAATTCAGCTTTTAAAAAATTTATAACTTCATCGGTTTGAATGTCCAAACTTAGAAAATTTAAGTTATTTATCTGTATTGTTAATTGGTAAGCTCTCACAAATAAAGGTTTGAAGGAATGATCTCTTGTCTAGGTATCTTGATGAGAACGAAGCCGCTGTTGTACGTGAAAGCTGTGTTGTTGCCCTGGACATGTTCGATTACGCAAACAGCAAGGAGTTCCAGTACGCTAATGCAATAGATGCGTAATCATTACGTAACTTTCCCCGGTGTAAAAACATCTCGCCTATTTTTTAATAAATTTTTTTCTCACAAACCAAGGTTTATTTCAGAAGGATGGCAAAAGCTAGGCGTGCTGCTGGTTTTGTTGTTTACAGAAACTTTGAGAATTCTGTTCAGTTCTTATTGATGCAGGCAGAATATTCATAATTTTTTATAAGGATTTTGAGTTCAATAAACATCTCCCAATGGCCAATTGTTTGGTCTAAATTAAGATCGATGATTGAGATAGCATCGTTTTTAAGTTTAATAAAGAAAAACCACATTTTTTTCAATTTTAATATTGCCATGCCGTAAACTTAAAAATTAAAAAAGCAGATTTCGCTAAATGTATAATTCTTTATGTGACAAATTATGTATATATTCTGAAGGCTAGTAATCAGAACCACCATTGGACACCACCGAAAGGTAAATAACACTACTTTTTAGGGGCAATAAAATCTCCACTTTTTAAATTTTCAGCTTTAAAATATCCTGTAATATCATGCAGTAAAATGATAACATAAAATAGTATGATACATTTAAACCGCAGACATTTTACAATTTAGTTCAGTTGAGATAATATATATGTTCATTAAAATTTAATGCCAAAATTTCTAATTTTGAATTACCAAAAAACAAAACATCAAAATACAAAACAGATCCTAAATATATCAAAAAAAAAAAATTAAACATATCGGGCTTTAAACATCTTACAATTTGCAAAGATGTAAACAATTTACTTTTTTTCAATGTTGTTTTTATAACGATTATATTGTCTTGCTAAGATTTCTTTAAAAAAAGAAAAACAAATTTTTATCAGTCAAACAAGCCTTTAAATTAATCATCATATGTCTCAGGATAAACCAGAACATTTAAAAGGGACTGTTATGGTAAAATGAAATTGTGCATAGGCTGAAGCCTAAACTTTATAAACATCAGGTCTATACCCTCAACCCTATCTTCATTGTATTTCAACCTACAGGTCGTTGTACTTTGTCTGTAGGTTGATTGTTAATAATAATAATAATACCCCTGTTTATGTTACCTTTAAGAAAAAACTTTCATTAAAGGATATTAGGATATATGTCTAAAAAGGGAAAAATTACAACCTCCTTTGCAACAATTCTTGAGATAAGAGTATGGAAGAAGCCAGGGGTGGTACTGAGGGAGATTTTGGGGGTAATTACCCCAGTCTGAAAGCAGCAGCCAACAAGTATTCCACTGTTTTCTGGTTACCAATGTATTTAACGTCACCCTAAATCCTTCAAAGTGACCTTTAGGTCATGTTGATGCTGGAGAGGATGACCTTACAACAGCCTTCAGAGAGACTTTAGAGGAATCTGGGATATCTAAGGTCAGAAAATATCCAGAAGATCATTTTGTTTTCGTTTTTTATTGCCGTCCTTGACATAATCTCGTTTAGATGTTTAATTTTCCACGTTTATCATAGATCAAACCGTAGCTGAACAGTAGACATACTGACTAGCTAGACTAGCCAGTAAATGAATGAATGAGGAGAACACTGGAAATTGATAAAATGTCATGATTGTTCCTGCTCAAAATTCTGCACCCAGCCTCGCCCACCCTCACTATGCCAAAAAGAAAACCTAGTTGTGCCATTGAACGCAATGAATCTTGGATGTATATCATGTTTTAAATCCATAAAAATCAAATCATACAAATATCATAGGATTTATATGATAATTGTATGATATGTTTTTTATGAGTTAAGATTTACTTTGATAAAACTCTGTTGAAAACTTCTAATCTTTAGGATCAGCTTTTTGTTCATAGAGAATTAAAGGATGAACTTCACTACAAGGTAAATGATTTATATTCACTTCTAGATTTGTCAAATTAATAATTTGCAGCTTATTTCACGCATGGGCACAACCAGTGTACATTTGAATATCAGAGCTGGGCCAACCTGTGCTGTCCTATTTTGGACTGTACTGGCAATTTACAATTACTAAAGCAACAATCTTTATGACAGAAACAATCTCAAAAACTGACGAGGGTCAACCTAGACTGAAATATATTTTCAGTAAATGTGGAACGAATATCTACTTATATTCTTCTATAGAGGTCTGGTCCATCACCATCACTGGATTTTAAATAAGTCAATTATAAGAAACTATTTCACTGAAGAATCACTGAAAGACAAAATTGCCATGGAATCTTAACTGATTCTTGTATCAAATTGGTCTTTGGATTGGGTGTTAAATTTATTTCAATCTTTGAAAATAAGTTGAAATAATTACCTTTTTAAAGACCAAATATCATAGTAATATTCACCAAATCAAATTGGAATTTGCCATTATCTTAATTCCCGATTATATGTGTATTTGTTATCGTTTTTAATTTTAAAAACTGATAATTTTTTAAGTGTGGTTTCTCTTCAATATTTACAGCTTTTTAAATGATTTCTAAGGACCGGAAAAATTCCCCATTTCCTACTTATTTGCTCCCTTGTCCCAATAGTTAAAGATAACCTAACCTAAGTGATATTTGTAAAAGTGATAATTATAGAGCTATTGCAATTTGGAGCTTACTTTTGAAATGGTTTGACTGGCTTTATACTTATATTGGATGAGGATAAACTATCCAGTGATGAATTGCAGTTTGGATTTCAACCTTACTGTAGTACAACTATGTGTTCCTGGGTCGTATCCTCAGTAATTGATTACTATAATCAAGCTGGCCGGCCAGTTTATGCATGCGCTATGGATCTATCCAAAGCGTTAGATCTTGTAGCTTGGGGTAAATTGTTCCCCGAGCTATTGGAAAAAAACATTTCAGTCTTATCTCTAAGATGTCTCATACATATAAATATAAGAACCAAACTTGCAAAATGGACTGATTCTCTATCCCATGGTTTTCAAGCAACAAATGGAGTAAGACAGGGAGCGGTTAGTTATGATATTATTCTGCATCAATATAAATGATTTGATTAAACAGTTGAGATTATCTATGATTGGTTGTCAAATACAAGGTATATACCTTGGAATATGGGTTTATGCTGATGATATTATTCTTCTGTCCCCAAATAGGAATGGTTTACAGGAAATGCCAAATATACGTGAGGAATTTTCACTAAATTGTAAACAAAAGTTCAGTACAATTGCAAACATAAAGAATCCAAGACTGAATGTGTTATTTTTAATAAATCTAATATTGATAGTAATAATGTGTGTTGGAAGATTTATCACTGCACATCTTTGATTTAATGTAATTAAGGAAATTGATGTAAATGAGAAATCCAAAGCTTTTCATAGGACAATCCGTTCCAAATTTGAAGAAATATTTCCAGAAAAAAATTGTTACAATTTCTCCTCTAGACAAACCCTGGATGAATCTGTTCCTGAAAAAAATTAACAGACAAATGAAGCAAGAATACTGGAAAAATAGAAGAAGTTCGAAATATCTGAGCTTAAAAAAGACATTCTCTAGCCTTAAAAAAATCTGATATTAACATATTATAGCAAAATATTTGATGAGGTTAGAATTACAAACCCAGCTAAATGGTATAGTTTAGCTAAAAAGATTAGATTAAAGAATGATATGAATGAGCAAATAACTATTGAATGTCTTAAGGGCCTTTCTGTAAATTCTGTTGCAGACAGGATTGCTGAGCACTTTGCTGGTATCTCCCAAGAATATGATCCTATATCTGCACCAGACCAACTCCCATCCTTCCTACCTGCCCAGCCGCCTCCAGTACTCCATGATTACCAGGTATACACTAAGCTGAGGAAAATGAAGAAAACCAAATCAAAACTTCCCATTGATATTCCAAATAAACTAAGGAACGAATTAGCATTGAACTTGCTAAACCATTAACTAATATTCTCAATGCATGTCTCCAAACTGGAATTTATCCTAAGAAATGGAAGTTTGGGATCTTTAACCCCAGTGCCATAAACTAAAAACCCCAAAGTTATAAAAGATCTAAGGAAAATATCCTGCACCAGTAACTACAACTATTTGAAAGATTTTAAAAAACCTGGATTTTAGAAGACATTCAAGCAGATTTAGACATAGCGCAATTTGGTAAGCAGAAAGGTACTTGGACAGACCATATGTTAATCAAGATGTTGGACAAGATAATTACTCATCTGGATAACAAACAATCCTTGCCTGCTGTAATTGGCACTATGTTAGATTGGTCAGCAACATTTGATAGACAATGTCCTAATATTGCAATTCAAAAATTTTCCACTATCGGTGTTCGGGCCTCTATTAATGAGCTACTTGCTAGTTATCTCCAGGACAGATATATGATGGCGAAGTTCAACGGAATTACTTCTTCTACCTACCACATGCCTGGAGGAGGTCCCCAAGGAACCCTGCTGGGAGTCATTAAATATCTGGTCCAGTGCAATGATTATGCTAATTGTGTGCAACCAGACTTAAGATTTAAATATGCAGATGATCTCTTAATCTTAGAACTCTTATCTCTCTCTCCCTGTTCTGGAAATCTCTCATCCTACAACTGTAAGTTCAATGTGCCATCGGATATAGGAACCGACCAACCTTATATTCATCAATCTAATCTACTCCGCAGAATCATATTAATACCTTCTCTGACTGGACAAGGATCAGTAAAATGAAGCTTAACTCTGCTAAATCCAACTACATAATATTTACCCAGAAATATGGTTAACTCTTTACGAGGCTGAACCTAGATAGTAATATTTTGGAAAAGGTTTCAGCAACCAAACTTCTAGGTGTATGGATAAGTGAAGATTTAGATTGGGAATTAAATACTTCGGAGCAGTGCAAAAAGGCATATTCTCAAATATCCTTGCTGTGCAATTAAAATATGTTGGTATGTCCACTCAGGATCTACTCAAAACCTCTATATCGTTTATACGCTGCCTACAAGTGTAGGCTTGTGTGGTCTGGCACTTCACACTGACGGTCAACAATACCTGCGCACTAGAGCAAGTGCAGAAAACCTGTCTAAGGGTAACACTTGGTCGAGAATATAAAGGATATATGTCTGCACTTGAAGAGTCTAACCTTGAAACACTAGAAGTTTGTCAAGAAAAACTCTGTCTATCATTTGGGAAAAAATGTCTGTTAAGCTCAAACCACAGATCCCTGTTTCCGAGAAATATTCCTCTCCACAACCATAACTTTAGAGAACAGAATCTGTTGACAGTTGTTCAAGCCAGGACGGAGAGGCTATGGAGATCATCTATACCATATATCCAGAGATTACTGAATAATAATAGATGAACATATATATGCTTTTACCAATATGACCAATTCAAAATGTATAATTTTATTTTATATGAATGTTAATCCTCGGATAATAAACTCTCTTTATTTATTTTTTATAATGTATGTATGATTATTCAAAATGGTGTCCCTTTACCATATTGTGCATGTTTTGGGAATTTTAGCATTTTCCCTAGAAACAATACCTAGATCCACAGGAATTGTTTAGCTATTAACATGATGGGGCAACATCAATTCTCCATTGCGCACCTCTTTAATACACATGAGTCTCTTATATTCTTTATTTCTGTTACAGCGATACAGAGCTAGGACCCGTGAACTGAAAAACAATACATCAGTCACGGGTCAAAATAAATAATAAATTAGTATTATAGTTATTCAAATAAATAAAATTAGCCAAGTTTACATTAAAATTTGCTCCAGGTGTGCTAAGTGTGATTAAATTGTAACAACAATTATGAATTGAAATAACACTTACAATGTGCTAAATGTGAATAAGTTGCGACAAATATATATAAATTAAAGTAACATTTACAAAGTTAATTAGGCCGGAGAATTTGATAGCTCTAGAGTTGGATGATTGTTACCAGCTGTCTCTTATACATAACTAGAAATAATAAGGAGAGTTTATATAATGGCTTATCATGTGTTAGAGGAGATAGTCACACTTTCGTCTTTAATTGTTCACAAAGATCACACGAAACTTGATTATATACCTTTATCTGCTCGAAAGCAGCAGTCCCGGTTTAGAGAAACACAGATGCTTCCGACAGGACTTCTCCGAGAGGAGGTACGGATACTTCTCCGAGAGGAGGAACGGATACTGCTCTGAGAGGAGGAACGGATACTTATCCGAGAGGAGGTATGGATAGATGATGATTGGATCCGAATAAGGTTGAGTTAAACATCAGATCTCAATCTTGAGGACAATGATGAGATCTAAATAAGATTAAGTTAGACATTAGATCTCATCTTGAGAGCAGCTTCATATTTAATCTTCACCTTTATCTGCTTAATAGCAGCAGTCCTGGTTTAGAGAAGCAAGGAAGACGCTTCCGACAGGACTTCTCCATGTAGGAGGTGAAGACGATGGTGCCCAGCAGGGAGACACTCTGCAGGCGGTTTGAATCTGCTCTATCAGACTCTCTTTAGATTGAAGAGATCATCCTTGTCCAGGAGTACGGCGTGGGTAGATCAGAGGAGGACTTGGTCTACGAGATAAAGGAGTAATTAGTCTCGGATAAGCTTCAAAAGTTCAGAATTCTCTAGGAATGTATTTTCACCTGTTAATTCATTAGTTCATAGTTCAGGACAGGCGATGAAATACAAGAACGATCTGGATTCACTTTATATAACATCTATAAGTTTTAATGAGCTTAAATTCAAAAAAGGTTTTAGGCAGTGTTACATTTACATTTAAATAGTATTGCACAACCTGGAGTACTAAGGCAGGATAACGCAGTTATTCTAGCCCATTATGGTCTGAAATATATAGACCATTAAATATATTTTTTAGTTATAGGCTCTATTTAAAGTATAAATCTAGACATTGTAAAAAAGCTTTTTAGGCTTGAGAATATAAACTTTTAGGCCAGAATGATACATTTAAAGTAAAATTTAATTAAACTCAAATAAAATCTCAGATAAAGCTTGATTAAATATTTATATATGTGTAAACAGGAGGAACAAGTATAGAATTAGATGAGTAGATCTTCATGTGATTCTTTAGATCACGATTTCTGGATTCAACCTGAACATCAAGATTTAAGAAAAGATCCATAGAGATTACACATATGTAGATGAATTTAAATATCTTGGAAATCTATTTCAATCCGATAATTCTATGTCCAGAGATTGTAATTTATTTATGATATCAATAATTCACAGCAGCATTTTAAAATACTGCATTTCTCTTCTTTCCTTTCATTTAAATGTTTCATCACTCTTTGAATCAAGAATTTCATTTTTCTGAACCTACAATGGTTGTTAAACTTTATAACATATATGCATCTAGTCTATATGGTTCTAACCTATGGGATTTGTTTTGTGAAATTGTATACTTGGAATACTGCTATTCGTATTTTATTTGGTTTGCCACAACAAACTCAGATGTTTTATTGAACAAATTTCTTAACAAATTCATTTAAAAACTATGTTGTGTAGCCGATTTGTATCATTTTGCAAATCTATGTGTAGAAGTCCCAGCTCATCATTGTTTGATATATGCAAAAATGACCAAAGAACAAAATTATGTAAAAATTTATCTAATATTGCAAATGAAACCTATGTAGATAAACTCTCCTTGAACAAGTCTCAGTAAAGTCAAACATTATTTACGGGAATCTGGCTGAAAATGCATGGAGAATTCCACTGTTAAAAGATTTACCATTAATCTGGTTGAATCAAAATGTTTTAGAAGAATTTGATTATGATGAAATAGCTGTAATTATTGATGATACTTTTTTTATTTTATTGTTTCTACTATATATTAATTCTATATTTTATATATTATATATCTCATTCCTCGTTGATTTTAAATTGTACCATTATAATTGTGTACAAATAAATAGAATATCCAGTGAAGAAAAATTTAAAGGAATTAACCTTAACTTGTATAAGAAAGGAAAAAAACAATATCTTGATTTTTAAAAAGTTTCAAGAGTACCGTTCTGAATGGGACATTGCCATCATTGCAGAAGATTACTGGAAATTACGCTTACAGTCTCTTTAAATGTAGTTAGTGGACAACTAAAACATTTATTTTTAATTAGGGGAAATAAATGGATTTTTTTTTTCTCAAAAAAGCAATGCAAAAAGTAGAAAAAACCTTCAATGTCAGATTTCAAATTTTTTGGTGAAAATTTTTTTTTGGGGGGGTGGGGGATTGGGGTTAAAGGCCATAACATTTTAAGTCTTAGTTTCCTGTTTTGCTGATGCTAATGCTGGTTTAGGCATGGGGAGCAGATAAGGTTGTAGTGTACTGGCCGGCTAAGCTACTAAATCCACAGACTACTGTTACAATATCACATGAACATCAAGATTTTAAGGTACCTTATTCTAGGTTTAAACATAGATGAAAAGGAAACAAGAAAATGCATCCTTTTTCACAAAATTACTTTTTTAAATTTAGATTTTTTACCAATATTCATTGAATAGTAATATGATAGCGGATGCTAATATTTTGACATTTCTAATTTCTTGTTCTACATTATTCTTGTTCGTACATCTTTCATATCATATTTTGGCTAATTTTGGAGGAAAACAAATTTGGGACATTTTGGCTGTTGCCAAGCTGCCAACTTTAGAACTAGGTTGGAGGGCCTGCTTTCCTATTTTTCTGCACTTTGTTTTGTTTACACACGTTAGATGAGTCAACAACTAAATATGAACTGAGCAAGCATTCAAACATATATTCCTATCTCTATTCAGGATAAAGTTGGGGGAGGGGGGATGTCTCCCAGTCCCATATTTTTTATAATTGAAGAGGGTTCTCCAATGGTGTCTCCATTTGCTAAAGGATAAATGTTGATAGTGTAAAATGTTCTGTTTTCTTCTCGTTTCTTGTTTCTACATTTTGAGGCCTCCCAAGTAGTTCTTGTGACATCAAGTTGTGGAGCAGTTAGGAAAAAGATAAGGCAGTTTGGAGGTGGAAGGGTATTCAAGGGATTTCAGTAGAAGATCCTTGCTTTCCTTTGTTTTTCTTTTACTTTTTCTTGTTTAGTGGCTGGAGGTGGAGGATGCTTGTAGAACTGCAGGGTTCCCGGATTTACAGAAAACAATCAGAAAATTTCATGAATTCATCTCAAACATGAAATCTGAGGGAAAATAAGAAAGGAACATAATCAGTTGAAATGAGATTTTGAATAAAATAAAACATAATTTTTTATAGATTTTTAGTCCGATATTTAGGGGGGAGCAGGCATCCCTTCTTTCTTTCATAACAAAAACCGAGAGAATTCGCCAAATTAAGGTGTATTGTTATCTTTGAGATAGTTTTTAAGTCTTATTTTCTTTTCTTTATACCTATAACTAAATTGGAAAATATTTACACACAAAAAGACTGCGATGTGTTCCTTCATACTTAAAAAAGATTGCACATTTTATATTTATTAAAGACTGTCTAGCTGAAAAACAAAATCTAAAAAACAATTGAAACTGCAGATTGTTAGAATCTAAAGATTTAATTTTATTTACTCCTTCACCTATGTACCTAGAACTTCAGGAGTACATCAATCAAGCAGACATACGCTTTAAACTTTATTTTAATATGGCAGATGACATTTAAAAATGTTATACATTGGAATTTTTAATTGTGATTAAGCTGGTGAATTATGTTGATCATGTAAATTTATCTCAACAGATCTTGAACATTGAATTCTCATCAAGTCAGCGTTATTTTTGTTTTGTTATCTAAATTCTTCTATAAACACACATTTCGTTTTTCCATTAAACAAATGTCAACATTAGTTTATTTTATTTTTGAAGTTCTTGTTGATGTTTACTCTTAAAATATTTCTATTTTAATGTTATTAAAATGGTGCAGTGTGTTGGATGGTTTCATAGTTAAAGATACATATACATTTACAGTTTTGTGAATTTTTAAATTTTAGTTTGTGTAAACATGTAAATTAACGTGTATAAAATGTATAACTATTTTTGCCAATATGTCGATATTTATTTTCAATTGTTTGAAAATAATTTGTTCATAAACTTGTAGCAACACTAATAATGATCATTGATTTGTTTTTATATATTTTTAAGAAAGGTAAAATGTATGGAAGGTCAGGGAACGTTGTCTCCAGGGGGTCGGGAGATCAAGATCAATCTGGCTTAAAAGTCAGCTTCAATAATCATAAGACTGTCATTAATACATGATTTATAGCCATTAACGGTTTTAGTTTGGATTCTAAAAATCTTTGTCTTACTGCAACATGAAAATTTTTAAAGACTTCAGTGATAACCAGAAAACAATGAAACAGGAAAACTACATTATTGTAATACTTAAGTGTATTTGATGCATTTGAAAAACAAAAGTTTTAATAGACACTTATTAGAATAATAATTTAGGGAAATGGGTCTGTTCACACTGCACAATTACCACAAGTGTCTCATGCTCATTAAACTATTTTTAGTTAGAACTTGATTCTAAAAGTCATCTTCCTATTTCGTAGTTTTCTGGTTCTCACAGTATCAATTTGTCGTACCTTGCGGAATCAAATAAAATCTCCAAGAAATTATTGAACCTACTGGTCCTTCAGGATAAAAGATGATGCTAAATAACATAATCCTTATAACCTTTTTCACACTTTTACAAATTAAAGACTTATAACTTGTAAAATATAAATGTCATCGATCTTAAATCTTTTCTGGAGGTTGTATCTATAAAGACTGATTATTTCTCAAATGTGGTAAATACAGGGTGTCCCAAAAGACATGGGAATTCAGTGACGAATTCGATATCGTCTTTGTTATGAATTAGCATTGTAATACCCAATTTAAACCCATAATATTATTATGTCTGCTAGAGGAGTTTATTTTTATGAAAACGGTAAATGGCTGTAAAGATTTTTCTACATTGTCTCCGCAAGATGAATATTGAAGACGGACAAGTTTACTCTGTTTGTATACAGCAGTCTTCTTGTTTTACTAATTACAACCGTATGCAGTCAAAACATTAACAAACGAAATGTGAACATAGCAGACGAAACTCTTACAGATTACAGCTTTCTCACTATACTTAATCAAAGAATTATTTAAAAAGACTATATCGAATTCGTCACTGAATTCCCATGTTTATTGGGACACCCTGTAGATGTGAAGTAAGAGTTGCTGTTTTTGTTAAATTGTCAAATATATAGAAAACTTGCAATTGTCTCATGATTTTGGAGCTCACTTGAAAGTTTTACAGAACCTTGAAGTCAAAAGATCTTATCTTGAAGAATCTGAAGTTCCGTCTTCCAGAGGGTATGAATCTAACGCGGTTTTTAGGATTTCTAAATCTGATATGGTTAGAGAATTTAAGTCTGGAGAATTGAATCATATATCCCCCTTCAAGCAGGTCGGGGATTCCAACCGGGTATCTCCCTTCAAGCAGGTCGGGGATTCCAACCGTGCATCTCCCTTCAAGCAGGTCGGGGATTCCAACCGGGTATCTCCCTTCAAGCAGGTCGGGGATACCAACCGTGCATCTCCCTTCAAGCAGGTCGGGGAATCCAATCGAGCATCTATCTTCAAGCAGGTCGGGGAATCCAACCGGGCATCTCCCTTCAAGCAGGTCGGGAAATCCAATGGTGCGTCTGCCTTTGAACAGGTCGAAGATTCGAACCGGGCCTCTCCGTCTCCCCTCAAGCAGGTTGGAGATCTGAACCGGGGGTCTCCCATCAAGCAGGCCAGAGAATTAAATCGGGCATCTCCTTCCCCCCTCAGGCAGGTCGGAAAATTAAACAGGGAGTCTTCATCGAGGAATCAAAGAGGTAAAATTCTTGACAAAAACTGAGAAAATGTAATGATTCCGTCAAAATGAGGATTAAGTTTTCGAGCAATACAAGTATTTGTTTATGAACAATTGTAATGCATATAGGATCATATTTGCAAGTCGTCTCTTAATTCTCATATTTATTGTGACACCCTGTAGAATTCACATTAGCCTGGTTTCTTAGTCGTGCTACATAGGTCGTTTATATCTTTACTGAGTATCTACAGGGTTAACTACAAAGGGTGAGACTGTACAGACGACCTAAAACTCTTAAAATATGATGATTTCAAGGTTAAATTCCGACTTCTGCCTTGAATATAGACGGTTGGTGGCCTTTTTCATGATTAAGTTAAAAAAAAGTTTTTAGTTGCAGGGAATCATAATTATAAGAAAACTGACTGTACAGTCGACTTTGAAGTCTCATCCTTTATTGGTCTCAACAGTGCTCAGACCGTAACAATGAAAATATAGTTTTACCTAAAAGGTATGACGCGCAAGGATTATAAAACTGGGCAAATATTAGTTTGCTTCCCTAATTCCTGCCACTTCATAATCCCAAAACGTTGAAATTTATCTGATCAGAAACAATTCACATGCCTCTTTTAATCAATGGCAAATCATTTGGCATCGCATATTTATCTGTATCAAGGTATTATAGAGGACGTGGATCAGACTAATAAAAAACGCATAAATAACTTCTAGTATATATATTTCTTATAACTTATTACTAGAGGGTCAGAACATGAGTGTATCTCGATATCACACGTGTAGACTGTCCGGCAGTAAAATGCCCTGTATTCGTTCTATCTCATTCCGTTGAATCTTGTGGAACTTGTTTAAGGCGGCCAGGCATCGTCTTCCACAGTATAATTTATTATTTATATCTATACGAATTCTTTAGCTTAACTTGACTTCGCAATCAATTCAGTGGATAAGGAAACAAACTGCATTTTGTCAGTGTCTAAAAAGCGTTTGCAAGAGGAGGACGGAATTTGGCAGTAAAGGAAAGATGTTGATAGGTGACGAATCATCGAGTTCTATGTTTATTTTGTCACTGATATGCTGAAGGCATGTGAAGCTAAGAATTAGTATTTCTCTCGAAGTATCTCAAATTCTCAAAACGAAGAGAGAAATGTATAATTTATACTAGACTGGATCCCTGGTAATATCATGGGATCTGAGCAGAAACGGAAGTTTCGTAGTTACAGCAGTAGTCCTCCCTTTGCTAAGAGAAGCTTCAGGTAGGACTTTAAAGGACGTAAGAGAATGGCTTAGCCCTCGTACCCCCCCCCCCCATGAAAAATTATACGTCTATTGGAAAAATAAGAATCAAATTTGTTCCGGAAAATTATATTTGTATCGGATGTTTCCTTAAAGAGAAATTGACGTATAAAAGTGGGCGTTTCGAAGAAAGTCCGGTTTGAATTAATTTTTTTTAACCTAACTTACTGAATGATTACTCAGCTGCTTCTATTGCAGAATATTATATCTGATTCGTTAAACATTCTCTATCTATGAATTTTAGCTGCGATTTCCCAGGCTAACTAGGCGAGGAAGTCTTAGCTAAATCACAGCTAGAAAATGTTAAACGAATCGGACATTATTGTCCATAATAATCAGTGCTTATGATCCATTTTATTCTGATGCGGATCCAGATCCGGATCTTTGATCCGCTCTGAAAATAAAAATGGATCCAGATCCAGCTCGTTAACATTTCTTTCAGATTTTCTTATTTTTTTACAAAATAATTTTTTTATTATTCGTTTGTAAACTCAACGAACCATTCAGAAATAAGCAAAGTTTTATTTACATCTTTTTTTAGCATATCAGATTTAGATCTGGATTATAGCAAAAAAGATTTTTTGCAGTTGATGATTGGTACTTTGGTACTTTTGGATCGGAATCCGTGGATTTGCTTAATTGTATGTTACGAATATTATAACTAGGGTTGTTGGAAGAGAAGAGGAAGGAAATTCTATCCTGGAGTTAAAGAAACTTCAGGATATTCAAGCTCATCTGAAGGTAAGATACAATGGTGTCCCACAAACAAGGCTCATCTCAAGGTAGATACAGTGTGTTCCAATAAACTAGGTTCATCTTAAAGCAAGATACAAGGTGTCCCAATAAAAAAGGCTCATCTCAAGGTAGATACAGGCTGTCCCAATAAACAAGGTTCATCTTAATGTACGATATAAGGTGTCCCACTAAACAAGGCTCATCTCAAGGTAAATAAAGAGTGTCCCAATAAACAAGGTTCATCTCGAGGTAAGATACAAGGTGTTCCAATAAACAAGGCTCATCTCGAGGTAGATATAGGGTGTCCGTCCTAGCAAGGTTTATCTCAAATTAGATACAGGGTGTCCCACTTAACATGAAAATTTAAACTTCAAGATATTCAAGATCATCTCAAGGTAGATATAGGGTGCTTCACTAAACAAGTTTTATCCTATATTACGTTATGGGTGTCCCACCAAACATGACAATTTAAATTTCAGGATATTCAAGCTCATTTCAAGGTAAATATACAGGGTGTCTCATAAATCATGACAATTTAAACTTCAGGATATTTAGGCTCATCGCAAGGGAGACACTGGATGTCCCAATAAACAAGGTTCATCTCAAATTAGTTACAGGGTGTCCCTTGAACGTACAGAAAGTTTAGAACTTTATCTTTGACTGAACATAAAATTCTTATGAGCTTTTTCTGGGACGAACTTAGAAATTTGACCGGGGGGGGGGGGGCTCATATATTTCACTTATCCAGGGGGACTGAGGCCCCGCCTTGAATACGCCACTGAGTTTTTCTGTCTGTATAAATGGCTTATTGTGCAGGTAATGAATCGATCCCTGGAATCCAGTCGACTGCTGGCTGTGGATCTCAAGGTTGATTTAAACTGTTCATCAGTTCAACGTCAGATCAACTCATATAAAGCGGTAATCTATATAATCAACTTCTTCGCTCATATATATAAACGGCTCTGGGCCAAATTGGCTGAAATTTTTTAAGGGAACCCATGGATAGGAACCCCGGGGGTGACAGGATAACTAATTCAAGGTTTTTTTTAACCTGGATAACGCCAACGGGCACGCCATGGCTAGTAATCTCATATGAATTAAATGATTAAATACCTCCTTCTTGGAAGAGCGGGGGAAAGTAGGTGGCCATGAGCCACCACTATTTCCTCTTCCGTACCACCACATTTGACTCTTCCAGGCAAAACTATTTTTTTATTTGATATATTTAATGCCTTTAAAGTGTGATTTTCAAAAATCCAGTTGTGGCTCATGGCTGCCGGAAGAGAAAAAAGCTAATATGTGGCATGGAAGAGATAATAGTGGTGGCTCATGGCCGCCTCCCTTCCCCCGCGAGGGAGGGAACCCCCGGACGCCATGAGCCTCCGCTATGCAAACACGAGCCTCCCAGAGTTGCTCGGCAGACCAAGCCTCCGCTTTGCAGAAATGAGCATCAAAATGTGCCTGTGTAATACAGGAGGTTTTTTAAAACTTGTGTTTTAAGTTTAAATAAAAGATTTTTTTTAGATTTTTAGACATAGTGGCATGAGAGGTTTCTCAAAGATGAGAAGTATTTATTAATTATTTAGAAGAAAACAAATTGAATTGAATTTCATCCTTTATAATCTTTGATTTTAGCGATACCTTTTTTTGAAGTTCAAATTAAATCTAGAAAATTTGTATTTATTATTTAAATCTTAACATTTTTCAAAAAAAGGTATTGTTTAAATCAAAGATTACAACAAAACAAACCAAGTTTACTCCAGAAATGTTTCTCCAAATCTTCCTGTCTGCGTAAGAAATGTTTAAAGTTTTGATATAAATCTTATAAACCACTTTATGAGTCCATATATGTTTCTAACCATGACAATCAATGAACAACTCTAATCTCTATTAAAATTCTTATGCCACTGCGTCAAAAAAATTGTTAAAATTTTTCATCACTCATAAAAACCAAGATATAAAAAAAACTGTGCTGTACGGTGGAGGCTCGTTTACTGCATAGCGGAGGCACAGTCTGCAGCGCATCTGGGAGGCTCGATGTCTGCATTACAGAGGCTCATGGAGACGACAATCATTACTCTGTCATCTGGTTACCCATGGTCAGAGGCGTATTCAGAGGGGCTATGGTGGCCAAGCCCCCTCTGGACTAGTGAAATCTATGGATTTCAGGCGGTTTTCAGGCCCCAACTGATACTGAGCCCCCCCCCCCCCGGAAAGAAAAATATAAGCCCCCCCCCCCCTAGACAAATTCCTGAATACACCCCTTCCTATGATGTATACAGGAACTTGTCCAGGGGGGGCGTAACAGATTTTTGATATTCCAGGGGGAAATCTTAGTTTTAACTTCTTTGGGGGGGGGGGTGCTTATTCCCCATAGACCCCCCCCCGTCCACGCTTCTGCGGTTAGGATTGTTTAAATCCCTGTTTATTTCTAGATGGTTCAAATGGATGAGCAGTTGGGTTTTCTGGAAAAGAAACAGAATGATTACATCTTAGATCTGGAGTAGTCTTAGCATGTTCATGTTTCTATATTGTAGAAGTAATTGTACAAAAACATTGTTTAAAAAATATTTGTACTCATTAAGATTATTTATTCTATATTTCTTCAAGATAAGACGAACGTCATATCGGATAAGTTGAAATTTAATGAATAATTGTGATCTATGTATATTTGGAAAGTAAAAAATTTGAAATGAAGACGATTATACTGAATTTAGTTTTATGATTCCAAAATGTCGAGTTCTCCATTTTGGTTTTCTGTACAACTAAACTAAAATACATCTCTGAAAACCTTCCAACTCCCTTTAATTATGCCGATATAAAATTAAAAATGATTATTTTCAGAATTAAAATGAGTTCTCCTCCTGAGGATTGTAGGGTGTGGACTCCATGTTTATATTCCGAAGAAGGAAACAAAGAAAATAAATATATATTAATTCTTCTAAATCAACCAGTTTTAGATACAGAGCATTTAATTAGGTAAAAGTTAACTCATACTACAGAATTTGGGTCCGTATACGATTTTTGGACCCCCTCCCCCTCCTATCAATTGTGTACATGACCACTTTTTCAACAATTTTCAATAAAATTAGTATATATTTAGGGTTAGGTTAGGTTAAGACACTTTCTGGGCCGAGCGCAGCGGCTAGGACAGGCTAGGGGCCGGGCGCTGCGGCCACATGGTCAATTATATCCATTTACATTTAGAAGATCCATTTACAAAATTGATAGGGAGAGGGAGGGTCAAAAAATCGTATATTAGGAAATTACCAATTTTTGTTTGATACCAAGTAAGGTAGGGATAGGGGAAATCAAACTGCTGGGATTGAAAATAGGGAAATAAACGTTAACCATTTGTAGAGAATTTTCTAATAACTCATATTTTCTACAAATATTTTTTTTTATTTTAAGACTTTGGAACGGAGCTTGCTACAAGGTGGCCGTAGATGGTGGTGCTACAGTATGGCACAAAATATTAAACAATATGAATCATAAAATAGGTAATTATGGTAATTTTGAATTTTTAGAGTGAAGATGGATATCGAATATCTACTACAAGTGTCGAATAATCGAAGTGTCTTTTAAACACCCTTGCATACGCCTCTGCTGTTTTTGGTCGATATTAAATAATGATTTATTTAACCTTCGGATGGCCAATTTCTTATTTATGTTACTATAGGTCATATTATCTATCTACACTGCGCTTGTAAAGCGTAACCATATTGTGGCTATGGTTCTACCTATGGTATTGGATATTATAAGTTTCACTTAACACCACGTAGATAAATCCATCAAAATTAAATTTGGCTGAATTAGTTATTGTTAAAATTTTAGAGTTTAAAATCCCGGATTTGATTTCTGGGGACTTCGATTCTGCGTGCATGGATAACGTAAACTACTTCAAGGTTAATTAATCAATCAATCTATCTATTAGGCATTAAGCGTTGAATCTTTTTAGGTTTCTCATTTTCATAATTTTCATAATATAGAGTATCTAGAAATTTTGATACGCTTCCCTATACTTTGATTTTCTCAATAAATATTTTTTGTTTTTTTAAGTGGTGTTGTTTTTTTTATTAAAACATTTTTTTGATAAAATAAACAATTTACAATTATTTTATTGGCAATGTTTCAAAATATTGTTTTTGGAGATTTAACTAAAACTATCTGGAACTAATGAAAAGCTGCCATTTTAAGCTCATTTTATAGAAAAATTATTGTTTAATTGGTGAAGGAATAGTGTCTGATGATGTGGATTAAGTTGGTTTGCCTTTATTTTTTTCTGGGTTAAAAATTTGGCCTAGTCCAAGTAAAGCAAATTGTTTTCCAAATTATTTATTTGTTTATCGTACACAAATCCAAATGTTGCCCCTGACGGGAAATATAGCCACATAAACGAACCAAAACAAGCGCACTAAAACGGTCATTTCTAGGATTAAAATATTGCAACGTTTAATAGAAGCAAACTAACAGAATACAGTTTTTAAATCTAGGTAGATTTATTAAACGTTCTTTTTTACCTTACCAAAACAATTAACAAGACTTTAAAGGAAAATGGAAGTGAGGTTGTAGAGACGATGGATCAAGATAGAACAGATTTTACAAAGGAAAATAGTTCTTCATTATTTTGTAATATTTCATGATAACTAAAGTTCCCGGAAAAGTCTTTTTCAAAAAGTAAATAAATTTCAAATAAACAAAATAAAATGAAGAAACAGTGCTTAGATGTGGTAGGACGACGACTGAAAGAAGGGACGATTCTAGAAGATAAATCAGGACGCGTCAGTGCAATATATACTTTCGTCGAGAACAGTGGACGACTGGATCAGATCCTAGCAAACATTCAGTCCTTAATACTAGGTATTACTATCATTTAAAATTAGAAACGTACTTTTTAATGATAAAACCCAACTAGGCCGTTCTAAGGGTAAAACTTTAGGTTTGAATAACGTTTATCTTGATATCTAGAGCTTAAACTTTTAAGTTACAGGATTTAAGGTCATTTCAAGTCCACAGGGGTATATCAATTTAAGAATAATTATTGGTGAATAATGGTCTTGAGAAAAAAAAAATGAAAAATTGGAAATCAAAATGAAAGTTTTTTCATGCTTTTGATACAACTCAATAATAATAAAAAAAAATCCCTATTTCCCCTTCAAGTCAGTTACTTTCCCCAACTCAACCCTTAAAAGCAACTTATGGCGGGGGAAGGATTTTTAAAGAAAATATACAGCCCTGCAAGTCCACCAAGAGACAATTAAGAAATGTTTTTATTTTTAAAAAATGACCGTTTCCGGCAACTTAAATTTAACCGCTGAACCGCCACAGCGCGTTATGAACAGATTAAAAGATTCCAAAGTGTACAGGTGTTGAGTATACAAGTATTCAAATCTATCTGATCGGATCCATCACTATCTCGTGGATTTTACCTCCTGGAAATCATCAAATTAGGAAAATATTTCAATCAATCTAAAAATTAAAAATTGCACTGTTTTTCTTGAACGACATTGGGATGTTCAATATCGTGTAAACTCCTTTTATTTTTTCCCTATCAGTCAACTTTATATCTTATGGAAATAATTTGTCATCTCAGCTCTTTTACCTACCCAGTACCCATGTTATTGTTTTTATATTTATGTTTGTTTTTCTAATGTTATGCATTTTGATTTGACATATTCGTTTAAAGTTTGCCCGATGTAGATTTGAAGGGATTGAATTGTGGGATTATACCTATATCAGGACCAGCCCGCCTAACCAGTACAGGTTATTTCTTTTAACCTTACGGTTTTATTTCCATGAACGACCACTTCTTTTTATTTATAATGTTTTAGCTTAAAAAGATAATGATTTTTATTATATTAATATAATAAAGGATAATGTAAAGGTTTATTTTACATGATTATTAACAATTTTCTCATTGTTTTTACAGCGGTCATGGCTTAGGATTTGATCGATAATGGTTTGCCCTTTTTCTATAGGTTTAAAGTGGAATTTTGATATGCTGAACTTAAGTTTGAAGAGTTGGTTTCCATACTAAGGATCCTATTCCTATAGGTTTAAAGTGGGTGGAATTTAAATATTTCTAAGCTTAAGTTTGAAGGGTTGGTTTCCATATTAAGGAACCTATTCCTATAGGTTTAAAATGGAATTTAAATATTTCTAAGTGCTCTAGTTTGTAGGGTTGGTTTCTATATATTGATTATCACTTTTTTATAGGTTTAAAGTGGAATTTTGATATGCTGAACTTAAGTTTGAAGAGTTGGTTTCCATACTAAGGATCCTATTCCTATACGTTTAAAGTGGGTGGAATTTAAATATTTCTAAGCTTAAGTTTGAAGAGTTGGTTTCCATATTAAGGATCCTATTCCTATAGGTTTAAAATGGAATTTAAATATTTCTAAGTGCTCTAGTTTGTAGGGTTGGTTTCTATATATTGATTATCACTTTTTTATAGGTTTAAAGTGAAATTTTGATAATTTTGGAAGTCTAGTTTCCCACTAGATTAATATCCCTTTTTTAATTTATATTACTGAGCTAAAGTTTAGAGGGTTGGTTTCTATATTGATTATCCCTTTTATAGGTTTAAAGTGGAATTTGGATAATGCTGAGCTTAAGTTTGGAGGGTTGGTTTCTACCTCCAACTCATTCGTCTCCAACGAGGTGTTCATCGTGACAGACAACACCGTGCTCTGGACCATGGACAGGATCAACATGGAGTAAAGAGAATGAATTTAAAAAGAATACAAATGATATTTAGAATTTTAATTTTAAAGTTTTTGTCATCGATTTGACGAATGTAATTTTGCACATTTTGGCAGTGATGCTGATTATTCATTATATTTTAAATGAACAGTTTTACTCCTGATATATATCTGTGATATTAAAGCATAATTATAGTATTTATGTATAATCTTGTAATATTTTTACACTATTTATATCGATTAGACTGTAATCACTTAGTGCCTCCAATGCAACATTGTACATTATTGACGGACAAAAATTTGCATTTATATTAGTCTAAAATTGTCGTTGAATTGATGAAAATTGTTATTTATCGCTACATTTTATACAATGTTAATTACCAATTTTTAAGTGTAAAAACTAGCATAAAAAAGGTAGTAATCCTTGAAATTTTAAAAGGCTAGATTTGTTATTTTTTGCAGTGATTGTAAATAATTATTGAACTTCGCGAGAAGTGTAATTAATCTGTTTTATGATCATTACAGGTGGAAAAATGGTGATCATTAGTAAAGAGCCGATGGCCTATCCCTCGATGAAAATATACCGAGGAAATGACCCAACACTTATAGAGTTTCCGATCAAGAAAACAGGTGACAAATATTTCAACACTTCAATTTTAACTGCTCAAAAGGGATTGAGTTTAAGATTTTAAAGAACGGGATTATTAAATTATAAATAATACATACTTTTTCCCGCAACACAGTATTATCTTAAGACTTAAACGGAAACTTTTTAATTCTGGGGTCAAGCTTGTTAAATTAAAAGAAATCCTTACTATATAGTCCTTTTAAACGTTAGTTCAAATGAAAATTAGTCCAAACGAACGGAAGTCCAATCGATCATTAGTCGAATTGATATGACTAATAACTTTCTCATGTGAGAAAAATTGTACCCCTCCGCTCTCCCATTTTAAAGATATTAAAGAAAACTCTGGAAGAAATTGTTGTTAAATCATACCATTTTAGAGGATTTCTTCGAGAAGAAGGGAAGTTTTGCTGAAAGGTTGAAGTGGGGTCTGAAAACCGGTTTGATCGCTGGACTAGGCTGGACTACAGCTGATATTCTCTCATTCTCCAGGATTACCGATAGGTTGGTTTTATCAGAGGGAGCCTAAGACGTTACATACACTGTAAACTCCGGTTCTTTTCAGTACAGGGCCGACTTTTAATCAGCCAAGGCAAGCTGTAAAGTACAACACAGACCAAATATGGCAATACGGGATAGTACTCCAAATGAATGTTCCCCTTCTTGTGAAAGATATATTATTGCAAGGCCTCCACACACGCTTTTCATTTTTGCGGTTGTGTCTTTTTACGCCATTAAATTAGTACTATTTGTGGACCTCTTACTTGTGAATTATCGTATTTGATCCAAACGAAGGCCAAAAGGAAAAAATCATTTCATTTCTTAATTATTATCATATACTCCCTATCGAATATAAACCATCATTATTTTTTAAAGTAGGTCAAATTTCATTCTTATTTATAAACTTTTGCTAGATAGTTAGATTACATGGTTAAGCTTTTAATTGTGCGCAGGCGCGCGCAGATTGCCCGTGGCGCGTTCTTCACTATTCCTGCCGTATCTGCAATGGTCGGTTTTGTGGCGCTTCTCGAGATTGCTAAGAAGGTATTTATATTCTTATTGTGCTTTTATTTTCAAACTTTCGTTTACAATTTTTTTTTTATCTTCCTTCTTTGTATTACTTTTTTCTACCTCATCAAATATGAGATTATTGAAATAAAAAGAAAGATTATAATTAATAATATTGATCTCAGCCCTTTCCACCCAAGTTCCCTGCTTTGGTTTAAGTTGGAAGTGGGCAAATGGGGAGTCTGTTTTTTTTTACAAAATATATACTTCTATATCAAATTTAGAGTGTTGGTCGTGAGCACTACAAAACAGCGTTTGCAGTAGCTGCTGCTGCTCCCGCTACTGTTTACTGTGTTTGGAGAAGAAATATTGCTCCTTTTGCCAAGGTTTACATCCCTGTGGCACTCTGGGGTAAGTACTTTTTATCCCGGCTTAATTCACACTTTATCAAGTAAAAATCGCTAAATTAACACTTTTCGCATTCTCTAAATAATTTTTATTTTACTGTATAATTTACATTTTTTTCCATGGAAGATTTCTCAATTTTTTCTCATTTATTTAATAAAATTGTATTTTTTGATCCTTCACAATCTGAAGAAAGACAAAAAATATGACAATGTTGACCAGGGATGATAAATCAATCAATAAAACTAGATTATATTTAGGAGTAACTTATCAGACTTCTATTGATGACAACAAATACTTTGGCTGGGGAGCAGTCACTGATAATCCTAATGATCCCAGGGATACCTTCCACAGAAGCCTCTCTATGTTTGGAGAGGTAATTATTGGATATGTCCATATTCACGGCTCGGCTACCGCCACTCGGGCATAAAAGTATCATCATGTCATACTAACTCTGTAATCCACGTACCCCAAAAGGGGGCTGTGGGTTGCAGGGAGGGGTGGTTACCTGGTAACACTTGTGTTTTTGGGGAGTCATAATAGATAGATAGATCCATGCAAATAAATCAGTAAAGATAAGGATTAGATGTTAAAAGTGAAACTAGTTCCATCTTCTATAATTTTCACCTCCAAAACTTCATTTTCTTAGAACCCTAGTTTATGGACCATGTAATATTCTTTTGAGTTTTTTGTCAGTGCTTAGGATCCATTTAATTTTGATGCGGATCCGGATCCAGGAAGCCAAAATCTTGAGGATACAACGGATCCAGATCCTAAGCGCTGGTTTTTGTATAATGTGTCTATTTGTTTTATTCCTAACTTGGTGGGTGTTTTTACAAACCCCTTTTCTTCTTTCAACCTTTCGTATTTTATTGTTTTTCATTTGTTTCATATTTCTTTATTTTCTCCTGCTCTCGTTTTTGTAATGTCTTTATATGATTCAGTGATAACCAGAATACTCTGGAACATAAAGACTACTTTTTTACTCGAGTTATAATTTTAAATAGTCCAATGAGTTTGGGATACAGCATTTGTGCAGTGTTAACAGACCCATTTAACTTAAATAGTGGTTTAATAAGTGTCAAGTAAATTTATTTGCTTTGTAACAACTTTAAATAAGCTTAAGCATTGCTATTAGGTCGTCTTCCTATTTCAGAATTTTCTTTTGATCACTGTACTGTGAATTTTTCAGGCTGTACGACCTGAATTTTTCCACACCAAATATTTCCGTGGAGGCCTTCTCCAGCCTGCGGACCCTGGACCAACCTACGCCAAGTTTGAGAAGTAACATGGGCCCTGGAATTACCCTAGTTAAATATAGTTTGTCTAGATCCTCTTACTTGCTTTATAAATATTCTTAAACTGAAGAGTATAATAATGCAACCCTCCCCTTTAATAGATACTGAGTCTAATGAATGAAAATATATTCAGATAAGATGGATGACGACATCACTATCATGAATGAGGTCAACAAGGAGGATAAGGAGAGAGAGCGGGAGAGAGAAAGGGTGAGAAAAAAAATCTAAATTATATTTTTTTTTTAAATAAAAAAATAAAATTCTGTTGTTGTGAATTGTCGATGCCACACTTTAAAAAGGGTCATTTTGAATAGCATTAAGTCTACTGTTATGACCCTTGTATTTAAAAATGTTTAGTCTGAGAGTCGAAAAAATGACCGACGCAGCAATGAGCGTGGAAGTGGAGACAGAAGGAAGTAAGTTAACAATATTCTTAAAGTTTTGCTTTAACAACATTCCTTAAAGTTATTCCAAGATTCATTACAAACTTTCCCATTCCTTTCCAATGTTTTATCTGATTAATACGTTTTAGTGTTTTCCACCTAATTTTTTAATTAAAATTTTTTTTAAAGATTTGATTAGATTTGAGTTGCTAAGATTTGATCTGAATTGATCTTATCTGATTTGAATTTAGTTCTGATCGAGGACGGGGTGGGAATAGGAAACGAGGGTACGGAGGAGACTGGGATAAAAACAAGGTAAATATGTTTTCACTACATTCAGGGGTTTATATTTCTTTTATCCTCCCAGTATTAAGGTAGAAAATTTGTTCGTCTAGGGGTTTTTAAAAAATACAACCATCAATATATTTCATAATGAATGTGCTATAAAGTAATTATCGTGCTATAATGTTAAATTGGCACTACAGCTCGTGTTCTATAAAGTTTTGATTGGTTCCCGGATTTTCTCCAAAAAAATGAAAATAAATTTTTTTACTTCTGCTTTATTTCTAAGCTTATTTGATTTAAAAGAGCCATTGTATTAAGACAAGTACACAAACGTTTCATAAAATTATCTATAAAACTATTATTTTGGCTCGACGTGCTATAAAGTTTTTGCACTTAAATTTTCTCAATATCTCGAATTTCTCGCCTTATTAGATTACATTATAAAATTAAATCTGAAAAGGCTTGAACTTTCTCGATAATGAGAACATTTCTGTCCAAAAACTGTATAACATTGCGACCCAAAATAACAGTGTTTAAATTGTTATAATATTATTACCAATCTTTATTTGTTAAGATGCAGTTAGCTCAGATGCAGCAGAGCATGATGCAGAGCTGGGGGGCACAAAACCAAAACGAGAATATGGTGGGCAATCCTCCCCTACCCCCACCCCTCCCAGGCAAACCACCCGCCATGCCACCAGCTCCAGGCATGCAGGGCATGAACATTCCTATGAACTCCAACATGCAGGGGATGAACAATTCTATGGGAGGCTCTGGAATGGGACAGGGTATGCCGGGGATGGGACCAGGCATGTCGGGAATGGGACAGAACATGCCCGGCATGGGACAAAACATGCCAGGTATGCCTAACCAAATGGGCCAGGGCATGAATAACATGCAAGGCATGCCCAACCAAATGGGGCCAAATATGCCGGGGATGAATCCCGGAATGCAAGGGATGGGTCAAGGCATGATGGGCCAAGGTATGCCGAACATGAACACCTCCATGGGTTCAAACATGTCAGGAATGCCCTCCGGTGTGTCCGTGATGAATAACATGATGGGGAACATGCAGGAGATGATCAAGATGACGATGGGAAACATGAACAGCATGAACAACGGTATGGGTATGGGAGGGGGTATGAACACGAACATGAAAATCGCGAACAAGGCTGCTGAACAGCTGCCTGGAACAGACGAGCTTAGCGACACGATGATCGGTAAATCTATTTTCTCAACAATGTATCTCAAAATATGAAAATTTAACAAATATTTCGATTTTTTGAATTATTAAATTTCCCGCACCATCATACCATTTAAGAAGTTTTCTTAATCATATGTTTTTAGCTCTAATACTCCAGAAATCTTTTTAAAAATAACAAGATCTTTGGATTGTTTACAATTAATTATTTTCCTCCATTTTTTTTCAGGACCTGTAAAGCCCGGAGAGGACAGAGATGCTCCAGCTCCTGGTTCAGGGATGATGGTAAACATTGTTACAAACAAAAATTTTATAATTACATAATTTTTAAAAGTAATTTATTAGAGTTTCGATCTTTAAGGTTCTTCCATTTTTCCGCAAAATAAATAATTAAAATTTCTAAAGGGAATGATCCCGACGATGGATCCGAACCTAGCAGCTGCCTGGGGCGGATGGGTGATGGCACCTGATGGGCAGATGGTCCGCCAGCCAATAGTTTACAGGCTCAGTGTACTGTACCCGCCCACTGCTTCAGCTCCTACTCCAACCCTGAGGGAACGCCCCCCGGGCTGCAGAACTATATTCATCGGTAGGTTTCGTAATTAATCAAGGAGTAGTGAATTAATTATTGAAATATTTTTGGAAATAAACAAACACTATTTTATCTTTAATCTGTTACCTTTTTTGTAGTGGTTTGTGATTTTTTTTATAATAATTGTTCTCTTAGGCAGCATAAAAATCTGATTGACATAAAATAATACCAATCAAATCATCTGTTGAAAAAATAATTAATATTTGTAAGTTAGAAATTAAGAAGAAACGAATCTAGGTGGTGTTCCTGAGATGGCAACTGAGGAGGTTATTAGAGATATATTTGAGCACTGCGGACCTATTCAAACTGTTCGGATGAATAAGAAAAATTTTGCGCATATCAGGTCAGAATAGTGGAGGTTAGAGGTCAAAACTTTTGTAAGATAAAGCGCTAATCTCCAAAGTGACACCTTATGAGGTATTAGTGTATGATCCCTCAATTTTAGTTTTTCTTTCCGGTAAGTCCGCCAAGGGATATCCAAGAGGAAATAATTAAATCCGCAAAAAAGCTGAAGACGCGGATAACGGCTAGATCGCATGGTTAAAAATACAGTAGTTTCGACGGTGTCGTATCGTTTGCACTTATGATTGATCGTAATAACGTTCATTCGGACTAACGTTTTATTTGAGGGTTAGGTTAGATTAAGACAATTTCTGAGCCGAGCGCTGCGGCTAGGACAGGCTAGGGGGCCGAGCGCCGCGGCTAGGATAGGCTAGGGGACCGAGCGCTGCGGCCACAAGTGTTACTGATCAGCTGACTTTCGTGCAAACGTACGTTAGTTCAATCGGACATTATAGTGCAAACGATATAGCATCGTTTCGACCTCAATAGATTATACAATCTATAAAAATATTCAATTTGCATTAAATTTTCAAGTCAGCAGCAGATTTAATTCTAATAATATTATTATTATACAAGATATTTTTATTAGGTATATGGCCGAGATGGCTGTTAGCCATGCTGTTCTACTCTCTGGCTGGAGGCTAAAGGTTGATAATAAGGATGATCAACCGTACACTGGTAGACTTCATGTAGATTACGCACAGGTAGACTCCAAGTCTGAAGAGTCATAATACACGGGAATATATAAAATGTGGTTTACACTTTTAGGGAGCAAATAATATACATAACATAAACTCAACTTGATATTCTGAACTAAGTTTACATGTTTACACTTTTAGGGAGCAAATAATATACATTACAAACTCAACTTGATATTCTGAACTAAGTTTACATGTTTACACTTTTAGGGAGCAAATAATATACATTACAAACTCAACTTGATATTCTGAACTAAGTTTATATGTTTTGCTTTTATCCTTTTCATACACAACAGTTTACTAACTGTTTGGATCAAATACAGTCGTCGTCGTATATTTCAATACAATGAAAACAACTTTCTATTTAAATTTTGTTTTTGATAAACAAAGAGAAGTTGTCTGTTAACAGCTTCTCCTTATTTACATCTAAACTTGGAATTCGTCTTCATTGTAATGGTATAATCGCCGACATATGTAATACATTTTCTCCTTTAACACTGTTGACTTCAGGCCCGTGACGATCTACAGGAATATGAAGCTAAACAGAGACAGGTGGAACGAGAAGAACGAATGAGGTAAAATTTTATTCAATCAATCAATCAATTGATAACCAATCAATCAAAATCTCCTAAAAACATATTATTTTATGGGACCGAATTCAATAAATTTGAACTGCATAAATTTGAACCAACCATTCAATGATTATTTACATGAATAGATGGTTCCAATTTAAACCGTTAGTGGGTAGTAAAACGACGCATTGAATTATGTCCCTGGTCAATGTCATCCATTATTTTGATAGTAGAAGGAAACGTCATTCGGTCAATTATCTTAGATTATTTCATATGTTGTAAAAATTATGTTTCCATTAAATGTTAGGATTTTTGATTCGAGAAACCTTTTATTTTCTAATAAATGATTTATCTACATTTTATGATTTTGAAATAAATAATGGAACAACTGCTGGGTTTTCTTTTTACTTTCTCATACTTTTTATTCATTTTATTTGATAGGGTCAAATAAAATGAATAAAAAGTATGAGAAAGTAAAAATGACCTAAATTAATCAACCAAAAATAATTTGGGGGATTTTTCAAAAAATATTCTTATCTTGTAAATTTTTTTTCTGGATTTATTTTGATTAACTTTATTCTAGGTTTCGAATGATTGATGAGATGAGACCTCCATCTCCCCCTGGAGTTCCTCATTATAGTGACGGAGAGGTACATCATATACATTGAGGGTAGGGGGGTTGATCAAATTTTGTTGCCATCCAATTTTTTGTCTAGGCTGTCTAATTTTATAAACCACTTTTGTTAGAATGTAGGGGGAGGGGGGGGGGCCGCGTGGAAAAAATAACTCGTGTTTGCCAGCAGAACTAAACAAGCGGAAGTCAAACAAAAAATACCAAAAGAATTTATTCTGAGAAAATTTAAAATTAGCGTTAGTAATAGTTTTGATAACTCCTAATTTTACGGCCTCCTTTGGGATTAGAAATTAATGTGTGACGCAAACGTTGCATAGTAATAGTTTCACTAACTTAATATTTAAGCTTACTCTGTAAACTTTGGAATGATGCACCCTTTGCGTAATAATTTGTAATTTTAATTACTCTAGATATTTAGGCACACGCTGTTGTCGAGAAATTAAAGAGTGACGCAAACTTTACGTAGTAATATTCAATTACTATTACTCTTGATATTTAGGCACACGCTGTTGTCGAGAAACTAAAGAGTGACGCAAACTTTTCGTAGTATTATTTAATTACTATTACTCTTGATATTTAGGCACACGCTGTTGTCGAAAAAACTAAAGAGTGACGCAAACTTTACGTAGTAATATTTAATTACTATTACTCTTGATATTTAGGCACACTCTGTTGTCGAGAAACTAAAGAGTGACGCAAACTTTTCGTAGTATTATTTAATTACTATTACTCTTGATATTTAGGCACACGCTGTTGTCGAAAAAACTAAAGAGTGACGCAAACTTTACGTAGTAATATTTAATTACTATTACTCTTGATATTTAGGCACACGCTGTTGTCGAGAAACTAAAGAGTGACGCAAACTTTGGTGAAGGAGTTGAGATCCTTGAAACCTGGTTGAGTCGAGGAGACTGTAGTAAACGGAACGCAGGGATGTTCTATACAATGATTCAAGCAGCAAATACGCATGTCAAGCGTCTTCTGCAGGAACAGGTATATTTAGACCTGTTTTTCATCCTGCGCAGTTTTAGGTACCGACCATGTACCGACCAAAAAATTGATAATAAAAGTATTTAGCGAGTATTCAGATCTATCAGGGTTGTCCAGTAATATTAATAATAATGTTCTATTAACTCCGCCTCACGATTAAACAATAACTGGAAAGTTTTCTGATTCTGGTTTGATTTAATTTTGTTCTAGAATGACTTTGAGATTGAGATGCAGAGATTGAAGGAGCAATGGAAGGGAAAAATTCAAATCTCCGTGTCTCAATGTAAGTAGGAAACCTGGAGTAAACCCTGGGGTAATCGACTCATTCATCTCAAATCTTCATTTCCTCAATCCAATACAGACAATTCTTATCAATTTTTATTATTTATCAATGTTTCTCGTAGTAAATTATTTTGAAATTCTTTGTTCAAAACGATAAAAATATTTTTTTTTTTGAAATTTGAATTTTTCCTTCATTTTGTCTAATAATCTTCTTCTCTTACCGAATTTGTGTAAGTAAACCATCATTTAAAAAACGAACAAAATTGCCAAATATATATATCTAATATATATATCGTGTAAGTATTTTTTATGTAATATCAAATTAATCTCCATTTTATCGATGATATTTTTTTGCATTTTCTAATATCGGTTTCTGCAACAACAACAACAAAAGCATTATTTTTTGTAGGAAATGTTGGGAAGATCTTTACTGTTTATATTTGATACTATTAAGTCCCAAAATTGAAAAAAGATTTTGTAGGCCTAACTTACAAACAGCTCAATTTCTCAATGAACCCCGCTCAGCTCAGGTTCAAGGTTTACTCTTAATACTCCAGTATCAGGTTGTAGCACTAAGCTTAACCCCCTGGTCTGGTTTACCCGAACTAGGCTCAGGGCTTTCAGCTCAATTCTAGGCTCATTGAGTCATTTCTACTCTTCTCAGTTGGACAGATTGAGTCAGTGTTTGGGAATGCGAGTCACCAGAAGGTTTGGGATCATTTCACAAAACCTCAGAGGAAGAATATTCAGAGCTGGAAGCATCAGCTCACGGTGAGTTTTCGTAGATCCACAAGGAGGAGCCAATACATCCAATCAGAGTGGAAACTTCATAACTTTTGTTCATAGACATGTTCTTAAATATTAAACTTAAATAATACATTTACAATGCAAATACACTCAAAAGATATTTTTATATTGGATCCCCACTTGTCTTCTAGTTTACAGGTCCACCTATTGATAATTATTTTTATTTTATTCAGATATTTTTGAGNGTTGAATTAAACACCATTTTTAAGTTTTTTTCTTTTTAACATTTTTCACAATAATATTGATATTTATTTATTTTATCCAAAAAATAGATAAAGTTGTATATTTTATCAATGGTTCGTGTCTACCTGTAAACTAGAACTTAATATTCTCCTAGTCGGTATACATTATACAATACATAGAACAGGGACAGGGTTTAGGACCTACAGTAGTCTTCAAACATTTAGTCACTCAATCTCATTGCTTACTGAATCCTACTTCACAGGTTAGTTAGGTTCTCCAGGTAGGTATAGAGACCACTGAACCCTGCTCAGGGTTTTCCTAAACCCTGGATCCTGTTCTATTAAACTAATAATGATATTACTAAACACGAGATTTAGAAGATATGATGGCAGGTTAGTAAACTTTCAGACTGGAGTGTTTTTTCTTGGCCAAAAAAATTAATTCTTTCAATCTTTATTTTTTGGTCTCGGTGTTTTTAATAGAAAAACTATGATTTTGCAAAAACTTTTAGCTTAAAGGTTAAAAATTAAATAGTGGATTTTTTATTTAAATTTTTTTGTTGGAAATGTTTCAAAATATTATTTTCACCAATCGGAAATATTTCTCAAATAATATGACGACAAGTCGGTGTCAAAGTAGACGTTGTTAATTAAAGATGATTCTTTAAAGTTGATAAATATTCTGGTATAGGAGGCTAAGGCTCTGGCCAAGAAGAATAAAGCCCCAACAGATGAGATGGATGTAAGCGATGAGGAGGAAGAAGAAGAGAAAGTAGAAGAAGTATCCCCAAAGAAGAAGAAGAAGAAGTCGCAAGGAATGAGTACATATGACAGCGATAAGTTAAAGGTAGGATTTTCAAGGATTTAGACGAAAGTTAGTGGGAAAGAAAGAATATTCCGAGTTACCCACAAAATATGAGACATTAAAGACGACCTAAAACACTTAAATTTAGTCATCGGTTAAATTTTTGTCTGTCGGCAAAAATACAGCCTGTCTATGTTATAGTAGATAACTAAATAAGGAATGTAATCAGTTAAAAAAGCATGGAATCAAGACTAAAAGCAAAAAGAATTAATAAATTCCGTACAGTCGTTTCTGAATTCTCATTCTTTGTGGAATTTGGGTAACCCTGTATCTATGTGGGATCTAGCGGTCTATCATGGAACTATATAACTGTGGTGCTGACGACAATCATGTTACGCAGTTTCCTTTTCGGTTCACCCTAATTCCTAATCATTGAAATCTTAGGAATCTTTTTATTTGCAAAAAGTTTGATTGTTGTCATCTGCAGTAAGCATTTGATTTGATTGTCATATCTTTTTAAATTTTTATCATTTTTCGATATTTTTTTTTATTATTGTTATGTTATAATCATTTTTATAAGTATGATAATTAGGAGGATAGTGAGAACTGGGCCTGCCAGGTTAACGCATACAGAACAGAGGTTAGGGGTGTTTTTTTTTTTTTAAATAATAACAATAATTCAAGTTCCATGTGCTTTGACTTTGAGAAATAAATGCAATTTTTTTTAGGGGAAAATGATTTTATTTTTGGGTAATAAGTTTTAAAAAGGAGGAAAAACGTTTAATGTCAAATTTTTCTTTTTTTCCCCAGATCATCAAAAATCATTCCCACAACTTATTCTTATTAACTATGACAGAACTCCTCTAACTCACTACTTGACCAGGTTAAAGGGACTGTCCATGTAATTTCAATATCGACTCTAGTAGACCCTTTAATCCTGTATAATAAAAAATGTGGAAGATATCATAGTTTTTCCAACTAAAAAGTTCCTAATTCCCATCCTCTCTTCAGCATAATCTAAGTCACTTCATAGAGAACCCCATAATCAGACATATCTACCTAGGGTAACATTTTTAATCGAACATGCCACTTTATTTTGAAGGTCACTTGAAGTTGTGTCACAATCCCTTTAAGAACTAATTAAAAGCAAAGAATAGCTTGGTCCATGTTAAGGTTGAAGCTGTGAAGGCTGAGATGACCGGTGAGCTGGATGAAAAGAAAACTCAGATTAAAATCCTTCAACAAACCCTGCAGGTAGCCTATACCAGCCGGGTATTTCAGCTAATCTATATATATATGTAAAGTTATTAGCTCTGTTTTTCTGAATGTTTGTTGTTTTGTTTGTCCGATCATAACTCAGATACCCCTGGACCGATTTGCCTGAAATTTTGATTGGGGAACTTGGGAGATTCTAAGTTGAGTATGTCGACTTTTATTTCGAAATTTTAGTTTTCCTGTAAAATTGACCAATTGTGGGTAACAGGCGGGAGTAGCTATGAGTAACCTGGGCAACCTTGGGTTCCCAGGCTAGTTTTGTATATTTACATTATTTTTATCTTTACTTATTTGCAGGAGGGGGGGGGGTGCTCAAAGAGGATTTTCCGGCTTTCAAAACAGATGTCAATTTTCACTCTAAAAGAAACTTTCCGCAGTAGGGAAATACAATTGATAAAACAAATGATGCACACTTTTTGAAACCTAAATTTCGAAGATATTTTCAATGATTTTAATATTTATCAATTATACCTACTGTCAAATATACACTGTACGTAACTTTACAACTGTACAGGATAAAGGTATGCATATAAACTATGCAGAAGTAAGGAGAGGGTATACAAAAAAATTCAAGACAAATTTAAAGTTCACAAGGATCATGGCGACACTGTCAAAGCCTTAAACCCATAAAAAATGCAATTATTTTTATTAATTAAATAGCAGCGTTTCGGATCCGTATCAGGAAACGTTGATATGGATCCGGGTAGCGCCAAAAATTAACCAAAACCATGGAATAAATAAATCAAAATGGTTCGTAAATGTATTATTTACATGACGAAAATTTTTCAAAATTATCTTTAATAATTTAATGTTTACATTTATATAATAGTAATGACGACATTTTTGTTACATTTCGGAATATATAATAAATATAGTTTATAAATTATAACCTTGCATAACATTTAATAGGGAAAATTCGATTCACAGAATCAAAAGTTACCTCGGATCCGGATCCGTATCAGAGTCAGGATCCGGATCCATCATCACGGATGCGGATCCGCGGATCCGGATCCGCATCAAAATGATACGGATCCGAAACACTGTTAAATAGTATGTACAATGTAGATGTAATGTTTTTTGTCCAGGGTATGCAGAAACAACTGATTGAAATGCAGAAGAAGAAATCAGAGGATGAAGCAGGACCACCCAAACCTAAGGTTGGAATATTACTATACAATATACATTGAAGTAGCTTGGGAATTATAGTCTATATTATATTTTTAGTTTTTTATCTTAAAAAATTATCTACCTTTCCATCCAAAAAACCTACCTAGTACCTATATCCTGTTTAGATTCTAATCCCTCTGGCTGAAGCTGAATCTAAGATAGTAGTTGTAGTATCTACCTATCAATCCTTTAAACCTACCTAGTACCTATATCCTGTTTAGGTTCTAATCCCTCTGGCTGAAGCTGAATCTAGGATAGTAGCTGTAGTATCTACCTATCCATCCTATAAACCTACCTAGTACCTATATCCTGTTTAGTTTCTAATCCCTCTGGCTGAAGCTGAATCTAGGATAGTAGCTGTAGTATCTACCTATTCATCCTATAAACCTACCTAGTACCTATATCCTGTTTAGGTTCTAATCCCTCTGACTGAAGCTGAATCTAGGATAGTAGCTGTAGTATCTACCTATCCATCCTATAAACCTACCTCGTACCTATATCCTGTTTGGTTATCTATCTTCTAGAATTATCTACCTAACTATCCTATAAACCTACCTAGTACCTTTATCCTGTTTAGGTTCTAATCCCTCTGGCTGAAGCTGAATCTAGGATAGTAGCTGTAGTATCTACCTATCCATCCTATAAACCTACTTAGTACCTATATCCTGTTTAGTTATCTATTTTATAAACTATCTACCTACCTATCCTATAAACCTACCTAGTACCTATATCCTGTTTAGGTACCAATCCCTCTGGCTGTAGCTGAATCTAGGATAGTAGCTGTAGTATCTACCTATCTATCCTATAAGCCTACCTAGTACCTATATCCTGTTTAGGTTCTAATCCCTCTGGCTGAAGCTGAATCTAGGATAGTAGCTGTAGTATCTACCTACCTGAACACCCATCCCTACGGTGTTACAGTAGACTATATCTGGACCCATCTACTCAAGATAGATTCATCTATTCTCAAGGAAGATGTAAGTTTTATCTAATTTTTAGTTCAGGGTTTTAATAACACAAATCGCTAATGTGGAATGAATTATTTCCCGAAATGAAGCAGATTCAAGAAAAGTGGCACCATCATTGCCGGGAAAGGGGTGACGAGTCGAAAAAAAAGACACTTAGACCTTGAGATGCAGAGCTTGGAGAGGGGTAGGAAGCGTCAATAATTTTGAAGACAGAATAAGAATGAACTTTAAAATTTTTAATTCTATTAAGGTAACTGCTATACTGAAGAAGTACAAGGATTGTTTTGCAAGCGAAGAGAACAGTTCAGATAAAGAAGAAACATGGAAATTCGTTGCATTTGATATCAAATACTGAGCTTTACGTTTCCGGAAACCCACTGTACATAAAATAACGTCACATAAGCGTTTTATGTTGTTCTCTTTTTTGTTTTTATTAAATGCATTTTCCATCAGAAAATTAAAGTTTTGTTAAAATAAAAGTTTTTGGTGATAACCTCGTTTGATATGCATGTTTAGTTGATGTGTAATGTGTTTTTATGTATTTGTGAAGTTAAACGGCTTTTTTCCCATCACCTAATGGCGTCCCCGACTGAACATAACAATGTTAATAAATCTGCCTCCTAAGAAAAAAAAATGTGAAATAATTTATGAGGATATTTACATTTCTGACCTGTCGGGTTTTTTTTAACTAAAAATGAGAAAAAAAATAGGTTGAGGAGTTTTTGCCAAACTTAAGATATGATTAGTATCCCTTTATAATTTGTTGGTACCTTCAACAGAAACCAAATATGTGCACAGTCCCTTTAAATAATCATTGGGTCAAATTCCTCTAAGCTATGGACAGGGGAAAAGGTACATACTATTGGCAGTGAACTAGGATGTAGGCAAATATATTCAATAGTTTTGGCATAAATATAGAGGATTTATTGATAGAGGGGAGGACACGACCTCATCATTGATTGATTGATAGTATAGATCTAGCAACTCAATTTAAATTCTGTTAAATTACAAATAGATTTTTCTTGGAATATAAAGTGAACATTATGCATACTTTCCTTGTATCTATCCTTCCCCTCTTATACTTATACTAGTTCCTAACTGGGTTATTTCTTCAACATTCTACAAATCACAGATTTCCTACTGGTTCACGAATAAGGTTAGCCACAAAACTTAAATGAAATTCTTCAAGAATTGGGGATTTCTTCTGAAATTTTTATATTCCTTAATTATATTTTTCAGATGGGTAGGACAAAGAAAGAGACGTAAACGTTTGCTTCTGCGTGGAACCATTTTTTGGAGAGAGAGATAATATAACTTTATAGATTCTGTATAAAGAGTTGTTTCTGGGGAGCACTGTATCTATCTAAAGTTAAATTTATCAGTCTTTTTCCTATCTATTCTTCTATCCATCCATCTTTTTTCTATCTATTCGTCTAACTTCTATCTATCCATCTATCTTCTATCTATTCGTCTAACTTCTATCTATCCATCTATCTTCTATCTATTCGTCTAACTTCTATCTATCTTCAATCTATACATCTATCTTTTATCCATCCATCTATCTTCTATCTATTCGTCTATCTTCTATCCATCCATCTATCTTCAATCTATCCATCTATCTTCTATCCATCCATCTAACTTCTATCCATCCATCTATCTTCAATCTATCTTCTATCTATCCATCTCACTTCTATCTATTTGTCTATCTTCTATCTATCCATCTAGTTATAATGATACCGTCCACTGAGGCTGTTCATCAATCCGTAAAAAGGTTTAATAAGAAACTTTATAAGAAAGGGACTGCGGACTTTTTGGGATTTATAAAATACCATGATTGTGACCCAGTATTATAATAAAAAAAAACTGAATAGATATTTTCATTTAAGTTGCTTATTTTCGTGTTTTTGAGTGTTAGTACTCAAAAAGCAATTCTTCCAGTTAATACTTAAGTTCTTAAAATATATGCGCAACCCTGTCTACGCAATTTTAATAGTGTAAATAATTAACCCTATTCCCGCTGGGGGGGGGGTCAATTTCCCCCCCCCCCCTGTAGTTTTTTTTACATAACTCAAAAAGTATTGGTCTGAGGCTGTTGAAATTTTCTGACTTTTCTTACATACCCAAAGCCCTCCCTTTTTCTCGGGGGGTGGGGTATTAGATTCATCACACAAACCTAAATATATGTCTCGTATATTAAAGTATATTTTCTTTTATACAAACTCGAGCACTTGAGTTTTTACTGTAATTTGATTTATGTCGCTTTATACTTTATACTCAGCTGCTTAGATACTTTTCCTAGATATACTTCAGGGGACATTAGTTTCAAAACTAACACTTGGCCCATTTCTAACATTGAGTGTAAGAAATGGGCACAAATTGAAAGACTGGGTTTTTTGGATCCCGGCCCATATCCATAGTTTAAGTCGATAATAAAAACTATAACCAACATTTTGTTAAACATGACGAGGACAACAATTCCCAATTTTAAACATTTCAAACTACTTTAACTGAGAAAAATTTTAGTATGGACGTCATCACATCTCTCCAAAAGGATCCTATCCATGGAATCATTGACTCTTGAACACTGAGACTCTCCACGCCATGAATCTCAGAAAACATGCACCAGAAATTTTCCCTGCTTTCAACAGGGATGTATGATCTGCAGCGTATCGATCAACCACATTCACAACCTGGATTTGGCCCTGAACAGCAGCAATGCACCACCGACCTCTCCGACTGATCCACCTGCCAACCAATCCATCCAAGAAGTTGCTGGTGACCTATCCCCCAAGATCAAAACACTACAAGCCAACTTAGAGATTATCCAGCAGTTCCACGACGTGGAGGACCTCCACAGCGTCGCCCTCACTCAACAACTGATCCAGAACATTATAGAAGCCTCCCCATGGAAGTAAGGTCTTTCAACGACCAGTTTATGGAGTTCCGAGGCCAATGTCTGACCTCCTCCCACTATCTCATTCCTTACACAGTATGTGTACAAGTTAATTTAAAGAATTATCAATCTAACCCTTCTCTTTTTGATATCAACTACTCCCCTGCAAGTATAGGGATAAAACCAGTTGGGTATGGACCTTGCAGTGCCAAGACCAGACCTGCATGTCATTCCTCTGGCCCTTCTCCTAACCTCCCAGACGCCTTTGCACTCTATTTACCGCCAAAGGATTCCAATCTTACCACTACCCCCTCAACCTCAACTGTAGGGTCGCCAAACTAAGTTCCCCTGGCATCCTGAAACTCATCTCAAACAATCAAGTTTTCCCCAGCTGTACCCCACTAATGACCCATGCCTTCCAATGCAAATTGTTCTTCCACAACGGGACCTCCAAGGTGTGTCCAAAGGATGCAAGGATCATAGGTTCCCTATCCACTGCCACGCCTGCATGCACAGCAACCCGATCCCCACCATCTCTGTATCCAAGGTGGGCTCCGACAAATCAATTTCCTTGGTGGAGAAAGTTTCCTATGGGTGATTTCTCTCTGGGAATTCAGTGGGAAACTAGATGTCAACTAAGTCTAATCTCCCAATCAGCCCACCGAACCCCCTGTAGGTATAAAATGCCCCAGTTTTATAAAATAAAAGTATATAGTGTCAAGTTCTAAGGTAGTGAGATCCATGAAAAAAATAAAAAGTGAGATTCGAAAATCCAAAGTGAGATTTGAAAATCCAAAATGAGAAAATAAAATTTCTCATTTTGGATTTTCACATCTCACTACCGCCAATACCACAGTTTGAAAATAAAAGTTTAAATTTTATATTCTAATTTTGGATTTTCAAATCTCACTACCGCCGTTACCACAGTTTAAAAATAAAAGTTGAAATTTTTTATTTTGATTTTTGATTTTCAAATCTCACTACCGCCAATACCACAGTTTGAAAATAAAAGTTTGAATTTTATATTCTCATTTTGGAATTTCAAATCTCACTACCGCCAAAACTTCTTGTTTAAAAGTATTTACATTTTCTAATTTCGAAAAAAAGGCATTTAATAATCTGAAAAGTCTCAAAAAAATGTACAAAAACTAGCTCTCTAAGCTTTCAATACCATTTTCTTTTAATTTGTACATAACATTTTCGCTCAAAAAGAAGGCATTTTATACAAACACCCGAACCCTTCCATCCTCCAAGTACTTCCCAGGGAACTCCTCCAGGGTGAGAGTCATGACCTATGCAGGAGAGGGCAAGATTATCTACTCTGAGATCAAGTCGACGTTGCACTGGAAGATGTTAAAGCTTTCGGCCATAGAAGAAGACCTCAACAACAGCCCCAGATTCCCCCTCCCAGTGCCCACAAGTAGAGGTCACTCATAGGGACTTCAATCTCATACCACACCAGCCAGATCTCCATCATGCTGGGCAGAGACAATCATCTCTTACTCCCCACTGAAGTGGAACGTGATCCGCAGGGAGTGGCTCTGACCCAGAACTATCTGGTTTATGACTCCGTCCCTTCTAACACCAACACCTGGGTGGGGCCCCTCAACTCAACCACGGTCTTCGTCAAGTCCTTAACCATCGTTTGCACCAGGCATCGGGACTCCTTCCTCAAGAATGTCTCTGTACCATCTAACTCTTTCTGCAGCCCACCTACTCCCGTCCCTACCTCCAGTTTCTTCGGTTATCATGCGACAGCGCCTCAGGCGAATACGCCACCTGTACAAAAGTTGCAACTGTCCAGACCTTCATTCGAGAATCTCTTTCTGACCTCCTACTTGGATACTTTTCCTAGATATATACTTTATACTCAGCTACTTGGATACTTTTCCTAGATATATACTTTATACTCAGCTACTTAGATACTTTTCCTAGATATATATTTTATACTCAGCTACTTAGATACTTTTCCTAGATAAATATTGTAAAATATTGTATAATAATAATGTATAATAATCTTGGTTCATGGTTCAGAAAAGCCGTCCAGTTGAGTTCCGGTATCCTGATTGTATACAGCAAGGCTCTATTAATGTGAGACTTAGAAAAAATTGTGCTTGCATGGAAACCAATATATTTGTGGCTTATTGTATGGCTGCCAAAGGACGAAAATGTTTAAATGTAGCTGTAGTAAGGGAGAACAACTGTGTCTCATGGCCGCCTGTCTGAACAAGAAAATATACAAATATGCTGAAAATTTAAATATAGTACATGTACGCAATTTAAGTTTAGTTTCAAGTTAGAAAACTTAATTTAACTTTGAGATCGACATTTTTACAGTTTCATTCTTTGCGGGTGTATACTGTTTATACATCATGACATAAAGGCGTAGTTTTTAAGTGCGTTCAACTTGAAATGGCGTTGCTATTTTGTTTCAATACCTGTTACTACCCCTCCCCTCCCCTTACTTAAGAAATAGAAAGAAATACGTTCTATTTATAGGCGCAATTTAAGGATAAATGGGGGGGGGGAGGTTCTCCAATATTTTACTTTGATAGTGGATATAATCAGTCTACTGTCAACATTTGTTTCTTTATTGCAGT